AAAGACTTCAAAGGGCAGTGCAGAACGCTTACCTGGATTATTCCCGTCGCAGAAAAGAGAAATGTTCGTGAAAGGTACTGAGTGTAGTGAACTTTGTGGTGTTAAACCTAGTGTTCTTAATTCACGCGCAGGAGAAAAAGGGACTAGTCTATACTCAGTGCATGTTAGCCAAACAGGAAGATGTACGTGACATTCTTGATTGAATTACAAGGTGATTACCCCAAATTGTAAACATGCTCGTAGACCCAATAAGTTCCAAAAAGAGGCAGCTGAACAAGTGAGCCCTTGTAAGCCAATGCCATTTCACATTTTGCCAATGAATTTATACATGTCTTGAGTAGTGTCTATATAAATTACTAGAACTGCAATGTAACTGGAAGGTACATAATCACACGCAGGGGCCTCAAAAAGTAACTATATGCTTTATATAATTTATCCCCCCAGGAAAAATTATTTCTGTATTATAACATTGCTCAATGCATGAGGTCTGACTGGTCACAGGAACTACAGTGTCACCGGACGAGAAATGCCTCTCTTTTAAGACTGAAGTATACTTGCTGTTATCTATGTTCAGTGAGAATTGTCTTCTGGTCCGATCTTTAGGATGTTTTACTGAGACCGTACGCAGCGACGGAGACAAAACCTAATGTAAGCCTTGCCGACCTAATATGATGTTGCCTTTTCACTCAGTGACTCAGGGTCACTCTGGCGTGTTTTGCTTTTTGTAGTCTTTATTTTACGGTTTGTAAAAACAGCTACACCCACTCTCTTATCATTCTCCAATATTCGGTCGGATCCAGCGCCGTTCTTTGTTCAAATTTTTTGTCGAACAATTCGGGAATCCTTCCAATACTTCCAAGTAGCGAAAGTCTCCGATTTGATCTTTCTTTTCTCAAGGTTTTTGATCGCAGTTCTTCATAGCAATAAAACAACTGTTCTTTGCTGTAGAATATTAACTTTCTGGAGTAATCTGGCCCTTAATATCGTTTCAACTGCACGCAATGACCTCTGCTTTACCCTCTGTTTTGGAAGCCATTTTGAATCCGGAATTTAAAAAGTCCGGGAAAATCTGGTAGTGCCAGGCTCCCGCGCGGTATGAAATTAGGCAGTAGGCCGTACTAGCATATGAAAGTATATGAAAGTGGTCAATACCTGTGAATTTTTTTTTGAGCGTAGACTATGACACCTTAAACAAACATTTGGAAAAATTGCCACCACAGTTGTATTGATCTAGATAAAGATGAAAATTTGTTATGATCCGGGTTGCAATAAAATCAGAGTTGTCATAGCAACCAAATGACGCCATTAGGTATTATACTTGTAGGAACATTTCTCACTGGAAACTGTTCTTCCAAAATCGTTCACGGGAGCATTTTCCTCCAATGGTCGCCTCGATGTTCGTGAAGTTAAAACGCAATCTGTAAGAGTGTTGCGGAGATATTTTGGGATAAAGTTTTTATCGTTAGAAATACGGTAAAAAAGGAAAATCTTGATGTTTGGCTGTTATCTGTAGAAAACGAAGCACTTTTGACATGCAATTTCACCTCATAGTAGTTTCACTCTTTTTAAAAACGTAGGCAAAAGATCATGGAAATAGCTCTGGCCAAAAAAGGATTTGAGTATTTAGTATGTATCAAGGCGCTCTTGTTAGCGGTTTTGTAAACATTCCGGTCTACTTTAACAAATTAGTGAACAATTTTTAAACCACTCGATAGATTTTTTTAAAAAAAATTACGATTCTTCGCGTAATTCAAACTGAGAATTATTCAGCCACTTCTTCACTTTCAGACCCATTGCTGATGGTATCTGCCATACACTGTTCTACGAGCGGAGATGATTCTAGAAAGTTAGGCGGAAGTTTATTCTAATCAATTCACGACTGGAAATAGCCCATTGCAGTACAGTGCCCAACAATAAAAAAAATCAGCACATGATACCCTTCCCTTATAACCAGAAACTCATTTTGTGCTAGGCAACCACTGTCTCGTGTGAATGTAACAGTACTGGATTATTACGCCAACTTCAGGTTAAAATAGAAAATATTTATCTCTTCAAATAATGATTTAAAAACCACGGAAACGTCTTTAAAAACTGGTTTAGCCCAAATTTTCTCTCGCTGCCCCAAAAAATCCGAGTTGCCCCCAATTTTTTTTTTTTGGGGGGGGGGGGGGGGGGCTGCAGCCCCCCTCGCCCCCCCGGCCCGTACGCCTATGTGTGGAACTGCTGTCTTGCTTCCCAATAAAAGGAGTGGCAGGGAAGTGCAACCCCTGGCTGTACTTTTACCCACAGTAAGGCTTAGCCCTTGGAGACAGGTCCGGAAAAATACCCTCCGGTTCCACCTGATCTGTACTCCACCCAGGAGGGCCACCCCTCCTAGTTCCCCTGAGTTCCTAATGACTGGGGGATATGGGCCTCACCCCCGGAGACTGATCAGGACTCCTGTCCAGGGTGGCTACCCCTGGTACCACACTCGATCTTGTCTCCCCCCAGGAGGGCTTCTCTCCTGGTCCCCTTACCCCTAGATTTAAGCGCTTCCCTGCCACCAGAATTTTGCCCATTACCTTTTGTGTGTTTTCTTTGTGGTACCCGACATAGAGCCTTTATGCGAAAACACTGCCAATTGGAAGAGTTTATTCATAGACTCCCCTTTAAATTCGCTTCATTAATGAAGTTATTTTTTAGCTAAGAAAAAGTACTTCATCAATTATACCTTACAGAACTTACAAGCCCTACAACAGGTTAACCACCCTGTTTCAGCTTTAAGTTCTTAATCAACTTATTAAGTCAGATTATTGACTTTATTCAACAAACAGAATAGACAATAGTCGGTGCTTTCTGTCTATACACAGTATTCTGGGTGCATTTACAGGTCTAAAACTCAGAACAGGATTTGTACCAATGCAACCTTCTGTGTGAAGCCCAAAACAAAATCCGATCAACTGAATTCACTCTTACAGTGTAATTATAAGCTTCCGGGATCGTTTTTAACAACTGCATATATCTACCCTTTACTTACAGCGAGCTATTATCCGTAAATCCTTACCTCCTGCTCTTCGAGTATTTGACGAAGAATTACCGAAAGTTCTTCAAAAGAAGGGCGATTATCGGGGGAGTGCCGCCAACACTTGAGCATGACGTCGTAACTGCAGAAAGATCGCAAGAAACAGTACAGTATCTTAGTTTGACAGGTATGATCATCATTGTAATCCCATATCATATATGGGATTAATATATGGGAATACTAATTTATGGGAATACCAAAATACATGCATCTCTCATTACTCCTCGCCGCTAGACAGTTTCACCAGAATGACGTCTGAGTTGCAAAAAAAATAAAACCTTATTAGTTCTGGCATTAGCATTACAGCCAGACACTTTCTGTTCTCCTCTTGTTTCTGAAAATCCTCCTTCCCGACCTAGTACAGTTAGATAAACTTTCTTCTCCTCTTTTCCAATTTCATTTAAGACAGTATTTTCCCCATTATTGCCATCTTTTTTACTCTGTCGTCCACTTTTCTTCACCGCTACAGAGTTATGTATTATTCATCGTAACTTTTTGTAAAGTGCTTACGAAGAATTTGGCGATAGTCCATGTACTTATCCAGTCTTTTATAGTTACTTAGCTCTTTCAAAGTCACTGACTGTATAAGATCAGACCAGACACTTTCGTATGCTTTTCTTCCCTGTCCTGTTTTCTTTTTTGCGAGCCCTCATCTCACTCAGCAATTTCAGCTCTTCACACCGCTTTACAGACTCTTCCAGTAACTCTAATGACCCTCTAATGACACACAATTAACTGGTAAGTTTTGTCATCTTGCTGTCCTCAATAGTAGTAAGAGTACTGAAGACATCTAAGTAATCGCCTTCTGTTGACTCCTGGGAGCAGACAAGGTATTCGCTCCGTTACTGTCATTCTGTACGTTGGCATTAGTCACTGGATCACATGAGCCTGGAGGAGTTTCTAGGTACAACTCCCCTAGCTGAACATGCTGCATAAGCTACAATTTGTCTTTTTCTTTATAGTTTTTTTTAGGTACCTCCCTTGAGTGTGATTATATTTTTCAAACACTCCCCTTTCAACATTTTAAATTTGTTCGGTCTCTCCCAATTTCTTATGAGAGTTTCCTCCAACAAGTTTTTGTGAACGCTCCCCTACATACCTTAAAATTCCGAAAATAAGCCCCTCCATGTATAAGCCCCTCCAAATGTAAGCCCCCCGAATTCATAACACAAAAATCCCTCCGCTAAATCGCCCCTCCAAATATAAGCCCCCGGGGACTTGTACTTGGAAATTGACCTCAAATACAAAGTAAAAGAAAGCAAAAACGGCAAATTTCCTTCCAACTGTAAGGCTAGCCCAATCGATTTTGAAACGCAAATTTCCCTCTGTAGATAAGCCCCTCCGAATATAAGCCCCTCCAAAAATAAGCCCCCCAAAAAGGGCCTTTGAAAAATATTAGCCTTGGGGCTTATTTTCGGAATTTTACGGTATACTGATGACGTAAATATATCAGGTCAGGAGCTCGGATTGGTCCACCTAGTTTTCTTTTTTATTCCAGCCCGTTTTTTATACGAACAACAGAGAGGTCGTATTTTTAAGGTCACAAAGATCAAATGTCCACCTTTTAAATGTACCAAAAAGCAGTCAAGTAGCAGTCGAGTTTGGTGCGAATTCGCAGCAAAACTAGAAATTTCAATTTAATTGATCTAGAGAAACAACAAAATAACCCCAAACTAATTCACATTTGAAACCTGCACCCAGTACTGAACTTTCAAACGTAATTATCTGAACAGTCTTTCTCGTTTAAACGTCCAGCCAAGCGGCGGGAAACGATAAGAGACAACTGCAACAAACTATTTCTTTATGTTCTGATATTGACTTGCACAGCCGATGATTTGACCTCAAGTTATTTGGTTTCCGATTACATTGCAAGCTACAGATTCTCTAGAATGGTTTGCAGACCTTGTGGAATATGTTACCATGTGTGTCGATATAAAACTTACAATTCTTCAGAACAGTGAGCGGGTTTCTCCAATCGAGCGCCTTCTAACAGCAATTCATGAAGCTCCACCAATCCAGTTACTCCCCTGTAAGGCAGCTCTCCTATAAAGGACAGGTTTCGGAGGGTTACTATCTTGTTGATATATCCCTTTCCAAGTAGCTGTCAGAATCGTCTCAATCACCCCTGACGAATTAGGACGAATAATGAGGCAAACAAAACCCAATCTAAATATCATCTTCTCCTTGCATCAAGATTCTAGTTTAAAGCCTGGCAAGCTTGTTCAACCCTGGTTGAACCAGGCTTACCTGGATTTTTTAAATGAAAAGCAAAAATGAAAACCTGGGTAACCGTTATTTTACTAGTCTTTCGGCTGAAGTAGTTGAGGGGATTGTTTGAGTTCTACCCATCGCCCAAAAGTCCGTATTAATGTCCAGCATTTCATAAATCGCCTCAATCTCCTGACCACTTTAATTTCTTGAGACGACTCAGGTCGTCAGCACGGAGTTTTTAAGTGAAGCAGCTAATATCGTTTATAATAATATTCTACTTTGAGACGTCTTCGAAAGACACGTAGCATTAGAATTACGTTAGGCAGGTAAAAAATGCTGTTCCTTTCTGTTCAGAGAAATTTTATATCCTTTCAAGTTCAAGAAATCATTAGTTATTAGAACTTACCAAGTGTAACAATTTCCCAAAGAACGACACCGAAGGACCATCTGTTGGTGATATAAATCATTTAAACTATCAAGATGCAAACACAGTGATGACTGTACAAATATATGAACTTTTCAGTTACACACATATTTTGAGACACTAGTACAACTTACACATCTCCTTTGATGGTACTGATTCCCTTCAAAGCTTCTATAGACATCCAAAGCCACGGAATTCTCCCCTTGCGTATAACGATAATGACCCCTATTAGATGGTGTTCTGAGTAATAGCTTCTTTAAAATAAAAGATGTAATATGCTTTCTATTTCCTAACCTCGGATCCTGTATTTCCCAATATAGCCACAGTAGTCTACTAGGGTCAAAGATAAGCCCCGTTGGTGTCTTCCCCTGTCTTCCCTTAATTAATATGTGTAAGGGTCGAGTCTATAACGTCACCCATTGTTTTATCCTAGAGAAAAAAATGCGTTCCTCCGTATTAATTTAAGTGCCTAGTCAGTGTCTTCCTGCATTCTAAGTGGATAGGTTTACTAATGAGCGTCACTCTACTTCAATAGGAACAATAGGCTTGCCTAGACTTGCCCGTGAAGTAACTTGAGCTCGGTTTTCGGACCGTCTATTAAAAGTAAAATAGGAATAAGAGAAGCGATCACCTAGCAAGGCGAGAAACGGCTTCCTATATCTTATTTAGCGCTAAAACTCAGATATACATAAACACAAAGGGAGTTGAAAAGTCTTTATTTCAATTTAGCTTACGTCTTCTTATTTAGCGCTAAAACTCGGATATACATAAACAAAACATACACAAATTGGAGCTGAGAACTCTCTAAGTTTGTATGATGTTTTCTCCCATCAATCTCGAGGAAATGAAAATCTTGTCATTTTCACGCACGGTTAATCAGTTAATTATGCGAGTTCACAAGCCCAAAGTTGAATACAAATTAGTTCTACAGGAAAAACCTCAAGGGAGCACCTTGGCGTATTATTATAAAACAAATAACTTAACAAGGATCAATTAAAACGCGCGACTCATAATTGCTAGCAATAAAACCAGACAAGAGAGATACCGTTTTAAAAAACTTTATTAAAAACAAAAAGAGTCAAATACACAGGAATGGAAAATAATTAATCTTCATCTTCGCCCATGGAGTACTTGTAAGGTTTGAATTTCTTATGCCGACGTTTCTTCAGCTGTTTGCCATGTGATTTATGATCATCCAAATAATTTAGAAATTGAATCCGACGTCTTTTGCGCTTCGGGTCATGTTAAGACGGGGTTTCTACTGTGGGAGGAGGGGTCAGGAAAGCAGGATTTAAGGGTGGTGGAGGGGTGAGGCTTTCTTAGTCAGGTGTTTGAGAGATATCCGCTTGTGTTAATTCAGGTGTTACATTAAAGGGGTTTAGGGGAGTCGAGAATGCTGTCGTTGCTGTCGAAGAATCTTGTGTCCTTGATGTTAAGTCTGGAACAGTACTGATTATTTCTTCCGGTTGTGTTCTTGTATTTAATTGTTCTTTAAAAGCCAGGTATCTGTTTTGCAACCGAACGTATCGCTTAGCTTTTTCATCGTCCCGAAGATCGTTTCGAGAAAGCACGTCATCCATGTTGCCCTGTATTTCTTGCATAGCTGAAGAAGTGGGACAGGCGAGAGAGTTTGCTGCTTCAGATATTTTAGGAGCTCTTGAGGAATATTTTCTTGAAACCCTTCTTGGTTAAAGCCTTTTTCACTGGGCAGGACGTTTGTTCGCAACCGACAATTATCTTGGGTAGTAGTTTTCAGATCAATCAGAAGATAACCAAAAGGTCTTTTTACAGCCTCTTCGTACTGATTTAAAAAGAAATCCGTCTGCCCGGGATACATTTGCTTCGCTAGAGTCAAGATTTGCATTTTGTCTCGTGGATTCTTGAATAACACCAGATAATAGCTGTTTAGGCTTATGCTGCGGCTACCTTTCCCCTGATGAAATAGATTATGCACGATATAAATCACGCCCAGATTGCGATGATGAGAACCACGAGTAAAGAGGTTCACAATTCGCTTGTCTTCACTGGCGTCAATCATCTGATCATCAAACACGATCAAATTCCGTTTGTTCACATCAAAATAGGAATCCTGCTCCAAAGCCGTAGGAATTCCCTTGACGAATTCAATGTTTGGCATGGCGACTAACATTCGTGTATACGAAGGCTGCCATTGTGAATAACACCAAACGATCCTCTCCGCACCCGGTCATTCCGGCAATCATGGAGGTGAAAGGATGCTCGAAGAGAAACCGCTGACATTTCTGTGAAAATATTGGAACTGTTTGAATGGGGTGAGACCAGCATTGCGGTGTTTAGACATCACGTGCCTTTGCATACTATCTTTTCTACTAAAGGATTTTTCGCAGACAGAACAGAACCAACTCATGTCAACTCCTCAGAAGCAAAATGTAGACTGAGAAAGAGGTAGAATGTTGCGCATTTATATAGGTTTTCAGGCCACAAGATTCTACTGTTTTCCTTCCGCAAGACCACCACTACCACCACCACATTTCTATTGTTTCCCCTCCTCCACCACCACCACCACCACATTTCTATTGTTTTCCCTCCACCACCACCACCACCACATTTCTATTGTTTTCCTTCCACCACCACCACCGCCGCCACATTTCTATTGTTTTCCTTCCACCACCCCCTTCGCCACAACATTTCTATTGTTTTCCGCCCCACCACCACCACCACCGCCACATTTATATTGTTTTCCCTCCACCACCACTTGCTTGTCCCGCTTATCAGCGCCAGTTTCTTTTAAAGACAGCTACACCACAGCAACTTCATGCGCTAGTCCAAGTCTTATGCAATTTACTCATGGGACACATTCCTATCTCCGAAGAAAATAAGCGGGTATTGCTGCCATATAAGGAAGCTTTACTTAACCTGGCCAGTCCAAATGTCCCTTTCAAAACAAAGAAGCGAGTCCTTGTTCAAGAGGGTAGTGGTTTTATTGAAGATGTATTAGCCCCTGTCGTTTCAAGCTTAGGATTTCTAATGCTATAAAAGAGGTGACACATCGCTAGGTTGATCATTCGAAGCTACGTCTGTCACGGGTTCTCATCAAAAATGAAGAGAAAGATAGATTTGGTTGAAGAAGAAGATCACGAGAGTGCACATGAAGAAAGCGAAAGTTCTGGTGATGAAAGCGAGGATGAAGAACCAAGAATAAAAGATGTTTTGAGTCATCTTTCCCGAGCAGTGCCGGAAAAGCGTGCTTCTGATTTGCTGCATAGTATGGCTGCGTCCAAAGGTATTCTTTTCTGGACCCCCAGCAGACAATTACTTCCAAATAAACGCACTATTCCCGTTACAAACATCGCTGAGTTAGTTGAGTATGTGTTACTCCCTCATAACAATGAGGTTACCAAGCCTCGTGCGCTGAATACGTTTCTAGATGGACTGGCAGAGTTAGGAATCGATAAAGGTTTAATCAAGAACAAAAAGTTGTTAAGTGATTTAATAGAAAAAGAAAAAGGCTACCAAAATGTAGAAAATACTTCCGATAACGAGAGTAATAATGAGGAGAGTTCATCGGATATTGAAAATCAGGAGGAGGAGGAGGAAGTGGCTTCTGAAAATGGCGTTGAAGCGGAAGACACCCAAGAGAGCGACAACGACACTGAAAACGACAGTCAGGAGATAGAAAGTAGTAACCCTGAAACGTCCACCACCTTTCACTCCAAAAGTCCCTGTGAACACTGCGAAAACTCTAATGTGTACGGGACATTGATCATGAAATGTCCTAAATACCTTTGGCACGATTACTACAAGATTTGTCCTATATGCGATCACCAGATTCCCGAGGGAAGACATTACCTGAAAGAGGGCTTTCTTCGGTGTCACGATTGCGGAGCAGTTACACACAAAAACGCGAAGACGTTGGAAACCAATTTCTATTCCCCTTCTACAGAGGAGAACGAAGATGAAGATTAATTAATTTCCATTCCTGTGTATGACTCTTTTTGTTTTTAATAAAGTTGTTTAAAACGGTATCTCTCGTGTCTTTTTATTGCTAGCAATTATGAGTCGCGTGTTTTACTTGATGCTTGTTAAGTTATTTGTTTTATAATAATACGTCAAGGTTGCTCCCTTGAGGTTTTTCCTGTAGAGCTAATTTGTATTCAACTTTGGGCTTGTGAACTCGCATAATTAACTGATTAACAGCGCGTGAAAATGACAAGACTTTCATTTCCTCGAGATAGAAAGGAGAAAATGTCAGACAAACTTGAAATAAAGAGTTTTCAGCTCCAATTTGTGTATGTTTTGTTTATGTATATACGAGTTTTAGCGCTAAATAAGAGGACGTAAACTAAATTGAAATAAAGACTTTTCAACTCCCTTTGTGTTTATGTATATCTGGGTTTTAGCGCTAAATAAGATATAGGAAGCCGTTTCTCGCCTTGCTAGGTGATCGCTTCTCTTATTCCTATTTTACTTTTAATAGACGGTCCGAAAACCGAGCTCAAGTTACTTCACGGGCAAGTCTAGGCAAGCCTATTGTTCCTATTGAAGTAGAGTGACGCTCATTAGTAAACCTATCCACTTAGAATGCAGGAAGACACTGACTAGGCACTTAAATTAAGACGGAGGAACGCATTTTTCTCTAGGATAAAACAATGGGTGGCGTCATAGACTCGACCCTTACACATATTAATTAAGGGAAGACAGGGGAAGACACCAACGGGGCTTATCTTTGACCCTAGTAGACTACTAGCCACTTGGCTTGAAGAGACACAGTCATTTATGACTGCATATTAATAGCTATCAGAACTATCCCAACGAACTGTACCAGCTTGGGGGCCAATAGCTTCTTTGCAGGTGTTAACTTGAGTCACGTGGTAAAAAGCCTTGCCGAAGAAGGAAGAAACGCACAAGGATAGGACAAACAGACAGGTTTCGGAATTGCAAATGGCAATAACCATTTTAAATAATGTAAGCTCTTTGTTTCTCTTGCCCCCAAACGTTTCTTGTTCTCCAGCATAACGTTTTGGTACACCCGACTGTCCACCTGCAATCCCATTACAAACAAACAGATAAAAAAAAAACAACAAAAAAAAAACAATTTTCTGTTTTGATTGTAAAATGTCGAAAAGATACAAGAAACAGTTACTAAGAACTTTTTACCTGCGTGGTCTTAATGTAGTGTCCATCTCTGGATATGTCACGCGACATTCCGAAATCAGCAACTTTTGCCACCAGGCCGCCTCCAACCAAAACATTTCTAGAAGCGAGGTCACGATGAACACACTGTGTTTGCAAAGAAAAAAAATAATATAACAACAACAGCAACAACAGCAACAATACATTTACATGAAGGTCTAAATTGATCACCTCCTCTTGTGCTGGCGCCAGTTGTTGAAAAGGTAGATCACTCAAACTCTACCCAGTATAGTAAGAACAATTGGTTTCTCGTATACCACTGGATCGCTATCCAGATTTTGACCAACTGGAGCCAGGTTATTAGTTGCGGCGTTTTAGTAGTACTTTTGGGGGTTTTGACTGTTAAGAGTTAAGATCCCTCTGAGGCTGTTTATTAAGATTTCACGATCAGGGCCACGGAACGCCTATAATGACTGGATTTTACGAATTACAGACGAGATTGATTTTTCTGCAAAATAAATGGACTAATAAATGAATTAACCTTCCTTTATGCTCATAGACATTTGAAACTTATGCCATCATGCAAGGTATGTATAGCGCTCGGGTCTCAAGTAACTGTCAAATATGAGTGGAAAGCAGCTTTATTTTAATGGATTGGTTTAAAAAGGATTTATTTTTCGTTTAGGAAAAAAGTTCACAATGTTTTAGTGCTAGTATAATTATAACGGCTGCTTTTTCTATTCAAATTTCGTTATAAGATTGTTCAGCTATCACTTTCAATAACTGCTCACTCCAGAGATCGATTTCAATCTTACCTTTTTACTTTCCAAGTGCTTCATACCATTAGCAACGTCTAAAGCAATCTTTAAAAGTTCCCTCTCAGTCAGCCGCGACCAGATGTTTGAGTAAGTTGGAAGGTCTCTCTCGGGTTGAACATGACTACTGCGGAGTATTTTATCAAGGCTTCCACCAGAAACCAGCTCAACAACAACACAAAGCGGCTCTGCCAAACAAAAAAATGTATTAGTAAATCAGAAGATGGAAAGTAAATACTGTAGATAGTGAGATATAAAAAGTTAATTTAGAAAGTATATATTTAATGAATGGATACCTGGGTGTTAAGATAATTCAGAATAATATTACATTGATCTGAAGGCCCCCTGTTTTGTGCTATAGAGTTTTCTGAAATATGCGAACTAACCGCAACGCATGCCCTATATTCAACAACAACAACAACAAAAATAAATAATAAAAAAAAATAATAACAATAATAATAATAATAATAATAATAATAATTAAAAATAATAATAACAACAATAATAATAAAATTTAAAGGTAGTTTCAGCGGAAATGTTTCAGGTTTAATCAAGTGATGTGTGCCTCACGAGCTAGCGTATGTTCTCAGGTGACGAAAGTTTTTTTATCTTTCAAATGTTCAAGCATTTGCTAAAGTTCTCGTTTTGCAAAGTAAAATGATGCCCTAGTAGAGTTTCGTCACCTGTAGCTGTACCGTGTCACAACCCCGATTACAGTTCATAAGTGTGCATATCTTAAGGGAATGTCTATCTACACTCCTGTTGAGATTCGTTGTTTTCAATTGTTCCAACGCTTATGATCAAGAAATGGGATTCCTCCAAGGAGCAAGCTAACGCATTAAGAAAGTTTTATAAAATTGATGCACGAGTATTTAATTTTTAGACGCGTGGCTCATGGTGATTCGACTATGCTCAGACTTTCGTTACCTTCAAATGTACAAGCTCCAACCAAGCTCACTATATTTGGATGGCGGCCAACGTGAATGAGGATTGCTAATTCACGAATGAGTGCTATTCTTTCTTGCTGATCTGCATTTTCTAAAAAAGGAAGGAACGTGCAGCTAACATTACATTATCCAGGCTCATTCATCCTCTAATAGCAAACATATTGTATAGATAAGCTCGTGAAGGGCCGATTGTGCACAAAAATAGAAAAAATCGCAGCCAATATATGTTATAAGATATATGAACACAGCCGACTCAAGTTCAGCTGGTGTGTTTGGACCAAACAAGGCAACACCAGTCTTCTAATTTCCCTGATAGTGAATAAAGAGGTCACTTGCAGTGTTTTAGAAATTAAAAAAAAGAAAAATTGTGATGCTGAAAGTGTGGGATACTGAAACAGAAACAACTGAGGTTGATTGAAAATGAATTTACCATGCACCTCAAAAATAATTGGAATCTTAAAGTTTGATTCCTAGCACCTCGACGCCCTTCGCCTACCAACAGAGCTTTTCTTTCGCCTGCTCAATTTTTGCGTACTCGAGAAAGACCCTGCCTGAATTGAGTAGTAGTCCTAATAGCGTTCTGTTCCAGCTAGAGCTGCGGTCCTTAGCCTATTAGCGGTGCATGTGGCACAGAGAGCTAAGTTATGACCATCGGTTTTCCACAAACGGATGCTTCCGTCCGATAAAACAGTTTCACGAGTCAGAGAAAATAAGATAAACTGTTCAAGAGGTTCGGGCTGCGGCGACTTGAAAGGCTTGAAACGACTCAGGCAGAGCCTCCTATTCTGCCCCTCGATCAAGGGGAGGCTCGTAGGGTAGCTCTTTGTCAAAGTGAGGTTTGTGTATGGTTTCCGTATCAAATGAACAACCAGTGCATGTACCTGTTTTCAGACAAAAAAGGTAATTTCAAATAACATCAAACTTGATCTTGAAGTTCCAGTTTTCAAATCGGGACATAAAACACTTACATAAACTGCACATACCTAAAACATATGCCTCAACTTATTAATGGTAAACAAAACCTGTAAAAACTAACAAAACGAACCTTTAAGTCTTTTAACAGCCACAGGAAGCTTATTTCCGTCAGTTCGTAAATACACTCCTTTGGTTACAATACCAAACTCCCCTACGCCAAGCTTTTCTTCTGTTATAACTAGCCTATTTCGAGGGATTTCCCAGTTTCGATTTTCTGTGTCCATGTCTTGTAAGTATAATTCGTTGTCGATGGCTTCTTCTTGACCATCCGTGGTAGACAGCGTGCTCTCCTGAGTGGAAACTGTGCTGATAGTGCCAGTGGATTCACTGCTTCGCAGCTGGTTAATGAATTCTGGGTCATTTCTTATTTTCAACTCGATAAATTCTTGCTGCGTCTTGACCAGCTAAATTTTATTGAAATTATGGGCTAAGGTTAGAATCTGACAATTCTGTTGTTGCTTAATACAATTTCAAGGCGAACTTTTAGCTTCTCGAAGGAGTGTATTTGGGGAAGGGGTGACGGCTCCCTTTTATTACGTCAATCATCAATACTTCCGCTTTTAGCTTCAAAATTCCCAGAGGTCTGGAAAACTGCCGAAATTACACCTATTCCCAAACAAGGGAACCACGAACTTCCTAACAATAACAGACCGATTTCCCTGCTACCTGCATTGTCAAAGCTTTGCGAAAGAGTGGCATATAATCAGTTTGTCACCTATTTGACAACCAAGGAGAGGCTTACCACAAAACAAAGCGGCAACAAAAAATGGTTCTCTACTGAAACATCTTTAATTCATACAACTGATGCATTTCTCAAAGGAATTGATGCTAAGAAATTGACTGCCTGCGTGCTTTTAGATATGAGTAAAGCCTTCGACAGCGTTGACCACCAGATATTGTTACGTAAAATACAAAGCGTCGGCGCCTCAACCAGCGCGCTAAAATGGTTTAACAGCTAACTTACTAAATTCGAAATCGCCATTACTGGTACAATCATTGAAAATCCTTCGTTCTATTCCGACATCCATCGCTTTGGCTGGCCTAGTTATACTTTGGTAGTGGTGATTAACGTGTGGTTGTGTTGTTTGACTGGTTAAGTTTTAAGAAGACCCAAAAAATAATGTTTTGATCATGGAGGTTCAGAAGAGCATCGTGGCCGTCCGGCAACAGGACGTTCTCAAGAGTCTTTGGAGACAGAGAAGCTTAGCCGATCAATCTGGTGTGGTTCTAGGAGTAGTGTGTGGCTTACGAAAAGAATACACGACACTTGGAACGTTTTTAAAGGCATGAGTTCGTTCAACTTTGATTTGATTGTTGACTCCGACCTGTAGTTATACCGCAACAGGCCGCGCGATCTTCACCGATCTGGTACGCTTGAAATGTTCCTTGTATCTTTGTTTTACGATCGTATATGTTTAAGAATTGATGTTTTTAAAACTAATTATTGCCTGAATATTCTGTTTATAATCTCGTTTCTTTATGTGTTCAACTCGATAACATTTGTTTTCCGGAACACTGACCCGATGCAACGCGAATGAATTTGTTCATTTGCTGATAAGCGATTGAAATTTATGCTCAAAACGAAGGATAATCTTTATGCCCATACGTTGTGTGCTTTTGTCACCGGTCAGGAGCTATTTGTAGGTATTTCTGGGTTTATATAAGGCGAACTCAGAGAACCGTAATGAAATGTTTGTTTACAAATTTTGTTTGCCGATCGGTGACTGCTTTTTGTTAGCGTGGGTACGAACTCGTAAAAATACACGTTGGTAAATGTTTGTTTCAAAGCAGGACAGGGCTGTAAATCTTATTCTTATCGGCTGCAACATATATCTGAGGAGTAGCAAAGAATAAACTTGAATTATGGGGATATATAAAATCAAACCAAATGCCCGGAAATACTCTTGCGTCGCGAACAATGAATTTGAATTTTGTAAATTTACTTGCGTGCATCTAACTCGCTTCCGATTGGCTTAAAAACAATCAGCTAATGTCCGAACTCACACATGTGCATTATCGTGAACGAGTCCCTTTAACATTTGATAACCATATAATGACCTCAGCGTCGGAATGTATCGCACGTCTAGCGCAAATTAACCTGGTCAAACATTGCTTGGACAAAAATTCGTTGTAAACCGTAATACATGCCTTAGTCTTCAGCAAAATGTACCACTGTTCGAATGTTTGGGCAAATACCACAAATAAGAACGTTAGAAAATTGCTGGCAGTTCAAAACTTTGCTTGCCGAATCGTCAGCGGTGCGAAAAAATATGATCATGTAACACCCCTCTTAAAAAGCCTGTCTGTACTATCGCCAACCTATGATGGCCTTCAAATGCATGACCGGTCAAGCCCCTGAATATCTCACATCCCAATTTATTACCCGTGAGCAAGTTAGCGAACGAACAACTCGGAGTAGCCAAAAGCTAAACATCTCTCTTTTCAGAACTGCCTCCGGACAGAGAACCTTTTATTACAGGATTGTTAAATTTTGGAACAATTTGGAATCTTTTCTCAAGTTAAGTCCATCTGTTGAAATTTTTAAACGATCCTTAAGGAGCCAGCTTTTAGACAATTTTGTAAATAATTCTTAATTAAGTTTAAAACATTGAAATTAGTAAGTAGCTTACATTGTAATTAGTATTAGATTAAGTGTTGGAACCATTCAGTTAATTATAAATAATGTAATATAATCATTGTTCCTCAAAAGCCCCTTTGGGGAGGTAACAATAAAGTATGTTATGTATGTACTATTACTGCCACCGAATTTGATTTATAATTTTCTCGTTTTGTTTTAAAATCAATCAAGTATAAATTTCTGGATTTGCATAGGTTTAAGCTTATTTGTTGTAATTTTTTGTAGGAGGCAGCGTGGCTGAGTGTTCAGCGCGTCGGACTCGCAACCCGACGGTCCCTGGTTCGAGTCCCGCTCTGGCAGGGGCGTAGCTTTTCTTATGGTCCGTCGCTGAATCTATCTATTAGAGGTAAACATGGAAAGAGGCCATGCTCAAATTGCCCTGTTAAATCATTTTTTTCTTTCGGTAACTTATGTGAGACAGAAAAAAGACTTATTGGCTAAGACAATCTAGTAATATATTTTTCTGTATTGTTATCCATTTATCATATTTTTCTAAATCAAATGAAAACATTCTATGCCTCCTTAAAATAGTTTGACTCGATTAATAATCAGTCCAATTCCAATTCCAGGTACTGGATTCCTTCATTTTTTGTCAGTGGAATGTGGATTCGGGATTACTTGAGCTGTATTCTGGATTCCAAAGGCTAGGATCAGACTTCCACAGGAGAGATTTCCCGGATTCAATTCCGGATTCCGCAAGCAAAAATTTGATATTTCATGAATTATATTTCATGTCCAATAATGAGAGCAAGGTATTAAGGGCCATTTATACGAGGAAAAATAGGACGCGTCTTACATAAGACGCGAACTGTGGCATTTATAAGAGCATGTCTTATCTAAGACGAAAGCAGCTCGTATAAATAGTTCACGTCTTATTTCTGTTCTTGCCTCGTTTTCATGTGAATGTTGCCAGTAGCAACGGCAATCCACCATGGCGCGCCAAAAAATAACGCATGTGTACTGTACGTTCGCGTCTTTTGTAAGACGCGAGGGTCATTTATACGAAGTTTTTCTCGTCTTAGCTAAGACACGTCTTATCTAACAACAGGTGTTAGGACTGTTCTGATATAAGGCGCGTCTTAGCTAAGCCGCGTCTTATTTGAAACGAAATGTGCTGTTTATACGGAAAGTTCGCGGCTTATTTTTTCTCGTATAAATGCGTTTATTGTCTTCATATTTGACCGGATTTTCTGTTATATATCTGCTATTAGTTTCATACTTTTGACAGCGTTTAAGGCCGTTTTTTGGGGAAATCCTGTCCATGAAAACTCTTTATGACCCTATCATAAGAGTCCTCAGGGGCGCCCAATGGATCGTTTCCTCAAAATTTCTCTTCTTCAGGCAATTGTTTGCTCGCTGGGAGATGTGGAAAAAGTAATATGTCCTTGGAAGGAAAGTGTAGCTGGGAAAAAGACAATCCAGGGTGTGTGAAGTGATTTGATGTCTAGAATAACTGCTAAGGGTTATTTGTCATAAACTAATTTCCCTCCCCACTGAAGGGGTGAATTTTGCCCTCGGGTCACACCCATTTTCCTACTCTCCAGAAATGCCTGCACATACGTCTGCTGAGAAACATCCCAGTAAGGTTGCAGCTCGTAGGCGCACCTTGCTGGCTGGGAACTCTTCAATCAGTCTTCAGGGGAGTGAGGAACAGTTAAATGTTTTCCAGCAATCTCCCAAAATGCTTAAAATGGCTTCAGAAAGCCTTATTCATGCTTTGTTGTTGTTTTTAGTTCTTTTTCTCTAAATTTTCCGTTGCGTGCCCCTGAGTCCCAGTCCTGCGTCAGTGACACAAGCATTCAGTCTTGTGCATTGTACGTATTTGTTATTATTAACAGTAGATATAAACAAATGAAAAATCGTTTCTTTCACATACCTCCAAATTACGTTGGCTGTTGGCCCTCATCCACCATTTTTGTTTCAATACGATGATGATCATGACAACAACAAGTACAGCTACAATTCCGACAATGATAGATGGCCAGAGTAGTTGAGACATAGCATCGTCCGCGGAAGCTAAAAGCACATATAGCTGATTCAATATAATAAAGGTTGCCTTGGCATTAGGCATTTGGGCATACGGAACCTAAAGGAATGCTTTGCTTGAGTGCCCACCAAGCAATATCTTCCCAATGCCCAAACCAACCTTTATTAATAGATTAATCGATCTCCATGCATTTCGGGGGAGGGTGGGGCGGGGGAGAGGGTGGGGAGAAGGCTAGTGGGGTGTTCTTTATTCCACATTTTTTTTATTTATTAATTTTTCTATTCGTTTGAGTTGGACCAGATTTAGACTTATCTCTTTATTTCTGCACAGGTGAGTTCGCATGTGGGGTACTGAGTTAAAATTTCCATCCTTTTAGTCTTCTTTTTGAACTACATGAAAATGTGTCAAAAAATATTTTCATGGAAGATTTTTCAATCTGACCGAATCCAGAATACTGGTGTAGTTCAGGTAAAGGTCACTTCTCATTTGATGCATGCTAGAACGATATACCAGGCTAGTAGTGGAAACAACCAATGGATTAAATTCTTAATTGATCTGTTTACTACCGTGAAAGGTTTAACCCAGGAGTCATTTCATAAGTAGGTTGCGTATGATCGTCCGGGTGAACGGCTGATACGAAAGCAGTCGGTTTATCATCAAAACTGTGTTAAATATAACAGACTTTAAAGCCTCTTGAAAGCTTGGAACATATTTTATCCTGCTACCTTTTAGGGTTGATAGAGACTTTGGAGTGGGTATCTCTGCGAACGTCAAAGCTGCTTCGCTGGAATAAGTTCTTCCCATGGTATTTGTTGCCACACACAAATAATTAGGATTCTCTTCCTTTATAGTATGTAAAACAAGGTTGAGAGTAGAAACACTTCCATTGCTGGTCACGGAGTCGTTGACGACTGTCGAGTTGTTTCTTAACCAGATTATAACTGGAGGAGGGAAGCCTTCTGCAGCACATTTTAGGGCTACAACTGCAGTTCCAGATTGTAATTTCACAGTACTGTCTTGGGGATGCATTGTGAAGAAGGGCTTCCACAACACTAAAGAATAAAGCAAGAGAACGAATGTTAATGATATAAAATCTCCCCATGTAGCAATGCAATTGCAAACAATAAGCACTTAATAACTGGTCTCGAGGGAAACAGCTAATTTTGATTCCCGAGAATCTCAATATTTCCCGAGGCGAGGCCGAGTTAAACATTGAGAACTTTTTTGATTTATTATGTGGCTGAAAATTTTGAAGCAGGAAATTCATTTAACTTCGTTGTAACCGCGGTTGTCGGTCAACATTCCGTGTTACCCTCTGACGTCATAGATTTTGCAATGTTGCCCGCTCGGAAATTTTGGCGGGAAACAGTTTTATTGTTAGATGTCATGTTGTAACCCCGAAGTAATTTCCAGCTATAATTATAGTACCCAGTACTTGTTAGTTTTATGGAGGGCCCCTACCTTATCTTTCCTCTGAAGCACTGGACATATCCTTGATACAAAAATGATAATATTTACCCGCAAGAGTTGCAGTCGATGACCTTTTCCAACCAGCAAAATTGCTCGCCTCACACCAGTACTCCCCTCTGTCTTCTCTTTTGATCGACTCAAAACGTAACAGGGAATGACCCTTGATAGTACTAATTGAAGAATGCAGGAGGGGAAGACTTCCATTCTTAAACCAAGTGATGGTTGGCAGCGGAATTCCGGATGCTTGGCAAGTCAGGTTGAATTTGCTTGTGGAGGGAACAGTAACTTGTCGAGGCAGATCGAGAGAAAAAGTTGGTGATACTGGGTCTGAATCATAGAGGAAATTTTAATAGTTAGATTATCGTAGTTTACAAAAGGTTTACCAAATTACTAGGCCAGCTTACCCTTTTATTTTGTTTGTGTTTTGTGCGGCCAAAGCAGTTATTTTGTACTAACGTATTTTGCCAAAAATAATTACGGAAAAGTATCCCAGAAAGGAAAATGGGTAACAAGCAAGCGTAATTGCGGGAAAACGGTAAGCATAGATTCACCATACTTTGTTCGTACAGTCCATAATATTAATAGTGCATGCATAACAAAAGCAAACCCACATTTTTAAAAACTAACGCGCGGACGTTCTTGATTAGCGCGCCCCGCTTTATAATCTGTAACTGGCCATGGTATCATCGATCAGTCATATATAGTTACTAAGAACTTTAATTGTTACCAGCCCTAAGGCGTTCAAATTGTTGAATGATTGCGCCCTTTTTTACGTCATGGTTTACTTAGGAGCTAGCCTTTTTTAGCGTCTCTTTTTTCTTCCCATTTCACTAATTGAGGAAACAGTCATACTCTTAACCAAGTTAATAGCAAAGGAAGGATAGGCTGTGAGGACTTCAATTACTACCAGCCCTTTCAAATTGAATAAATGCAACTGGTATTACGTCCTGGTTTTCTAATCAACTGTCATCTTTCTTCTCGTAATTTGCCCAGAAAAAGCCTTGCGAAAGAGGAAATAAAAAATTCAAAATATTTCCCCGATTCTGATTGGCTAAAAGCACACGCATAATTCACCATAACCAGTTACGGATGACCAAAATTGGAAGGATTTTGTGTTTAACAAGGAAATGACGTCAAAAATGCAGCGTTCTTGCAGGTCAAGGCACCGTTAACCGAGATGACCTGGGGACGAGGTTGAGTTTGTGAAAACAAAAAATGGCGGACATTTCACTCGTTTTAAGAGAAAGAACTAGGCGAAATTATCGCTAAAGACATGGCAAGAACAGCAAGAACACAACTCGAAGGGCGACATTTGCTATTTGTAGAACATTTGCGGAGCTGAAAAACCCTAAACGTGCACTATCGAAGGTAAACTTAACATCGATGGAGGTAAGCATGATTTAGCCATGTTTTTAAACTAGGAATTACTTTGAACAAGACGCACGAGTGCGTGAGCCCGGCCTTCTTTTAGTTCATAAAATGATAGAGCGCCCGGAGAAAATGCACTATGCAGTAATGCACCACAACCCATATGAACTTTGATGATGAACTGATGATGAATAAATGGAAAAAAATACTATCGAACGTTCCAAAGGGGTGTACTTGACCATGACAGCATAATGCTTCAAGGTAGTGTTGCAGCTAGTTTTCTTTTTCTTCAAATTAGCATGAGCTTCAGTCACAATCTTAGGTAGTAAACTAATATTTTGAGTGAAAAATCTTTGAAATAACATCCTATATGAAAAGCAAGAGAACATAATGGTTGGAATAATTATGCCAGGATCTTAAATTTTTCCTGGTTGCTGAAGTGCTTATTGTACATGCTAAGTTACTACAAAGGAGTAAAAAACCCAGATCTTCCCATGAGTAAGATCTTTATTCATATTATTGTCACTCTGATACAGGTACTTCAAAGAGAAACTATCGGCATCTTCTTTAAGTTAATTCATCATCAGAAAACTTCGAAAAGTGTTGCTGCACTTATCGTTTGATTTAAGATAAAGTTCATCTTCTCTGAAAAAAAAGTAAATAAATAAAGGATTTATCAATATTTCATTGCCTTGTTATGAGATTCAACAACAAGCAAAGAAGTAACCACAGAAAACCCAAACCTATACCCTTGTGTGCCTCGTTGAGGATAATCCCAAAACCACCTTAAAATACAGAATATTATAATCGAATCGATTTGTCGATCCTTTTAATTGCAAGTTTGAATGTACAGTAGCTGAACACAGCAAAGAGAAAAATTTCTAGCATAGATAGCTTTGAAATTGCTAATAATGTTGGATCGATCAAAATGGAGTTTTGCAAGATCGAAATTCGATAGTAAGCAATCGCCCATTTTTTAAAAAGCTATACGCTTACATGTAATCTTTGACTTAATTTAACAGTGAGATGTTGTTAAAAGATGTTTTAGCATCAAACAAAGCTTTCATGTATCGATCATTTTAGCATCAAAAACAAAGAAATTTCTTTCCATCGATACGTGTTTCGTTTTTATACCGAAACCTGCCGAGACTTGGACTTACGTGCGATGAACAGTCAGATTTGTTTGTTTTGATCGATATCGAAATCGTAATTTACTGCCACTTTTAACCCATATATGCTAAAAAGTCAAAGCTTTTAAATATTTATAATTCCTGTTTTCGATATAAAATTTAAGTTTACAGTGACTTGTGTGTTTTACAGATAGAACAGTCGAGACTGCCAAAACGGTCCATACGTTTATATAAAACTGCTTCTTCCTTGCACCTCGGTACACGCTTACTCGCCAAAACGGCCAATAGTGTTTCTTCAATTATAATTGATTTAATTATAAAATAATACATTTTGATGATGATAATGATCGCAAACGAATTGATAAGCCACCGTGTTTGTCTGAAGGGGTTTAAAAAACTAAACATTTCGACCAAAATAATTGTCGATTTATAAAGGCAACAAAACGCAATGTCCCATGGACCGAAAAAAGTTTTGTTCTCGGACATTATCAGAGAAATCGATATGAACGAACAGGATTAAAGAAAATGAAGCTGCTCAGAAAATAGTCTCTTTGAAATCTAGCGGGTAATGAATAAAAACCCAACTGTGCAGAACCAGGAGTTTCGAACCCAGCAGATGTAATTTAATAAGAATTAATGATAACAATGATAACAAAGGGTTTTTTTGATGACATTATCGGATGACATTAAAATGGAGCTGCTAAAACCTTTGAAATCTAGCTGAATAGACCCAACTGCAGAACCAGGAGTTTCGAACCCAGCAGATGTATTCTCAGAATCGCTTTTTGATGCATTGCGTTGACATAGGAGCAAACCGTTTCTTCTCATTGATTCTTTTTCGTGCCATTCAAATAGAATTCGATCGAATACGGCAGGGAGGTATCTGGATCTCCGAGATATTGCCTTGCACGGTCGGCGGTGCAAACTATTGTTATGTTGTAGCCCACTGGCACCACGTACTCATCCGGAAATTCAAGGATGTTGATAATCAGAAAAGAAGCTACAGGAGCTGAAAAAGTTGTCAAGAGAACAAGCATCATAACTCAGGTTACTTAGAAGAAACAAAAGAGAAAAGTCGATTTGGTTCCATTTACCGGCATGGAATTAACAGTGATGTAAAAGGTGAAGACGGAAAAAGTAACTACTTCCCTCCATCAAGAAGTTAACTAATCGTCCTAGTGTACAATATATGTAAAAAAGTGTAGCTCAGCTGCCTATAAACAGAGCAGGAATAGAACAATACAACTCGACGAATGCGGCTGCTATTTGATTAGAGGAATATCGTCTGCTACACCATTCAAACTTAAATCCCCCGAATTTCTCAAGGAAAAGGCTCTTCCCAAATTCATCAATCCAGCAACGCTCCATAAGAACATATACGAGATTATCAGGTAGTTTGCATCGTTATATGCCCCACGTATTATTAATGGTGATATTAAGTAATGGAAATGAATGAATTGCAGTGAATTTCAAATATTGTTCTCTTTGAAGGCATGATCCTCGTCCTTAGTAATTAGTTTTAGAAGGTCGATTTTCACTAGCGTCGGAGTTTGCGTTTCTTTTTTTTTTTCTTCCGACTGAGAGCCTGGATCTGAATAGAGTTATAAACTAAAGACATTTAGACCTCTTTTGACCGACATAAATACGCCATCTGAAGTCAAGTCGTGCTACAGTCAAACTACGACTTTTGTAAACGGTCCTATTAAAAGGATAACAGTAGAAAAATAACTGCTCTGTGTACTCTTCTATTTAACAGGTTCACGTTTACCAATGTCACACTCTAAAGGAACGTCTTCACTCTTTTTGTTCATGAGCGCTATGGGACAGTATATTTACTGTATCTCTGTCAGTCCGGGCTACAACCAGATCTGGATATGTAATTTCCTGCAATCTGATTGGCTCAGAGCTCAACCAAAACATTGATGACTTGACCGCGAAAAGACTAAGCTCGACAGGAATGTCGAACAGGGAAACTTCGAAGCAAATAGCTGTCGAGTGCTTTGGGCTCCTTGAAGAAAAGTAACAGCAATACGGAGCCGATTAATCGAGATTATTTTATGCTTCATAGCGTTCGATTTACGAATATTGAGATGTTAATGATCGAGAACGCTTTCTGTAAACACCCGTGGATTTCTGATAATATTTCAAGAGACCAGAAACAACTCGACGACTCCGATCGAATTGGAAGAATAGGGAATTTGAATACCGCGATACATTTTAAGTGGAAAGGTTTTAAGACTGAAGTCCTGTTTGGAGTAATTTCTGCGAGCACAACTTCGACCTGGAGAAGTCTGTTCTATTCTACTTCGGGCACAATACCATACGCGCTAAAATCTAATTTCGATCGAAGGATTGATAATGATAATCTTAATGCTAATTATTTTGGCTGTATATAAATTTCCAGTATATTGAATCGTCACACATGTTGGAAATATGCGAAGGTCAAAGAAGTAAATTAAATTTGTAGAAATTGCACTCGCGAACAGTCGTAAGCAGTCATTAACGAACTTCTGTCTTTGCTTATTGCAAATTGCAAAACCCCATTGCGGATGAAAATAATGCAAGTGGACTTATTCGTGTTCTAATAGCTGTTATATAATCACTGAGAGGACGTAAACATAATTTGACAATTGTATTTGGAAAAACAGCTTTGACAAATGAAATAGGTGTGCAGCCTTAACATATTGTTTGTGTCAAAAATATTTAATAGAATGGTTTTTCACAAGACAAGAAAATATTATATATATTTATATCTCTATATTTTTTTTAAAAAAATTGTTCCTTTAAATTATTGTTATTAAGGGGGTGCATCAGTTGAGATGACCGACTGATGCAGTTCTAAATCTCAAAGGAAGGTGTCACATTGGGATGCAGGGCTAGTACAGCATCACAGTAGTTTCTGGCATAAGAGATTTCATAATACCATGTGTCTACTACCTAGGATATAGTAGTTTTACGGTAGATAGGAATACTACGACTGTAATATGGGTTACAGACGGATACAATTCTAGTTTAGTCACATTCTCACTTAGCATTGCAGTAGCAACATTCACTTGTATTGCACTAACAATCATTTCCCTCCCTCTCTGTAGGGTTTTATTTTGTTCTATTCATGGATAGTGTGATCACTTTTATTATTTGATTGAGGTTCTTTTAATTATTTTTTAGTTTGGTCTTTCTCATTTGTTGGAGCACTTTATTTTTCTCCTAAATATTACGTTTTAGTTATTTACCATGTATTGTATTTTGTTATGATTAATAAAGGCTGCCTTGTATCCGAAACAATGCCTAAGTTTCTGAGTTTTTTTGATTTAGTGTAAAAACTATGCCATTATAGTAATATCCTGTCACTGTAGGTGGAATACATACACACTGAAAAACTTAGTGGGCACTAAGCCTCTATTATTATTAGATTATGTTTGTCCTGTATCATACAGTCAAACCCCTCTTTACGAACAACAGGTTAATGTGGACTCCCTGTTGTTGTGGGAAGTTTCCTGGGTCACTGGGGAAAACCCTTAATTTTTCTCTTTATCCAACCCACTTAATACAGACTGACCTGTTATAGTGGATAATGGACGTTTTTTTCTTCCTTAATGAACAGATTCTCATATAAAGTCAACCTCGCTAATCCGCACACTTCATAGTCCATTGTGTGTTGTAGTCAACCTCTTTTTTTTTGTAGGGTAAAAAAACCTTTCACTTAATTGACGTCATGTCCATGTTCCCAGCATCACAGTACACCAAAATGAATGAATTGTGCACAACAATAATAGACTATTTTGACATCAATCGAGTTAGTAAATTTTACATAATTTTTGATCGATTTTCTCGAGACTTCCGTGTGTTTTCATGGACACAGTCTGCAGAATAAGAGCTTAGTGATGTTTAAAGATGTTAGGTGTGATGCTGTAGTATTTCGATAAAAAAAAGTGTATTTGACTTTTATAACAGGACCTGCTTGATATGGACACCTCCGTTATATAGACACTTCCGATGGCCCCTTCAGTCTCCATATCAATGGGGTTTGACTGTAATTATGAAATATGGAACAGTTTTGTAAGATCGATCATTTGGTGTCCTGTTTAAAGTGTATTTTCAGCCATTCTTCACATTTTCCACCTTGCATGTTATAACCTAAGGCAAAGTAAAGTAACAAATAAATAATAAATTAAAAAAATTATATGAGCAATCGAAAATACAGGCATTTTTTTATGTACCTCAATCTGTGTACATTTATCTCATTGAAATGAAAGGGTTATCCAGGGATGACCAATGCTCGTTGTCAGCATTGAGATTTTAATTCGGTAATCGAAAATTATATAAGTGGGATGAAACTGGTTTGCACTGTTGCATACTGTCTCATGACAGTGATTAATCAACCATCATCATTTCAGTCAAGATTTTTGTATTCAAAGCTATCGTATTGCCTCCTACAATGTGGGCTCGCTTAGGGCTATTCTTGTTGTTTTCACTTTTCTGAACTCGTGACAAGGCAGTCATTTAACTGCGCAACTGACTTTTGCATCTTTAAAAGCACAGCACTTTGTGAAACTGTTTTGCACTACACCAAACAGACAATTATGAACAAGCAAATTTTGAGTAGATTTCAAAAAAAGTTTTTCCAACGGGCCCAAAAATGACACTCACCTTCTTTTTTTCGATGTTTTGCTCTTTGTCGGGCATTTCTTTGACCTGGAAAACTCTCGTGTTCGGTCGTTTTACCTCCCAAGAACGCACAAACGTTCATCGGACGGCATTTTTTCTTCACACCCCTGATTTCTCATTGTCTAAAGTCACAGCTCTCAAAGTAGTACGGGGAAAGGACACTTCTAGGCGCAGCAAAGAGCCAGGAAGTGACCTTCCCTCGTGTTTTGTCGGCGTGGGCGCCATTTTGCAAATGTGGGTGACGTCATCATATATCCAGATCTGGTTGTGGCCCGGACTGTCTGTTAGAGTGTAAAATCTGCTTTAACTGGTCGAGTTGCCGGTTTCTATATAGCATACCTTCATCCAGTTTTTCCACTGGCACTTGAGAGCACGTATCGCCGAGGTAGAAATGCGCTAGGCAAATGAAGATGAATAACTGCATATTAACACAGCGTGTTCCCTCACTACTTTGACCTGAAAACAACTGGGAAGACAATAAATTAAGGATAACGTAACAACAATGAAAGCATCTTTACTTAACCGATTTTAGAACCAACTGTTAAGTTATTAAACAAGTAATCCCCAACCTGATTCTGATAGCTGAGAGTCATGAATTACACAAGTTCTAATATTTAAAGTTCGCGATCAAGCCCTGTGCGGAATTCTGGTAGCACAATGTATGATCAGAGTGTAGATGGCTTTAAAGGCATGCACTTCATGTCAATGAGGTCTAGTTTTGTGCCTGCGAGTGTGAAACACTTATTTCACTTCATTCTTCATTTTATTCTTGTCGGGAATCAATGAAAGTTTAAAAAATTGTGAATCGGCCAACCCTTTTGTTGTTGTTACATACCGTATTTCCTCGAATACAGAGCGATGATGTATCATTTTTTTTAACAACAACTTTTACTCATGAAAAAGGGAAAATTGTCTAGATAGCTATAAGCGATTTGTAAGGCTAATACGACTAACGCCACAGCAAGATTGAACAAATTCAATTCTTTGAAACAGGTGTTTCTCAATCGATTTCATCTGACAGCACATTGATGAAAAGGGAAAAGATTTACCTAAGTGGTTTGCAAGTGGTTTGAAAAACGACAGAAATTGAAGAGAATTAAATTACAGGATTCGTTTTAGAAAGGACAATAAAAAATGCCCTGAGAAATCGGACAAAATTCAGAAATAATAAGGGTAAGTTTTAGGGTAAGTTCACGCTTTTTTAACGGTCTTTTCGCAATCGTGTGGGTATGAACGAAAGTATAATCCCTATTTTGACTAATAATGGCTAAAAATAACTGCTCAGTAGTTTCAAGAACGTGCACAACTACAGGCCACCTGTCAATACGGGTTGCATGTGACATTACTAAGACAAGGTCTTATCCGATTAAAGGTTTCCTTGAAACATTGAGAAAGGAAAAGGGCCAAAAATAGTATGTTATAACGACGCTTGTAGACCTTATTCTCTTGAATTTGAAAAGAAAAAAAGGGTCGACTTGAGAAAAGAATCATTGGAGGGTAACTAACACGTTCATAGTATATCGGATAACGTTTTGTGCAGTGTGCCAATAAGAAAAGAAATTCTGTATAGTATCACGGAACACTTACTCGATGTATAACTCTCCACTTTGGAGATCGGCAGGGCGCAGCTTCGCTTCGACACCGGCAGAAATCGCCCCGAATCACCGTTCTTATGTGTGAATAGAAACCCCATTCAGGAAAGTTTTCCAGGTGCCGGCGCAGCAGATATATTTGGTATAGTGTAAGCATAGCTTAAAGCTTTTTGTCGCTCTACTGATTGAATTAAGCATCTTTCATGAGTAGTAAAGCGAACATTAATATTCTGAAGAGAATCATTTACGTTGTATTACGTAATCTATTAAGAAGTGAGAAAGGGAACATACTAGATGTTAGACAGCACCGCTTATTAATTGCGAAGATGAATTAAGAATTGTTGTGAATCAGATTTAGGTCAACAAGAACTCTTAAAAGAGATTGACTGGTCATTTCAATGAACTGCTATTAATCATACTTCCACGAGACATAGACTGTGGGTTACGACGGTTTCCATGTCTCCAGCTATGTCTTTTTACGTGACGCTATTAGTGGTATTAATCGCATTTGAACTACGAAAACATTATCTCAAGTCGAGTGCTCACCATGATTATCTCTTGCTCGTTCACCAAATTCATCAGTTGTCAGAGATTATGTGGTGCTGCTATAAGGCGCTGACCACTGGTTAGAAGTTAGACGTAACGCTGCTGAGTAAAATGAGCCCAGTCAGTAAGAATATGACAGTAATTACGAGTGAGCTACTACCTGCAGAGGGACTCCCACTATATTCAAGGTTAAATAGAATGAAAGGGTGAACCCGGAAACGAAAAAGTAACATCTCATTCAACGGAAAATCGAAGATGCATGCAGAGTTGTATGGACTGGTCGTTTTTATTTTGTTGCAGTCGAATTCTTAAATAAGTACGTGGAACAGTTTTATTATGATCTAGAGGGTAGTTCAGTTTTGTATACTTTTAGGCTAATATGGATATACGTTGCCAAAGAAGAAAATATAAAATTAAAAATGCCAAGGTAAATTTAAAAGGAATAACTCCATCGAACGATAAATAGTAAGATCAAAATTTAAACATCTGAAAAGAAGAAATAAGAACAAAAAAATACACTGGGGTAAAAAACTTTATCATCTGACGTAGCACTTGCTTATACCCATACCTTCCCCCCTCCCCTCCGCCCCAGTTTAGATTTGCATTGAACAGTTGACGACGGTCTTGTGTCCTAGTAATTCGAGCAGCACAATAATTGTAAGAGGCCTAACTCTCAAACTCTCAGGCAGTTTTAGAGCCTTTTAGACTACTGTAGCGATTTTATCTCGTGCTATTAAAATTCGGCTGTCCATACCAGCTTATGTCAAAACACGCGTGGATAATTTCATATGTTTCATACCAGCTTAATCAAGCGCGGTCAAGAAAGTTCCGTGTGCGCGAATATTAACAAACAAATTTTAAAATAGCAAACAAGGTACTTCAGCGTGAATAGCATGCATGCGTCGTTGTTTTCTTCCACGATACTCTTAGAATCGACGGCCACCGTATATACTGAGACAGCTATTAGACGTAAAAAAATAGGGATTTTCGCCAAAATGTCAGATCCATTACTAATATCGTAGCTTCGATAGTGGTTGTCATTTGACTTTGCACTTTTTATACAGTACACAGTTTCGTTATTATCTTTGATATTTGAAGAATCAAATAACTTAAAAGCGTCTCCCTAGAGCAGGATCACAGTAAGGCGTCGTATTGAATAAAAAGCCGACCACGTGTTTCGACGCTCAGTTCCTTTGACTGCGTTGTTATATTATACAAATCATAGGAAAATTTCCTACTAATAGCGCAATGGAAAGATATGATTCCATGACGTGCAAAATTCTACGCCAGATTCACTAGACAAACAGTGTTTTGATAGAAGAATTAAGAACACTTACATTGACACCAACCTACCTTCAATATTTTGCTGTTTGAATATACGGAATATCACTTCGTACATTTATGCCGTGTCATGCTCTTCCTTCTGGGTAACACCGTCACACGAGTGCGTGCGTCCCTAACCTCTAATTTCAAACATGTTCATTCGCACTCGACCACTTTACTGGCACAATATTTGAGATATAGTTATTTTATTCATCATATATGCTTTGCTTAAAGTCCTTGAAATGCCTTTCGTTCCTTTTTGATGATGCAAGCGACATGAAATAATTAAAGGACTAGTATATAATTGTCTAACGGATGTAAATTAGTGTCCCCGCCTGACCATTACAACTACCGCATATATTTGTATTTACACTGAGATTCTCCTCAACTTTAATTTAAGTCACCCAGGAATTAAGTTTTAACATTTATAAGCTTATTAACCCCTTATTTTCAAAACAATGTGGGAGAATAGTAGTGAGGCAAAAGTAAAAGTAGCAACGGTTTTTGGATGACCTCTCAGTCTCAGTTCAGCCGTCTTTTCTGATGGAAAATGGGCACCGGTTCTTCGTACTTAGGCGTAGAATAAAGGATTAATTCACACGCCACCGGAGGAAAATTATTGGTCGCCATACAGAAGAAAGTCGCCTAAAAAAAAAAAAAAAAAAAAGTTGGGAAAAGGAAAAGCAGTGAAGCCTTGAGTTGCGTCGGGGCGCAAATTGACGCGACCCATGAGAACCAATTATCTCGCACTCCGCATACGCATATTCTATGCAGAAACTCCAAAAGCTTTTTGAACTTCGCACCATGCGTCATGCAGCTTGCCAGTATTGGACCGTTAAGTGTTCCTGTTTATTTACCCAGGTTACAGCTCATTTCGATCCGGTTTGAATTCCTTGAAAACATCCTGTATCCCTGATCCATATATAGTCTATATATGGTAAGTTAAATCCGGTTCCGATGATTTTCGACAGAATACGTAGCAATATCAATGATCGAGTTCGAATTCCGTACGAGACGCTGATAATGTTAGAAGATTGCTCAACCGGGGACAATTTACTATATAATAATTCTTAACGAATTGACGTTCTTTATTGGAAACAAAATTGATATTATTGTTTTATACAGTGGCCGAATAAAGAAAGAATTTTACCTGCTTGAGAATTCAGTCAATTTTAAGGACGAGGGATGACAAACAGTGCTGTGACCTTGAAACCTGTTTCCAAAATAGTTATATGAAGTAAATAAAATACATTTTTACCTTCTGACTGTCCTACATGCATGAATTCTTTGGCACCGCTAACACTGTGGACAACTTTTAGATATTGGGGTTTATAATTACCACATTAGGAAATGACTCAGATCGCCGTTGATTTATGCAGCCAAAGAAATTATAAATAACTGGCCAGGATTGTTTTGTCTGTTTACTTTATTCTATTTCATTTCCCTTGAAACGGATGAAGAAAGATCAACAATACATATTAGTCATAAAGGCATTATCCACAGACGGAATATATTAGGTCTGCGAAACGGACGCCCCAACAGCTAGAGCTTAGCTTTTCAAGCGTCTGATTAATAATAGGTCTCGGATAAAGGTCGGCTCCCAACTCAAGAGTCTGTTGTGCACAATACACACTGGAAAATATCCGTTATTAGCAGCTAAACAAAACCACGCATGACTCCATTTGTGATTTTTCGTTATTTGATTTATTTACTTTTTTATTGGTGACTTCTTTATTATAGGCAAGGGTAAAAGCATGTGGAACAAAAGAACTTGAAAAAATTGAATTTAGGGAGATTGTATATTTACTCAGGTTAAGATTGTTTTACTGATTTGACTACGTGTGCTAAAAAGTTAAGGCCTCCTGGCCCAGTTTCTCAGCATGCTTTAATTTAGCACTGCTGTCTGGACTCTCAAAAGGCGCTGCTTCCCTTTCAAGCTCAAATTATGATATTTGTATATATGCAATATCATGCTTTTCATGATTTTCCACATTAAATTTCGTGTTTTAAGGTTAATTCTCCTTTTAGCGGCTGACTTTGTATATAATAGTGGAAGATTACATCACTGAGGCTCTGCTCGTAAACGATTATTCTCCATTCGTCTGCTGTTAGCTATTGAATGATGTAAACCGGGTTTGAATATCGCTGTTCTTCCTTGAACTGTGAAAGAATGGAACAATTTTCGGTATTAGTAAAAACACCTTTCATGCACAAATGTAACATCTGGCTAGCTAGGCTACGTGAGAGGCCTATAAGACTATTAATTAAGCAAAGAAGTGGTCTAAGAACCGGTTATACCTAAAGGTATTCGCCATTATTTTTTCCTCTCGTTGGCTTACACGTCAGCAACAGTTAGTTTTGATAAGCATCATATAGATTATCTATTAGTCAGTTATCAGAACAAAAGTTGAAACTACTCTGATATAGCTAGTCCTTAAGTTGCACGCTCAATGGATGATTTTCCAAAGTATAATCAGTCATTTGTGTTCCATGCAATAAAAGAATTATGAGATTTGATTTTGTGATATTCGAAATATCTAAAATCTTCTTAAGTGTTCATTTTAGCCCCTGTTCTGGATATTCAAAATCGAATCTGAAAATTGTTCAACAAACAAAGTCTAACCGAGACCGCGGTTTAAGACACCGAGTGGGCCTCCAAATCTGTTTGTAAGTTGTTTATTTTAAGAATGTCTCTCTTGGCTAAGGCGTAAGCCTCCTTGACATTGTAAACAACAATGTTTTGTATGTGAGGACTGGACAAATGGCGTTTGAATGGCGTTTTGCTAGCTAAAGTTGCTTTGTCTCGATATTTTTGACCAACTAGTTGAATTTTTCTAAAACAATTATTCCTCTCGCCCTCATGGCCTCTGAGTGGATAACCCATTCGGCCTTCGGCCTCATGGGCTATTGACTCAGAGCCCATTCGGGCTCGAGGAATAACTGTTTGCATGCATCAACTTTATTCCTTGTGAAGAAGACCAATGTTAATGTCAAACCATAGGACTTGAGAAAACTCGCTTGTGTAATAAATGCTGCTTTAAAAAAAATGAACTGTCTACCCGTTGTTGTCTATAGTATTACTAACTTCTTTGTTGACGTTAAATCCGGCCTTTCTGTGCTTTGCGTGGATAACAAATAACAAAGCCCCCACCACAAGAATCAATGCTGCGGCAGCGGCGACTAAGATCCAGAACAGCAAAGAAACTCTTGAAGAGGGTGAGGTGTCTCCTGAAGTTAATAGAAATGACAACGAAAGTTAAATGAAATGGAAATACGTGGACAAGTTCCGTCATTTGCAAAAGGAGCCAAAATTAAGATCTCACAATATCACTGAACCATATTTATAAAGAATAAGAGGTTTGGATGGTACAATTTATGAAAGAAGAATCACTTGTCATTTAAATGTGGAACAATAATACGGTGGTCACTCAGAATGACACATAGGCTTCAAGATCTAGCATATGCCGTCACTCGCAAAATGAACCAAAATTAAGATCTCACAATATCACTGAACCATATGTATAAACCATGAGAGTTTTGGATGGTACAATTTATGAAAGAAGAATCAATTGTCATTTAAATGTGGAACAATAATACGGTGGTCACTCAGAATGACACATAGGCTTCAAGATCTGGCATATGCCGTCACTCGCAAAATGAACCAAAATTAAGATCTCACAATATCACTGAACCATATGTATAAACCATGAGAGGTTTGGATGGTACAATTTATGAAAGAAGAATCAATTGTCATTTAAATGTGGAACAATAATACGGTGGTCACTCAGAATGACACATAGGCTTCAAGATCTGGCAAGTGCCGTCACTCGCAAAATGAGCCAAAATTAAGATCTCAGAATATCACTGAACCATATTTATAAAGCGTAAGAGTTTTGGATGGTACAATTTATGAAAGAAGAATCAATTGTCATTTAAATGTGGAACAATAATACGGTGGTCGCTCAGAATGACACATAGGCTTCAAGATCTGGCATACGCCGTCACTCGCAAAATGAACCAAAATTAAGATCTCACAATATCACTGAACCATATGTATAAACCATAAGAGTTTTGGATGGTACAATTTATGAAAGAAGAATCACTTGTCATTTAAATGTGGAACAACAATACAGTGGTCACTCAGAATGACACATAGGCTTCACTCGCAAAATGAAAAAAATGCCGTCACTCGCAAAATGAGCCAAAATTAAGATCTCACAATATCACTGAACCATATGTACAAACCATAAGAGTTTGGATGGTACAATTTATGAAAGAAGAATCACTTGTCATTTAAATGTGGAACAATAATACAGTGGTCACTCAGAATGACACATAGGCTTCACTCACAAAATGAAAAAAATGCCGTCACTCACAAAATGAGCCAAAATTAAGATCTCACAATATCACTGAACCATATGTACAAACCATAAGAGTTTTGGATGGTACAATTTATGAAATAAGAATCATTTGTCATTTAAATGTGGAAAAATAATACACTGGTCACTCAGAATGACACATATGCTTCAAGATCTGGCAAACTTATGCCGTCACTTGCAAAATGAACCAAATTAAGATTTCACAATATCACCGAACGATAAATATGTATAGATGTAAAACAAGAGTTTTTGACTGTAAAAATTTCAAAAGGAAAATCATTTGTCATTTGAAATGGAGTAGAATATTAAATAATAAATTATAGTGACCACTGCTTTGTCAAGTGCTGTCACCTGAAAAGTACAGTAACCCCAAAGAATAACATATTAAGTCAGCTGTACAACAAGCCAAATTACTGAATTATGGACATGCCAAGGTCACATCACCGACTTATATTGGTGTAAAAGAAATGTTTGCCTGCACAGCTCAAGATCTGGCTACTTAAGATTATTCCATTAATGAAGACGATGTGCAACAAAGAGTACAGTTATTTCTGCAGTAAACAAAAAGGAATCAATCAATGGCATATCATATCTGTGCATGCATCTTAAATTTTAAGATTTATCTTTGAGGTTTTAAGCTTACGCAAAGTTATTAGAAAACCAAAGTAAGTAAACGAACCACGATATCAAGAAGAACATACCTTTCTGCAATCCAGCTGAGTTGATGACTTGGAAACAGGCTTTATGTGAAGAATATCGCAACTGATCACTGTCTCTCGAAAATAACAAAGGTATAAATCGTAATAGAACAGCTGAATAGAAAGACAGGCTTTCTATTATCCGAAAATAACAAAACTACTCGTTTTGCAACGCTCTATTGCTTGAGACGTCCGCGTGAATTTGAACTGTTCAACGAAAGTTTATTTTACACTATTCTATTGGTTCAAAAGCCACACGTGACAATGTAAATCAAATCGCGCATGTGGCAAAGTCACGTGGAAGCCGGGGAAACAACAAACATGGCGGCTGATCTTGCGGTCGAGTGCATTCAGGACTACATTCACCCGGACGATGAAACTCTGCAATCTACTATTGAAATGACTCCTGGGTTCAAACCTTTCACATATTGTGCATTTTGTTCACCCAAATTGTAAATGGTAACGTTTTACGCAAGGGCCTCCTATTCCGAGACTTCTTGTGATATATTTTTTTTCCGAGCCACCGACCCAATATCAGGAAACGCATTCGACGCTAAACGAAAAAAAAGGGGGAATGGCCTTACCCGAAATAACCAGCTGCAGCAAGTAATATGATAAACTCTGAGAAGAATGTGATGGTGGTTGAAACGGGGCAATGGAAAATCAAAACTTGCGTGAAATATATAACACTGTGAAGTTTGGTAAATGTGCAAACGTTGGTTAAAGTGGTCGTAAAGATAGTTCTTTGATCATATTTTGCTTAAATTTACGCCTCTAGTAACCATAAATTTACACATTAACTTTGCTATGCCAGAAAATATCAAGCAAACATTCATTTTTGACGTTCGATTTTTACACAGAGAACAAAATGTCGGCAAATTTGAATCTAAACACCAAATTTACTATGGGGAGCAAAAGTGAAACAAAATATGTGTAAACTGGATATTTACTCCACATTTACGCCACCCTTGCAGAAAAGTAAACTTTCACTTTCGAACAAAATTTGCACCAAGAACAAATAAGTAGCAACATTAGTACCCTAAATTTACAATAGATTTGCTCAACTAGCAAACTTAGGCAAATCCGTTTTTTCGTCCAGTGCATCTTACCTATAGTCCTCTCCCATTAATTTCTTCCAGCGGCTTCAGTACAAATCACAGAGAGAGAGGCGAGCCTAGGGAGACTAGCCTCCCACGCAGGCGTTTTTAGGAGAGCTTGTTTTTCATCCCTCCCCACAAACGCCTGCTCAACTGAAAACAACATTGTTTTCGGTTGAGCAGGCGTTTGTAAGGAGGGATGAAAAACGAGCTCCCCTAAAAACGCCTGCGTGGGAGGCTAGAGGGAGACATGATATACACAAGCCGTGCTACACGTGTTATTCTCCCTCGGCGACTGGATTCATGTACTTATAATAGAACCCTAGTTCTCTGTTAGATTCAAGTGCTCGAGCAATAAGTCCTTTCACAGTCACCTAATTCAACTAACTTCAGAGAGTCAATGCAATACTGGCAGTGATAAAAAATGGAGTTAATTAGTATTTCCATTCTCCCCTTGCATGAGTCTTCGTAATCACTTAGATTCAGGTAAAACTGACGCTGCACCAGGAAAAGCCATCTTGTATTCTTCCATATGCCCTCTTGTCAATTAGTTTACACAAAATCAAGAAACCCTAAAATAAAGAAACTTAATATAACTTGCTTTTCGCGGAGTCAGGTTTTCCTGTTAAGGAAAGTAATGCATTCCTGGAGACGCCACTCTCCATAGCGTTTGCTGCCTTGCAGGTGTAGTTACCAGCATGATGTTCTTGAACGTTAAGAATGTGCAGCTCTGAGATTGTGCTTTCTCTTCCCTGATAGGTCTTGGCCTTATTATCAACGACTTTCAAACCATTCTTCAGCCAAATAATCGAGGGTGCTGGAGATCCTTCGACAGCACATGTAAATATCACGTGTTCACCAGGGGAGGCAGCGAGACTTGCCGGATGGCGATAGAAAAAGATGACAGTGCTTTCTGGGGGAAAAATTGTTTCAATTTTATTAGTCGCATCCCTGGGGGGAAGGGGGGTGGATACTCTCAACAATTCTTAAATGGGGAGGCCTCGCTCAGGGGTCCAACCCCTTACCCTTTTTGACATTTTTCATGAAATAAGTGCCCCTTTCGTATACCTACTATTGACAAATGGTACTCCTTTCACATACCTTGTTTGGAACTTTGCAGCCCTTTTAACTGCTGTAAAAGCACTGTTACTTAAATAGGAATCAATCACAAAAGTAGAACGTTTTCTCGACTTTATGAGGCCATAGAATTAATCTGTTAGCTCTTTGAGCCCTTTCACAGACCCAAATCACAGATTTCCCTACCCTTTCGTATACTTCAACGAGTTTAATCCCTACCCTTTCATATACCTGAAGCCTGAAAATGATGATGATACAATGATGATGATGATGATGAATCATGATAACGATAATTTACAATAATATTATAAGATAAGGCTGAGTATCATATGAAAAATTATATAGAACGAGGAGGGTGTTATCAGCCGAGACCAATTACGAGAGCTTGCGACAGCTCATTCTCGTAAGCGACCAGCCCTAAGTTAACACCACTTTTTCGGTGGTCGCTTAAGAGAGTTTCGATTTTATTTTCCACAGATGCCTTCTCAGCCACAACTTGTTATCCTGTTGTTAACGTTTCGCTGAAAGAGCTATCCATGCCCTGATTTGGGTATGTTGGGTGTACTTAAAAATCAACTCAATAAACAGCAGAGCTTGAGTCGTTAGCTGTTTTTTCCTAACAGCAGTACCCGTGGTGGCTGTTAGTAAAGCTAGCCTTACCTTTATTTGGAAATGATGTCTGTGGTTTGATCACGGTTGCTTCATTAGAGTAAGCTTTCCCTACTAAATTCTTTGCGAAGCAGTTGTATTTGTTCAAGCTGTTTTCGTCATTTTTTACCAGAAGAAGAATGAGCCAGGACATTCCATCAGTTTCAACGACTGTCGCATTGGCCTGCGTAGAGTTATTCTTTAACCAGGTTACCACAGGTGGTGGTGATCCAGTGGCCTTACACGCGAAGGAAACTAAAGTAATATTTTCTTTGAATGACACGAACACGTTTTTCGGATGAATTGAAATGGTTGGCACTGCAGGAAAAATAACGGAAGAAGGAAAATCAACTTTACGAACGTATTTTACCTATAAGAGGCGAGCGGAAAGCGGACATGGATTTTTGGATTCAGCACTGGATGGAGCATGCGCTCTGGGGTGGGCTCCGCCTAGCGCTTCATTGAGTTATCTTGAAGTCTTAGTGAGTGAACAGGTCTGATTTCTCTGAACAATAACCAAGGCTCAGAGTCCTCTACTAGTTCTTCGTTCCATTTTTTGAGTCACTGAGATAAAACAAAAAAGAAAAAAACAGAAAAAGTCTTGTCTTCAAAAGGCTGTGCAATAATAAAGATGACCTAATTGTGAGTACTTTAGATCCTAGCTACAGGGCACGTTTCTAAGGTAGAGACTATAAAACGTAAGACCTTTAATACGTCTTCTGTCTTACGATAAACGTTTTATGACGTTTTTGAATGGTCGATTACTATCCAAAGGCAACTCCTTACCAGGGCTATATGAGGCACTCTATCACCATCGAGGACTACCACCTAGACTTGAGACTTTGAAGAAATTACGTGTTATCAATATTAAAAAACATGCAAACAAACAAACAAACAACTACCTATGGCAAATTAACGTGTTTGCAGCTCTTTGCCATAAAATTGGGTTATAGTAACGCCAAAGCAAATTCTGGTTTTTCTACTGCGGATTCACTTCCTTGACTTCCAGCGATGAAAAGAAGGACAGCTTACCTTGGCTCAAACTCAGTTTTGTAATCAGTGATCTTTGCCAGCCATCCGAGTTGTTTGCTTCGCACCAGTATTTTCCTTGGTGAACTGGTTTGACAAATTCAAGAGTCAAGATCGAGAGTCCCTTGTCTCCAGTGGTGTTTGCCCTTGGTACAGGAATCCCATCCTTGAACCATGTTATTACAGGGACTGGGAAACCTGATGCCTTACAAGTCATGCTGGCTTTACCACCGGAAGATATTAACATTTGTACTGGAGGGTTCACAGTGAAAACTGGAGGAATTTTTTCTGTAAAAATAAAAATACAAAAAAAAAATAGAAAATAACAAACAATAAAAAAAGAAACTGATTTTGAAACAAAAAATTGAATTTCATATCACCCGAGAAAAGGGATAAAATGAAGGGTGAACTCCTGAATGGAATTGGTGGACATTTGCATTTGTGACGTTGGATCACCTCGACTGATTAGCCTTTAGTTAAATATTTTCTTCTGTTTGTTTTTTCGTAGAAATCACGTACACTTATTGTAATATTAAATACAGTAAAATTCAACACACTGTAAGTCAATATTACCTTTGAAATCTAACTGAATATACCCCATTGTGCATTTCCAAGAATTTCTAGTCCAACAGGAGTAATTACCAGAATCGCTCCTTGATGCATTGTGAATGACATAGCTGCAAACTTTGCTTTGCTCCCTGTCGCTTCTGCGACCACCGCAACTTTTTATCGTAATTAAACGGCTATCATGGCCGAAATAGATTTGCATCCAATATGGCATGTCGTATATTGGGTCGGAAATACCATCTTTCGAAGTGTTGCTGGTACAAGTTACTGTTACGTTGGACCCTATAGGTAACACATCTTCTTCCGGGAGGGTGTTGATGGTAAGAGTGGGAGCGGAAGAAACTGTAAGGAGTTGAATTAAAGAGTGCATAGTGTTAACTATAGGTGTCTTAGAAAATTGTTAGTTATAAGGATACATAGAGGTAACAATACTTTAAAATCATTTACCGACGTGGACTTACTACAATAGGTTTACTAGATAGATTGTTTACGAACCAGCATGAGGGCCTTTGTGAGCATCGGTATTAAAACGGTATATTTAAAAATCAGTTAAAGCCTGAAGAGTACTAATAAATACAGTAACTTTTCAATCATTGTTCGATGTGTCGGGAAGCTCTCCAAAGGCAGCTACAGAAGGCAGTCCCACATGACCCCTGCCTGTGTTATAAGCCCTTTCGTCTCGAGATATATACTACTTAAAGGTAAAATGGTCATAAAAGGTCAAAAACTGTTCTCTTATATATTGCCAAAAATTGGGCGGGCCTCAAGGCCTTCGAATCCCAAACAGTTTCTTTCTTTCAACGAGACTCTCTTAAATATCTTTTCTTAAAGAAAGAAAGAAAAAAAAAGAACAAAAATAGTCCATACTGACCGGACATCGACGGAAAGCACAGAACGGTCTATACTAGCTAGCGTACTATCTATACCTGTATGTTGATTTTCCATCGAGGCGCATTGGGATGTTTCCGCACTATGGAAGTAGAAAAACGCTAGGCAAATAAACAACAGCATGGCATGGCCAGGAGAAGTACCTGGAATGATTTGGAATACAAAATTCAAAATAACAAAATAAGTCGGTGTGATAAAAAAAAAAAAAAAAAAAAGAAAAAAAAGAGCAATGAATAAAGATGTTTTTTTTTTTTAATAGCCAACTTCGATCCCAAGAGTCTCAGTTCATGATCAGTTGGTAGCCATATTGTTATATATATATATTATATATTATCATCAATATTAGTGCCTTCATCTAAGGATCGCAGGCTTTAAGTACTTCTTTTTGCGCCCCTTCCTTTCCTTGGCTACTGTCACTATAAAATGTCGCTGTACTGGCTGATTTGTGCTACTGACTGTATGTAGTTATACTAATTAAAATAGAATGGTTTGAATAATTATTTGGTTGTTTAGTAAACAACAATTCAACAGAAACTGTTTTACGAGTTTCGACTGACTTGCAAATCAGGGAACAGTGTATACAGTTGTATGGCTTGAATGGAAAAAACTCGCTCGGGATTCTGTCGGCATTTTTATCCTGTCAGGAATATTCTAGTTACCGTACTGATTTCCTCCTAGATGATTTTTCTAACACCTCAATCAACAAAAACAACGGCAGAAACAATAATATTGGTAAATTGCATGATTCACTTTCATACTAAAAGAATAACTTGTATATTTAGCCATAACAAAGACTAATAAGGTTTGTAGTCCAAAGTTTTCTTTTCTTTTCTTTTTTTTTTTTGCCCTTGAACATATGACAACAACATTTCACTTTGCTCCACTGAGTGACAAAATAGTAGAAACAAAATTTGAAGGCAGATGCTGCTTAGAGAAAATCCTAGTAGATAAGAGCTTACAGTCATGTATAAGAGCTTGTAAGGAACAGTTAACTAGCCACTCAATCTACTCTCAAGCCCTGAATAATCTGTTTTGCGGCAAGCTTGTAATAGAATCGATCTGGTATTGCGAAATCATTTTTGTCGTAACTTTTAATAACCACGTTGTCCGTAAAGTAATTGCGAAATTTTAAAGATTTTTTGCTCGCTGCGCTTGCCGGGGTGACAAGGGAGTAACGAAGTAAGAAAACATATAGATTGAAGTTCTTACGTGATATATAGACGAAATCTTCAAACACGATCATAAAAATGAGCGTCGATTGTTTGCCTGACAATTAGCAATCTGATGCCCTCGCGCCTTTCTGGATAGTTAAAAATGAACAGTTCTTATTCAAACACGTTATGTTCTACCGCATTTTTGTCCATTGCGTGGGTCCAAGGTAATATGTAGACTCTTTTATTAAAACCACAATTTTCAAAGAAGTGGAAAGCGTTCCGGTCTATCACGCCACCTGTCATTGCCGGATGCGATGACGAAAACATCCAATCAATTACTGAGAGCAAACAAAGCAAACGAGAAGCAAAAAGGTAGAAACGTTCTTTCTAAATCCATACGTACCTGAGGATTCCTTTATTTTCATGGGCTTAGCCGTAAATTGGCTAAAAATGAACGGTAATGGCTCTTTCAAAAATCCTGAAAAATCGGCAGCTTCTGCGAGAAAGTCTTTCCTTGTGATATTGAACCGTCATGATGATGTTAAGCATCGAAAAAAGCTTCAATGCGTTAATTTTTGCGGGTTTTAAAAAGTCTTCAAAAGCAAATATATATGCACGACAAAATAATTGAGCATTTCGAGGGTGAAGGGAATGAAGTACTCATTATCCCATTAGTCTATTTGAAAAGTCTTGTTATTCCATTATTCCACTTTAAAAAGTAAAAATAATAATAGAAAAAGAAAAAAAAACCTTGAAGTTCTTTTTTTTTTTTGCACAGGGGCAACCGCCATTTCACAATTCCCCAGAAAGGGATGCATGGGGAGTGGAGAGTAGAGAATGGTTGCACTACTGATTCCAAAGACAAAATTTCGGTTACGTTGGTATTCTCATTCGTTTTTTTTCCTTAAAGTTCGATCGCAATTCATAAGTATCATCATTTGTTTCTCTCTCATTTTTGTAGTAAAATCATTGGAAAAAAAGAAAATTTGAAAAAGGATAAGATGATAATAATAATAATAATAATAATAATAATAATAATAATAATAATAATAATAATAATAATAATAATTTTTTTTTTTTTTTTAAATAAAACAAAACTTTATTCATAATTTAAAAAAAAAAAAAAAAAAAAATCGGTCATCTCAAATAATTTGAATAATCGGTCATCTCAAACACTTTGAACATTGCCAGAACATTTAAGATAAATAGTTAGTTGGTGCGTTAAAAACACCACATTTTAATTTTTTTTTTCTCCAGAAATCCATAAACACACGTGTCGCAAAAGCTGTATTTTACTGATATTTTTAAGTAGATTTTGTACAGTATAAGAGTTTGATATTACTCTAAATAGGCTTTTAGTAGAGATAACCACAGTGTGATGGTCTCGTGTAGGTTTATAAGAGAAAATGAGGGTATAAAAACTGAATAATTTTCCCATTTTCTAAATAGGCTTCTGGTAGAGATAATTATATCATCATGTATTTGCATACTTGCCGTCTTCTAAATTGGCTTTTTAAGTAGAGAGAATCATATCATTATGGAAATTAGGATTGTATTAGGTTTCGTACAGAACTTTTTCTACTTCTAAATATAGCTTCTCAAGTGTGTAGGTTACAGTGCGCCCTAATGTGGACAGCATTCCAAAGTTTGACACTGCGAGATCAGTAATAGGCTAAGATCATAGACATCTCTATCCCTGGAGAGGCGCGCTCAGTGGAGAAAGTGACGATTGTAACACGATTGTGATTGTGGCATTGGCAGCTGTAACTATCCGATATGTTTGAGAAATTAAGTAAAGTGGGCTTTCTTACAACTTTAAAGTTTCAGTTTGTTTAGGCACTTAATCGGTCTTATTTCGTTTCATATTTTGTGTCAAACAGGCTTAATGCAGCCCAAACCCGACCTGTAACGTAATTTGAAGCCCATGAGACATTTGGGCAGTTAAGAGCACTCACATTCAACTGACGTGTACTTATTTTAAGCCTTGGTTTGATTTCCTTTTTTTGCTTGTTTGTTTCCCTTCCTATAATTTGTCAGGTATCTTTCGTGATCATCAACGTAGACAAAATTAAAATAATTTTTATGTTGTCTATGTTATGTTAAAACTAAAGTGTGTATCCTTTTTATTATTATTATTATTTTATTATTATTATTATTATTATTATTGTCGAAAATGTTATTGTGAAATTGTAGACATTAGAAATTCGGTCACCAATATTCAGTTTGCTTAGTCTAAGTTGCTCAAGCTTTGTCGATATAATTTGTTTATTCAGTTAAACTAACTTTTTCCCTTTTTTATCCTTCTTGACTGGCAATTAATTTGGTTCAGTGGATAAGCCTTTTACGGCTTATTTTCACTATCATTTGGTATTCAACGACGTTTTATTCAGAAAGGATCCGTAGTGACATCTTAACTCTTGCAGTTTTTTATGTAACAATTTGGACAGGAAAGGTATCCCTCAGGCACACCTTTCTTTGTAAGATGGTAGTACCCTTTACATGGCTACTTCTTGTCACGCCACTATTAAAATGATACAGCCGTAAGATGAGTCTTATTGAAAAACTTACTTGAAGGCCTTTTTTGAAAACCTAAGTGACAGAGGTTCCTAAACCATCTATATGCCTCTGGAGAGAAGCAGGTTAGAAAAGGCTCCCTTTTCAGCCGAAGCCTTACCACTGAAATGACCGAAAGTAACGACCCCCCGTTGTGACAATTAACCTACGCAGGGCCGGCATTTAACCGTCCATTTCTCACTATTTTCAAGAACTACAATCCTCGTAACATTAAGTTGGGACACCCGGTGCAGCAACCATATTGCGGCTAGCCTGCGTAGCAAGCGTTTCTGTGCGGTTTAGGAGCAAAGAACAAGGGACAGAAGTCAAAGACCATGCTCGGTCTTTCTTTGCTCCGAAACCAAACGGAAACGCTTGCTACGCAGGCTATATTGCGGCAAAACGTTGTGCTCTTTCCCTCCCAGTGTTGGATCTTTTGCTTTAATTCTGTGATGCCAACCCGCAAAAACCAACATTGAGGGGGCAGAAATATCGGAATGATTCATACCGCCCCAACTAATGTGACGAGTATTGTAGGAAAGATTGCTTTCATATCCTAGATTTCCATTTAGTTAGCTAGAAAAATACTCAAACACTCAAATACTCAACTCCGATCGTATTTAGGGCAAGATGTACTCACGTGCGCTTTTTCTTATGGCTTGAATATGGGGGAAAAACTCAAGTTAAGAGCTTTCCGCCGCTCTCTATTATTTTCCTCCCTTGCGCGGTGTCATATCTTAAGCTTTGCGTCATGTACATGCATCATTTGTGTGGCTAATATTTACTTCCTTTCCAGGAAGCTAAGTAGTTTCATAATTCAATTACGTTCGTTTTCAAATTTAACTTCCTCGTTTTTAAAGCGGCTTACAGCAAGTAAAACTGCAAAATAAATATTTATTTGTTTGCGAGACATGAATTACTACCAAGAGAATTCTCTCTTCTAACTACTAAAAAAGGAGAAATTTAAAGTGGTTTACGTTAAAGACACGGACAAAATATTATGACAGAACGTGCTTAGTAATGGTAATAGGACCGAGTGGAGTACAATTCAGGGAGTTATTTCGGGCGATTATGTCCCATTTGACCAGTCCGATTACAGCCTCCTTGTAATCGGACAGGTCAAATCGGACAGTGCTATAGTAAGAGTTACAATAGCAAAATTAAGTCGTAAAGATATACATGGGCTGTTAAGAACCAATCAGATCTAAGCATTTTGTTATTGACACAATTGACTCGGTAATCTCGATACTGTACTGGTAGGGTAGTTGGACTCCCTTGTGTTCGTTTCATTTTATTTAATATTTTTGTAAATGGCCACTTGACAACAGGTGTATTTGAAATCAGAAATAGAACAATCATGTTTTTTGGGGAAGTTAAATTGTCGAATTCCAACTACATACAACAAGTTTGGAATTGAATCGGCATTGTGCCATATATTTAATTTCTTTACCTTCACTTTCAGATTATTTAAAGATGATAGCTAAAATAAATGAAAGCAAGAGAGCCTGTAATTTTAAAAAGATTACGAGATATCATGACATACAGTCCAACCTCTAAAGAGTGCTACCACTCTCGTAAGCGGACCAGACCTCCCATGAGCAGCCATCTATCTCCAAAAAAAAAAAAAAAATGATTATACTGTTGGAACCTCTCCCATAAAAGCACCTCTCAGGGGCGGCTGCAACCACTTTTTGGAGAATTATATTAGTTATTTGCACGTGGTAAAATATCCTTCAAAACCTTTAAGGGTCAGGGCAGCTCTACTCGGAAAAAAAAAAAATTGTGCTTCGATTACTGCTAGCCTGCGTAAGAGGCGTCTAGAAGGGTAAGGGGACTGGGGGAAGGAAACAAGAGAGGGGCATTAAGGACGATTCTTCATAAGCGCCAAGGTCGCTTAAGGGAGGTTCGAGTTAAGTGTAATATAGATGACAGCCAAGCTCCGGCTTTTCTAACAGGAGTGCCACATAAACACTCTTCTCTAGACGGTCATCGGCTGTTTACGTGAGTCGAGAATTTTCGTTGTTTTTCGGCTTTGACCGTCAGCCGAGGTGTCGGCTTTAGCAACCGGCCATCTCGGCAGGTGGGCAAGCCTGCCTTCCGAATAACGCTAAACGGCGACGCTATAGTCTGGCAAACCTAGGAACTAATCTGGCTTTGCTTCAATTTAGCTTCTAGCGCTTCTGTCGGTCAAGTACTGTACAGTTTTGCAAACTAATCAGTAAAAGGCTTAGACATTTACATACACTAGCCGTATTTTCTAGTCATTACGTTCCATTTAATTTATTGAGAACTGGGCAGTTGCTGATTGATAGCATCTAAAGGTTTGAACATCTTTGTTCTTTGATGATCTGTGTAAAAAAGAATACAAACTTTGTCGTTAGCATAAAATATCATAGGGGAAGTGCAAGGTGAAGTGAGTAGGAACATGTAAAATGGGTGAGGGCCGGGGGACAGGGGAGTTGGACTGTAAGATGTTCTTCGGCTAGCAGATTACGACTGACAACGTTTTCTAATATAACCAAATCTGCTTTCGCTCTTGGCCTACTGCCTACTGATAAATAACATAGGGCTCTTACGAAGTTGCAAATAACGAGCGGTGTAGCTGCAGTGTAGAATCGGCCACAAAATTAGCTGAGACACTTTTCACTAAAAACAGTTTCTAAGCTTTTAAAGGGAGAAGAAAGCTTTCCACCCCAACTCCTTCAGGTAACATCATGTCGATGTTAGAGCTACCTGAAGGAAACAACAAAATTAAAACCCCAACTTTGAATGGATGGAAGCGGTGTTGAATGTTTTGTTCTCCGAACACTATTTGAGGACAGGTCTCAGCAATTTTTTCGCCGATTGAAGGTCAGGAATACCTTTAGTCATAATTAGTATTGACAAAATAAATAGCAATTAAGTATCTCATACTAAGCAATTTATACTGTGTCGTTATTGCATGTCAATATCAATGCGTAATCATTTCTTCATTTTACCTCTTTTTCGACGCTAAACGCAGCATTTCTGTTCTTCTTATAGATCACCAATATCAGTAACACCATCACAAACAATAAAACTCCTGTTGCAGCAACTAAGATCCACAGGAGAGGAAAATGATCGTCGCTTGTTGAAGCTGAAGTATCATCTATAAATAGCAAGCGCGAGGTAAGCATTTCAATGAGAAGTGAACGTGCGGTTGTTGAAATCCATACAATATTTATCTCTTACTTTCTTTACCGGGCTATAGTACTAGTTATAAATGCTCAGTCTTTTCCTGATTGGAGGAATTGATTGCTTGTTTCTGTTCATGTTTGATATTAGCAGTACGTCCAGTTTTCGTTAGAGCATTGAGTCAACCTATTCGTGCGGATCACCCGGGAGGCTCCCTATATAAAGGCCAAAACGAGGAGGCTTCCTCCGAACGGGGAACCTTTTTTAGGCTTCAGGTATATGAGAGAGTAGGAATTTCACTTAGGCTGAAGTATATGACAGGGTAGGGAAATTTGCTAGTTCGGTCTGTATTTTATGGCTGTGAAAACGTCACGAAAACGTTCAGCGGGTTTTGCTGGACGTGTTCATGTATATAAAACAATGCTTTTACAGCAATTGAAACGGATGCAAAGTTCTTAAACATATATGTGAAAGGGTTACCATTTTTGGAATGCAGAAAAGGGGTACGTTTTCTGTCAAAAATGGTAGATATAAAAGTAAGGGGTTGGACCTTGGGGCTTGATTACCCCCTGACCCCGGGGGGGATCACCAAGCAGTCCGATCCTCTAAGAGATTTACGTCTGTAATTTTGTAAGCTTAAATATATATTAGCTTATTATATTATTTTGGTAATTTATGCATTCAGCGCCCTAACCAGTGTTTACTTGAGTGCTTAGTTGAGTGCTTCTCAACGACTTTGGATAGCGTAGATCCAGATTAGAATGGCCAAATAATGATTCAGCTCCATCAGGAACCTGGTCAATAGGCACATGGCTGTTAGTCTCTAGTTTTAGAAACGATTAAACATAACAGACTTTAGCTAACTTGACTTGGTGCCTAGCACATCTTTGATCAGTTGTCATGGATTTCACTAGTTAAACTATATAAAACTGTAGGGAAATCTGTCATTTGGGTCAGATGAATGTTATGGCTTAAGAAAAGTCGAGAAAATGAGATATTTTTGTGATTGATTTCTTTTTTAAAAGACAGTGCATTAATAGCAGTTAAAAGGGATGCAACGTTCTTAATGGGAAGAAGCTCATTTTTTTATTACCTTTGCTTGGTTCGGACCGATACGGCACAGACAACATGAATATTTTTGTGCGCTGCTGAAATCTTCTATGTCAAGGATTAAATTGAGAGCTCGAGAAGACCACCTTATATACGAGGAACAAGAGTGGTCCAAGTATTGATCATTGCAGCGCGCCTGATAATACAGGGAGAGGTTCAGAGTTGACGCCGAGAACGGCGACCCTTTAGACACGGTCAGTGAGATGGTCTTCGAACCAAGACACTTGCTGTCGCAGATGTCGAATCGGTGGATTTTCTAGTGTAGCATTTATATTCAACGAACACTCGGTTTCTCGAACCATTCCCATGTGTCCGGTTGTGCTGTTTCCCACTGTAAACCATTTTAAGTCCACTCTTTCACTTACAGCATTAAATTAAATTCTTAATCTGTTTATTACCGTGAAAGGTTTGAACCCAGGAGTCATTTCATAAGTAGGTTGGGTATGATCGTCCGGGTGAACGGCTGAGACGAAAGCAGTCGGTTTATCATCAAAACTGTGTAAAATATAACAGACTTTAAAGCGTCTTGAAAGCTTGGAACATGTTTTATTTTGTTACCTTTTAGGGTTGATAGAGACTTTGTAGTGGGTATCTCTGCGAACGTCAACGCTGCTTCGCTGGAATAAGATCTTCCCATTGCATTTGTTGCCACACACATGTACGTAGGATTCTCTTCCTTTATAGTACGTAAAACAAGGTTGAGAGTAGAAACACTTCCATTGCTGGTCACGGAGTCGTTGACGACTGTCGAGTTATTTCTTAACCAGATTATAACTGGAGGCGGAAAGCCTTCTGCAGCACATTTTAGGGCTACAACTGCAGTCCCAGATTGTAACTTCACAGTATTGTCTTGGGGATGCATTGTGAAGAAGGGCTTCCACAATACTAAAGCATAAAGCAAGCGAACGAATTTAATATTAATGATATTAAATCTCCCCATGTAGCAATGCAATGGCAAACAATAAACACTTAATGACTGGTCCCGAGAGGAAACAGCTAATTTTGATTCCCGAGAATCTCAATATTTCCCGAGGCGAGGGTAATGCGACCATGTTAGGCCCACCAGACGTCCCGAAGATATAAAATTTACATATCTGCATGTTTACCCAAATTTATCCACCTTTTACCCCGTTTAGCCATGCTTACCCCTGTTTATCCACGTTCCAAGCCGTTTACTCGTGTTTACCCAAGTTTATCCATGTTTTACCCCGTTTACCCTTGTTTACCCCAGTTTATCCACGTTTCAACCCGTTTACCGATGTTTACCCAAGTTTAGCCATGTTTTACCCCGTTTACTCGTGTTTACCCAGGGTTACCCAAGTCTTACCCCGTTTACTCGTATTCACCCAAGTTTATCCATGTTTTACCCCGTTTACTCGTCTTTACTCAAGTTTATTCATGTTTTACCCCGTTTAGCTATGTTTACCCCACTTTATCCATGTTTTACCCGTTTACTCGTGTTTACCCAAGTTTATCCATGTTTTACCCGTTTACTCGTGTTTACCCAAGTTTACCCATGTGTTACCCCGTTTACCCATGTTTACCCCAGTTTATCCATGTTTTACCCCGTTTACTCCTATTCACCCAAGTTTATCCATGTTTTACCCCGTTTACTCGTCTTTACCCAAGTTTATCCCTGTTTAACGCCGTTTACTCCTGTTTACTCAAGTTTATTCATGTTTTACCCGTTTACTCGTGTTTACCCAAGTTTACCCATGTCTTACCCCGTTTACCCGTGTTTAACCCAGTTTATCCATGTTTTACCCCGTTTACCGTCTTTACCCAGGTTTATCCATGTTTTACCCCGTTTACTCGTATTCACCCAAGTTTATCCATGTTTTACCCCGTTTACTCGTGTTTACCCAAGTTTATCCATGTTTTACCCCGTTTACTCGTGTTCACCCAAGTTTATCCATGTTTTACCCCGTTTACTCGTGTTTACCCAAGTTTATCCCATGTTTTACCCCTGTTAGCCCGTTTACTCGTGTTTACCCACGTTTATCCATGTTTTACCCGTTTTTTACCCAGGTTTATCCATGTTTACGTTTACCGTGTTTACCCAGGTTTATCCATGTTTTACCCCGTTTACTCGTGTTTACCCAAGTTTATCCATGTTTTACCCCCGTTTTACTCGTGTTTACCCAAGTTTATCCATGTTTTACCCCGTTTACTCGTGTTTACCCAAGTTTATCCATGTTTTAGCCTGTTTACTCGTGTTTACCCAAGTTTATCCATGTTTTACCCCGTTTACTCCGTGTGTTTACCCAAGTTTATCCATGTTTTACCCCGTTTACTCGTGTTTACCCAAGTTTATCCATGTTTACCCCGTTTACTCGTGTTTACCCAAGTTTATCCATGTTTTTTGTTTACCCAAGTTTATCCATGTTTTACCCTGTTTACTCGTGTTTACCCAAGTTTTCCATGTTTTACCCCGTTTACTCGTGTTTAAGTTTATCCATGTTTTCCAAGTTTATCCATGTTTTACCCCGTTTACTCGTCTTTACCCAAGTTTATCCCTGTTTAACCCCGTTTACTCCTGTTTACTCAAGTTTATCCATGTTTTACCCGTTTACTTGTGTTTACCCAAGTTTACCCATGTTTTACCCCGTTTACCCGTGTTTACCCCAGTTTATCCATGTTTTACCCCGTTTACTCGTGTTTACCCAAGTTTATCCATGTTTTACCCCGTTTACTCGTGTTTACCCAAGTTTATCCATGTTTTACCCCGTTTACTCCTGTTTACCCAAGTTTATCCATGTTTTACCCCGTTTACTCGTGTTTACCCAAGTTTATCCATGTTTTACCCCGTTTACTCGTGTTTACCCAAGTTTATCCATGTTTTACCCCGTTTACTCGTGTTTACCCACGTTTATCCATGTTTTACCCCGTTTACCCGTGTTTACCCACGTTTATCCATGTTTTACCCCGTTTACTCGTGTTTACCCAAGTTTATCCATGTTTTACCCGTTTACTCGTGTTTACCCAAGTTTATCCATGTTTTACCCCGTTTACTCGTCTTTACCCAAGTTTATCCCTGTTTAACCCCGTTTACTCCTGTTTACTCAAGTTTATCCATGTTTTACCCCGTTTACTCGTGTTTACCCAAGTTTATCCATGTTTTACCCCGTTTACTCGTGTTTACCCAAGTTTATCCATGTTTTACCCCGTTTACTCGTGTTTACCCAAGTTTATCCATGTTTTACCCCGTTTACTCGTGTTTAACCAAGTTTATCCATGTTTTACCCCGTTTACTCGTGTTTACCCAAGTTTATCCATGTTTTACCCCGTTTACTCGTGTTTACCCAGGTTTATCCATGTTTTACCCCGTTTACTCGTGTTTACCCAAGTTTATCCATGTTTTACCCGTTTCCGTGTTTACCCAAGTTTATCCATGTTTTACCCTGTTTACTCGTGTTTACCCAGGTTTATCCATGTCTATCCATGTTTTATCCATGTTTATCCATGTTTACCCCTGTGTTTACCCAAGTTTATCCATGTTTTACCCCGTTTGTTTGTTTACCCAAGTTTATGTGTTTTACCCAGGTTTATCCATGTGTTTACCCCGTTTGTTTAGTTTATCCATGTTTTACCTGTGTTTACCCAAGTTTATCCATGTTTTACCCCGTTTACTCGTGTTTACCCAAGTTTATCCATGTTTTACCATGTTTACCGTGTTTACCCAAGTTTATCCATGTTTTACCCCGTTTACTCGTGTTTACCCAAGTTTATCCATGTTTTACCCCGTTTACTCGTGTTTACCCAGTTTATCCATGTTTTTACCCCCTGTTTACCGTAGTTTACCCATGTTTATCCATGTTTTCCGTGTTTACCCCTGTTTACCCAAGTTTATCCCATGTTTTACCCAAGTTTATCCATGTTTTGTTTACCCAAGTTTATCCATGTTTTACCCCGTTTTCCGTGTTTACCCAGGTTTATCCATGTTTTACCCCGTTTACTCGTGTTTACCCAAGTTTTCCGTTTACTCGTGTGTTTTACCCCGTTTTCTCGTGTTTACCCGTTTACCCAGGTTTATCCATGTTTTATCCATGTTTACCCCGTTTACTCGTGTTTATCCATGTTTTACCCCGTTTACTCGTGTTTACCCAAGTTTATCCATGTTTTTACCCCGTTTATCCATGTTTTACCCCGTTTAGTGTTTACCCAAGTTTATCCATGTTTTACCCGTTTACTCGTGTTTACCCAAGTTTATCCCATGTTTACCCTGTTTACCCTCCGTGTTTACCCAAGTTTATCCATGTTTTACTCCCCCGTTTATCCTCGTTTGTTTACCCAAGTTTTATCCATGTTTTACCCCGTTTACTCGTGTTTACCCCAATTTATCCCTGATTTACCCGGTTTACCCATGTTTAACTCTGTTTATCCACTTTTCAACCCGTTTACTCGTGTTTACCCAGGTTTATCCCTTTTTTACCCCGTGTTTACCCAGGTTTATCCCTGTTTTACCCCGTTTACTCGTTTTTACCCCAGTTTATCCTTGTTTTACCCCGTTTACTCGTTTTTACCCCAGTTTATCCCTGTTTTTCCCCGTTTACTCGTGTTTGGCAAAGTTTATCCATGTTTTACCCCGTTTACTCGTGTTTAGCCAAGTTTCTCCCTGTTTTTACCCTGTTTACCGTTTACCCAAGTTTATCCATGTTTAGGTTATCCATGTTTTAGCCCGTTTACTCGTGTTTACCCAAGTTTATCCATGTTTTACCCCGTTTACTCGTGTTTACCCAAGTTTATCCATGTTTTACCCCGTTTACTTTTACCCCATGTTTTACCCGTTTCGTGTTTACCCAAGTTTATCCATGTTTTACCCCGTTTACCCCGTTCGTGTTTACCCAAGTTTATCCAGTTTATCCATTTTGTTTACTCCTGTTTACTCAAGTTTATCCATGTTTTACCCGTTTACTTGTGTTTACCCAAGTTTACCCATGTCTTACCCCGTTTACCCTTGTTTAACCCAGTTTATCCATGTTTTACCCCGTTTACTCGTGTTTGGCAAAGTTTATCAATGTTTTACCCAAGTTTATCCATGTGTTTACTCGTGTTTACCCAAGTTTATCCATGTTTTACCCCGTTTTCGTGTTTACCGTGTTTATCCAGTTTTTAGCCATGTTTTTTACCATGTTTACCTCGTATTCACCCAAGTTTATCCATGTTTTACCCCGTTTACTCGTGTTTACCCAAGTTTATCCATGTTTTACCCATGTTTTACTCCTGTTTACCCAAGTTTATCCATGTTTTAGCCCGTTTACTCGTGTTTACCAAGTTTATCCATGTTTTATGTTTATCCATGTTTGTTTTACCATGTTTTACTCGTGTTTGTTTACCCAGGTTTATCCATGTTTTACCCCGTTTACTCGTATTCACCCAAGTTTATCCATGTTTTACCCTGTTTACCCAAGTTTATCCATGTTTTACCCCGTGTTTACCCAAGTTTATCCATGTTTTACCCCGTTTCTCGTGTTTACCGTGTTTTTATCCATGTTTTAGCCATGTTTACCCCGTTTCGTGTTTACCCAAGTTTATCCATGTTTTAACCCGTTTACTCGTGTTTACCCAAGTTTATCCATGTTTTACCCCGTTTACTCGTGTTTACCTCAGTTTACCTACGGCTTACCCCGTTTACCCATGTTTACCCCAGTTTGTGCATGTTTTACCCTGTTTACTCGTGTTTACCCAAGTTTATCCATGTTTTACCCCGTTTACTCGTGTTTACCCCAGTTTATCCATGTTTTACCCCGTTTTCTCGTGTTTACCCAGGTTTAGCCATGTTTTACCCCGTTTACTCGTATTCACCCAAGTTTATCCATGTTTTACCCCGTTTACTCCTGTTTACCCAAGTTTATCCATGTTTTACCCCGTTTACTGTGTTTAGTTTATCCATGTTTTACCCCGTTTACTCGTGTTTACCCCCATGTTTTACCCGTTTGTTCATTTTACCCATTTACCCATGTTTACCCAGGTTTATCCAGTTAACCTCGTTTACCGTGTTTCACCCATGTTTATCCATGTAGTTAACCTCATTTTTACCCCATTCATCCCCATGTTCACCCCTAGTTAACCTCGTTTTTACCCCATTCACCCATGTTTACCCTAGTTAACCTCGTTTTACCCCATTCACCCATGTTTACCCTAGTTAACCTCGTTTACCCCATTCACCCATGTTCACCCACCTGTTTACCCCATTCCCCTAGTTAACCTCGTTTTACCCCATTCACCCATGTTTACCCTAGTTAACCTCTTTTTACCCATTCACCCATGTTTACCCCTAGTTTGTTTTACCCCATTCACCCATTTTACCCTAGTTAACCTTGTTTTTTCACCCATGTTTACCCCATTTACCCTTGTTACCCCATTCACCCATGTTTACCCCTAGTGATAATAATCAATGACAGGCCTGCACGACTCACTGCGTTATGTTGTGGTCATTGTTATGAACGCTGCCTTATATTTTTGCCCTAACAAGCATGTCTTTAAGAGATTGCCCTTTCTTGTAGGATATAATTGGCGGATCTTTAAATTTATTTTTCAGCAAAGGCTGATTTTGTATTAAGTTTCAGTTTTGCATCAATATATTTTTAAGGTTACGCACCGATGGGTGGTATGTTGTAAGAAATGGGTAAATGTGGTAAAACGAGGTTAACTAGGTGTGAACATGGGTGAATGGGGTAAAACGAGGTTAACTAGGGGTAAACATGGGTGAATGGGGTAAAACGAGGTTAACTAGGGGTAAACATGGGTGGATGTGGTAAAACGAGGTTAACTAGGCGTGAACATGGGTGAATGGGGTAAAACGAGGTTAACTAGGGGTAAACATGGGTGAATGGGGTAAAACGAGGTTAACTAGGGGTAACCATGGGTGAATGGGGTAAAACGAGGTTAACTAGGGGTAAACATGGATGAATGGGGTAAGACGAGGTTAACTAGGGGTAAACATGGGTAAATGTGGTAAAACGAGGTTAACTAGGTGTGAACATGGGTGAATGGGGTAAAACGAGGTTAACTAGGGGTAAACATGGGTGAATGTGGTAAAACGAGGTTAACTAGGGGTAATCATGGGTAAATGTGTCGAAACGAAGTTAACTAGGGGTAAGCATGCTTAAATGGGGTGGAACGACGTTAACTAGGGGTAAACATGGGTAAATGTTTCAAGAGCCCCCTACAAGGGTATTGGTTGTACATGGTAATTACATGTTTCGGGACGTCTGGTGGGCCTAACATGGACGCTTTACCGAGGCGAGGCCGACGGAAACATTGAGAACTTTTTGATTTATGATATAGCTGGAAATTTTGAAGCAGGAAATTCATTTAACTTCGTTGTAATCGCGGTTGTCGGTCAACATTCCGTGTTACCCTGTAACGTCATAGATTTTTTTGCAATGTTGCCCGCTCGGAGATTTTGGCGGGAAACAGTTTTATTGTTAGATGTCATGTTGTGACCCCGAAGTAAATAATGAAAGAGCGCTGTTAGGAAGTTTCCAGCTATATAATATCCAGTACTTGTTTTTTTATGGAGGGCCCCTACCTTATCTTCCCTCTGAAGCACTGGACATATCCGTGATACAAAAATGATAATATTTACCTGTGAGAGTTGCAGTCGATGACCTTTTCCAACCTGCAAAATTGCTCGCCTCACACCAGTAATCCCCTTTGTCTTCTCTTTTGATCGACTCATAACGTAACAGGGAATGACCCTTGACAGTACTAATTGGAGAATGCAGGAGGGGACTTCCATTCTTAAACCAAGTGATGGTTGGCAGCGGAATTCCGGATGCTTGGCAAGTCAGGTTGAATTTGCTTGTAGAGGGAACAGTAACTTGTCGAGGCAGGTCGAGAGAAAAAGTTGGCGATACTGGGTCTGAATCATAAAGGAAATTTTGATAGTTTAGATTATCGTAGTTTACAAAAAGTTTTACAAATTACTAGGCCGGCTTACCCTTTTATTTTGTTTTTGTTTTGTGCGGCTAAAGCAATTAACTTTGTACTAGCTTATTTTGCTAAAAATAATTGCGGAAAAGTATCCCAGACAGGAAAATGGATAACAAGCAAGCGTAATTGTGGGTGCATGAATGGTAAGGCTTAGCATAGATTCACCATACTTTGTTTGTACAGTCCATAATATTACTAGTGCATGAACAACAAAAGCAAACCCACATTTTTGAAACCTAAACCGCGGACGTTCTTGATTTTATATTAGCGAGCCCGGCTTTATAACTTGTAACCGGTATCAGTCATATATAGTTACTAAGAACCGCAATTGCTACCAGCCCTAAGACGTTCAAATTGTTGAATGATTGCACCCTTTTTTACGTCATGGTTTACTTAGGAGCTAGCCTTTTTTGTGTCTCTTTTTTCTTCCCATTTTACTAACTGAGGAAACAGTAATGTCATACTCTTAACCAAGTTAATAGCGAAGGAAGGATAGGCTGTCAGGACTTCAATTACTACCAGCCCTTTCAAACTGAATAAATGCAACTGGTATTACGTCCTATTTTTCTTTGGAGCTAGTCAAAATCAAGTCTCTTCTTTCTTCTCGTTTGCCCAGAAAAAGCCCTTCGAAAGAGGAATTAATAATAATTACAATAATAGAGATGATGATGACGATAACAATCATCACGATAACAAGGCGCTTAAAAACGCATTTTACAACGCATGTCCCAATTAAGTTAGGACATTTTCAGAATTATGAACGAACAGATTAAAATGAAGCTGCTATATACCTTTGAAATCTAGCTGAATAGACCCAATTGTGCAGGATCAGGAGTTTCGAACCCAGCAGATGTATTCGCCAGAATCGCTTTTGATGCATTGCGGATGACATAGGAGCAAACTTTTCTTTCTTCTCTATCGCTGCGTTGACCGCCGCATTGATTCTTTTTTCTGCCATTCAAATAGAATTCGATCGAATACGGCAGGGAGGTATCTGGATCTCCGAGATATTGCCTTGCACGGTCGGCGGTGCAAACTATTGTTACGTTGTAGCCCACTGGCACCACGTACTCATCCGGGAATTCAAGGATGTCGATAGTCAGAAAAGGAGCTAGAGGAGCTGAAAAAGTTATCAAGAGAGCAAGAGAAAAGTCGATTTGGTTCCATTTACCGGCATGGCATTAACAGCGATGTTAAAGGTGAAGACGGAAAAAGTAACTACTTCCCTTCATCAAGAAGTTAACTAATCGTTCTCGTGTTCAATATATGTAAAAAAGTGTAGCTCAACTGCCTATAAACAGAGCAGGAATAGAACAACACAACTCGGCGAAGGCGGCTGCTATTTGATTGGAGGAATATCGTCTCCTAGGCCATTAAAACTAAATCCTCTGAATTTCTCGAGGAAAAGGCTCTTTCCTAATTCTGCAATCCAGCAACGCTCCATAAGAACATATACGAGATTATTTGGTAGCTTGCATCTTTATATGCCCCGGGCATTATTAATGGTGATGTTAAGTAATGACAATGAATGAATTGCAGTGAATCGCAAATATTGTTCCCTTTAATGGCATAATCCTCGTCCTTAGTAATTAGTTTTAGAAGGTCGATTTTCACTAGCGTCGGAGTTTGCGTTTTTTTTTTCTTCCGACTGAGAGCCTGGATCTGACTAGAGTTATAAACTAAAGACATTTAGACTTCTTTTGACTGACATAAATACGCCATCTGAAATCAAGTCGTACTACAGCCAAGCCACGACTTTTGTAAACGGTCCTATTAAAAGGATAACAGTAGAAAAATGACTGGTCTTTGTACTCTTCGATTTAACAGGTTCACGTTTAGCAATATAATGTCACACTCTAATATAAAGGAACGTCTTCACTCTTTTTGTTCATGAGCGCTATGGGACAATATATTTACTGTATCTCTATTAGGGTGTAAAATCTACTTCAACTGGTCGAGTTGCCGGTTTCTATACAGCATACCTTCATGCAGTTTTTCCACTGGCACTTGAGGGCACGTATCACCGAGGTAGAAATACGCTAGGCAAATGAAGATGAATAACTGCATATTAACACAGCGTGTTCCCTTACTAGTTTGACCTGAAAACAACTGGGAAGACAATAAATTAAGGATTAAGTAATAACAATGAAAGCATCTTTATTTAACCGATTTAATAACCAACCGTTCAATCATTCAACATGTAATCCCCAAGCTAATTCTGATAGCTGAGAGTCATAAATTACACTGGTTCTAAGATTTAAACTTCACGATCAAGCGCTGTACACAATTCTGGTTGCACAATGTATGATCAGAGTGTAGATGGCTTTAAAGGTATGCACTTCATGTCAATGAGGTCTAGTTTGTGAGCCTGCGTGTGTGAAACACTCATTTCACTTCTGTCTTTATTCTTATTTATTCTTGGCGGGAATCAATGAAAGTTTAAAAAATTGTGAATCGGCCAACCCTTTTGTTGTTGTTACATAACGTATTTTCCTCGAATACAGAGCGATGATGTAACATTTTTCTTTAACAACAGGTTTTGCTCATGAAAAAGGGAAAATTGTCTACAGTAGGTAGCTATAAGCGATTTGCAAGGCTAATACGACTAACGCCACAGCAAGATTGAACAAATTCAATTCTTTGAAACAGGTGTTTCTCAATCGATTTCATCGGACAGCATATTCATGAAAAGGGAAAGCATTCACCTAAGTGGTTTGCAAGTGGTTTGAATAACGCCATAACAGAAATTGAACGGAATTAAATTACAGCATTTGTGAAAGAAGAATACAAGTTTAAGCCTACTTTCTTTTAAATATGTTTCAGAAAGGACAGTAAAAAATGCCCTGAGAAATCCGACAAAATTAAAAAATAATAATAAGGGACCGGTCATTATTTATGTGTGTGTGTGTGTGTGGGGGGGAAATCATGGGGTGGGCCAGGCCTATTTTTTTTTTAAAAAAGGGGTGGGCCAAAAGAGAATTTCACGATGATTGGGGGTGGGTCATTGTGTGTTTTGTAAAGAATCACACTCACTAAAATTCATGTGGAAGATCTAAATTAATTCTAATGCAATGTAGCAACATGTAGCAATCCAACCTAAGTATGGAGAATCAAAGATGTGGGCACTAAATATCAATAAGAAGGGAAGGGGGAGAAGGGGAGCTTGACACTGTGAAAGTCTCCGAGTTGGACAAATATATTGAGCATAATAAACTTAGCAAGAACGGAAAGAAAATCGACAAAATTAAGCGAATCACAGTACACTATTATGAAACTTCAAAGGAATCTACATTTCCTTCAAGCATCACTGTTGGTGAAGATAGTGATGAGAGTGACAGTGACAATGACCTTGTTTTGTGTGATGAAAGTGAAAGCGAAAGTAAATCAGATGATGACAGTCATACTGTAACAATACAAGAAGGCACATCAACAAGAAGTGGCCGCAGAGTAGGACACTACTGGTCCACAAGATATGCTGATTTCGTTCAGTGAACAGGAACTCCTTATAGAGGTATAGATTGAAGGGGGTTGGGGGTGGGTCACCTCTTATATAAAGTTATATGGGGGTGGGTCAAGAATTAACTAATGGGCTTAAAGGGGTGGGTCACGTTTTTTCTTTCATGCTAAAACAAAAAATATCCCCCACCCCACCCCACATGAACAATTACCAGTCCCTAAGAAAAGGAAAACACAATTTAATAAGTTTTGCAAAAAAAAAAAAATTAAAACAACAAAACAAAACGAAAAAAAAAATACATCCTGATCGAAAACACCCAAAACAGGTAGCTGTATTCAAAACTACTTTTACAAGAGTTTGCGACACAAGGAAATAAGGAAATACTGTTGCTTCAGTGTTAATGGTATTAGAGGCTAATTAAGTTAGCACCAAAAACACACAGGTAGACAGCTTACTTTGGTATCCCGCTCAAAGCCGATGTGTAACTCTTCCAACTCGAACATAGATGAGCTTCAAACAGTCTTTTAGGGTAAGTTCACGCTTTTTTAACGGTCTGTTCTCGATCGTCTAGGTACGAACGAAGTATAATCCCTATTTTGACCAATAATGGCTAAAAGTAACAGAAGTTTCAAGAACGTGCACAGCTAGTAATGCGGCTCTCAGGCCACCTGTCAATACGGGTTGCATGTGACATTACTAAGACGACAAGGTCTTATCGGATTAAAGGTTTCCTTGAAACATTGAGAAAGGGAGAAAAGTGCCAAAAATAGTATGTTATAACGACCCTTGTTGACCCTATTCTCCTGAATTTGAAAAGAAAAAAAGGGTCGACTTGCTAAAGGAATTAGTGGAGGGTAACTAAGGCTACGTTCACTAGATACCAGATAACGTTTTGTGCCAATACGAAAAGCTATTCTGTATAGTATCACGGAACACTTACCCGATGTATGAGTCTCCACTTTGGAGATCAGCACGGCGCAGCTTCGTTCCGACACCGGCAGAAATCGCGCCCAAATCACCGTTCTTATATGTGAACAGAAACCCCGTTCAGTAAAGTTTTCCAGGTGCCGGCGCAAAAGATATCCGGTATAGTGTAAACATAGCTTAAAGCTTTTTCTCACTCTCCTGATTGAATTAAGGAACTCAATGGCACCGAACGAGAATATAATTGAAAACCACTTAAACATAGCATTGTTTAACGTATTTTAGTACTTAAACGGTAGATATAGGCATGTTTTTATCCCCTAACAATTTTTCATGTGTTCTGATTTTTTAGCTGAAAATCTAGTGATCCGAAAATTATAGGGAAATCTCAGACAGAGAAAAGGCTACCGAAAATTCTAGGTGACCTTTTTACGAGTAGAAATCCGTTAAAAATGGTCAATGATAGCATTTTTCAGATGTTCGAAAAATCCTAGGAGAGGCAGGCAAGCAAGAAATTTTACAACAAATGTTCTGAAAATTCTAGATCTCAAATCGTCTTCCGAACAGATGTTTTCCAAAAATTGACGTTGGGTGCCCCTGGCAACTTTGTGTAGTAAAGCGAACATTCCGAAGAGAATCATTTACGTTGTGTTACGTAATCTATTAAGGGGAACATACTAGATGTTAGACAGCACTGCTTATTAATTGAGAAGATGAATTAAGAATTATTGTGAATTTAGGTAAAAAAAAAAAACTCTTAAAAGAGATTGACTTGCCATTTCATTATGAACTGCTACTTATTACACTTCCACGAGAAATAGACTGTGGGTTACGACGGTTTCCATGTCTCCAGCTCTGTTAGGGGTATTATCATGTCTGCATTTGAACTATGACAAAAATTATCTCAAGTCGAGTGCTCACCATGATTATCTCTTGCTCGTTCACCAAATTCATCAGTTGTCAGAGATTAATGTGGTGCTGTCATAAGGCGCGGACCACTGGTTAGGTTAGACGTAACGTTGCTGAGTAAAATGAGCCCAATCATTAAGAACATGACGTACGAGTGAGCTACTACCTGCAGAGGGACTCCCACTGTATTTAAGGTTAAATAGAATGAAAGGGTGAACCCGGAAACGAAAGAGTAACATCTTAGTCAACAGAAAATCGAAGATGCAGAATTGTATGGACTGGTCGTTTTTATTTTGTTGCATTCGAATTCTTAAATAAGTACGTGGAACAGTTTTATTATGGTTCAGAGGGTAGTTCAGTTTTGCATACTTTTAGGCTAATATGGATATACGTTGCCAAAAAAGAAAATGTGAAATTAAAAATGGGGAGGTAAATTTTAAAAGGAATAACCCTATCGAAGGATAATTAGTAAGATCAAAATTTAAACATCTGAATAGAAAAAATAATAAAAAAAGGGAACAAAAAATACACTGAAAATATGTAAAAAAAACTTTATCATTTGACGTGGTACTTACTTATACCCATACCTCCCCTTCCCGCTTCCCCCCCCCCCCCCCCCCGCTTAGAAAGAATGAGATGATTTGCAGTGACCAGTTGACGGTCTTGTGTCCTAGTAATTCGAGGAACACAATAACTGCAAGAGGCCTAACTCTCAAACTCTCAGGCAGTTTTTCCAGCCTTTTAGACTCAAAAGCGATTTTATCTCGTGCTATAAAAATTGGGCAGTTCATACCAGCTCATGTCAAAATACGCGTGGACAATTCCATATGTTTTATACCAGCTTAATCAAGCTCGGTCAAGAAAGGTCCGTGTGCGCGAATATTAACAAACAAATTTTAACACAGCAATAAAAAGGTACTTCAGCGTGAATAGCATGCATGCGTCGTTGTTTTCGGCCACGATACCCCCAGAATCGATGGCTACCGTATATACTGAGACAGCTATTAGACGTAAAACAATAGGGAGGATTTTCGATAAAATGTCAGATCCATTACAAATATTGTAGCTTCCGATAATGGTTGTTATTTGATTTTACACTTGATACAGTACACAGTTTCGTTATTATCTGTGATATTTGAAGAATCAAATAACTTAAAAGCTTCTCCCAAGAAAAAGATTATAGTAAGGCCTCGTATGGAATAAAAAGCCGACCATAAATGTTTCGACGCTCGGTTCCTTTGACTGCGTTGGCAAGTTTTACGAATCATCAATAAACGTACGATAATAATTGTGAAGGAAAATTTCCTACTAATAGCGCAATGGATTTGATTCGGTGAAGAGCAAAATTCTACCGCGAGATTCTGTTTGTGGCGAGAACAAGAACACTGACATTCAGACACCAACCTACCTTCAAAATTTCTCTTCCATTAGCCTTTTAAGACGAATTATTTCCGGTCGTTTTGCTGTTTGAATATACGGGATATCACTTTCGTATATTTATGCCGTGTCATGCTCTTCCTTCTGGGTAACACTGTCACACGAGTGCGTGCGTCCCTAACCTCTAATTTCAAGCTAGTTCATTCGCCCTCGACCACTTTACTGGCACAATTTTTGAGATAAGTTATTTTATAAATTATACATGCTTTGCTTTAAAGCCCTTGAAATGCCTTTCGCTCCTTTTTGATGATGTAAGTGATATGAAATAAGGAACAATGGTTTATCCACCGAATTCTTTAGGACTAGTAAAAAATTAATCAGTGTCTAACGGATGTAAATTAGTGTCACGGGCTGACCATTATAACCATCGCATATATTTGTATGTACCGATTCTCCTCAACGTTTGTGTCACCCAGGAATTACGTTTTAACATTTATAAGCTTATGAACTCCTCAGTTATTTTTAAAACAATCTCGGAGAGTAGTAATGAAGCAAAACTAAAAGCAGCAACGGTTTTTGGATGACCTCTTATAATTAGTGTCAGTTCAGCCGTCTTTTCTGATGGAAAATGGGCACCTGTTCTTCGTACTTAGGCGCAGAAATTAAGAATTAATTGACACGCCACCGGAAGAAATTTATTGGTTGCCTTCATTTGGTCATATTCGCCATACAGAAGAAAGTCGCGGAAAAAAAAAAATGGGGGAAAAGGAAAAAGCAGTGAAGCCTTCAGTTACATCAGGGCGCAAATTGATGCGACCCATGAGAACCAATTATCTCGCTCTCGGCATACATGTTCTGTGCAGAAACTCCGAAAGCTTTTTGAACTTCGCACCGTGCGTCATGCAACTTGCCAGTATTGGACCGTTAAGTGTCCCTGTCTATTTATCCAGGTTACAGCTCATTTGGATCCGGTTTGAATTCCTTGAAAACATCCTGTATCCCTGATCCATATATAGTCTATATATGGTAAGTTACATCCGGTTCCAATGATTTTCGACAGAATACGTAGCCATATCTTCGCTTCGGAGACCTATTTTAATAGGTCTCCGAAGGTGATCACTCTCCCAACTCAAGAGTCTGTTGTGCACTATACACACTGGAAAATATCCGTTCTTAGCAACTAAACAAAACCGTGCATGACAAAAAATTTTGATTTTTCGTTATTTGATTTATTTACTTTTTTATTGGTGTCCTCTTTATTAAAGGCACGGGTAAAAGCGTGTGGGACAAAAAAAGTTGAACTTAGGGAGATTGTATATTTACTCAGGCTAAGGTTTTTACTGATTTGACGACGTATTCAAAAAGTTAAGGCCTCCAGGTCCAGTTTTTCAGCATGCTTTCAAGCAGTGCTGTCTGGACTCTCAAAAAACGCTGCTTCCCTTTCAAGCTTCTCACTGCAGGACTCGGGCTCAATTTATATTTGTATATATGCAATATCATGCTTTTCATGATGTTCCACATTAAATTTCGTGTTTTAAGGTTAATTCTCCTTTTAGTGGCTGACTTTATATATATTTGTAGAAGATTACATTAGTGAGCTTCGAGGCTCTGCTCATAAACGAGTATTCTCCATCCGTCTGCTGCTTTTCCTCAGCTGTTAGCTATTGAATGATGTAAACCGGGTTTGAATATCGCTGTTCTTCCTTGAACTGTGAAAGAATGGAAAAATTTTCGGCGTTAGTGGAAACACTCTTCATGCACAAATGTAACTGAATTATCCTGCTAGGGCTATACGTGAGAGGCAGACAAGACTATTAAAGCAAAGAAGTGGTCTAAGAACCTGTTACTTAAAATTGTTATACCTAATTGTCAATTCACTATTATTTTGTCTTCTCGCTGGATTACACGTAGCAACAGTTATTTCTGATAAGCAGCATATAGATTATCTATTAGTCAGTTATGAGAACAAAAGTTGAAGCTATATAGCTAGTCCTTAAAAGTGCACGCTTAATGGATGATTTTCCAAAGTAATCAGTCATTTGTGTTCCATGCAATAAAAGAAATATGAGGTTTGATTTTGTGCGAAATATCTAAAATCTTCTTAGCCCCTATTAATATTCAGGATATCCAAAATCGAATCTGAAAATTGTTCAACAGACGAAGTCTAATACACAGAGTGGGCCTCCAGATCTGTTTGTAAGTTGTTTATTTTAAGAATAATAGTCTTGGCTAAGGCGTAAACCTTCTTGACACTATAAACAACAATGGTTTAGATGTGAGGACTGGACAAATTTAAAATGGTTTTCTGAAACACCCTCTAATTCTGTTGTAGGCCGTAAGTGCTTGATTGACACATGATAATTAAGGTAGTCGGGCCAACAAGAAAATGAAATTTAGCTTAGAATTCATATCATAGTTGCCTCAGGAAAAAAAAAGTGAACAAGTTAAGTGACAAACACTACACAAGGTCGGGGAAAGGGAAGGGAAAAAAAAAAGAAAAGGCAGCGAGGATTGACTAATTTTCTTACATTTTAGACCACATTAACTAATACTATTTAGTAAAATCCAGCTGGTGGTCTATTATTAATGCTGCGTTCTGATTGGTTGAGCTACTACCAGGCTATATCTTTTAGCCCTCTATTAGCGAAAAGCCCCGGCTTTGAAAACCAAAATAATGGCAGCTGAATCTCGTTTTGCTAGCTTAAGTTGCTTTGTCTCGATATTTTTGACCAACTACGTTGGATTTTACTAAAACAATTATTCCTCCTCCCCCCATGGCCTCTGAGTCAATAGCCCATTCGGCCTTCGGCGGCCTCATGGGCTATTGACTCAGAGCCCATTCGGGCTCGGGGAATAATTGTTAAACATTCATCAACTTTATAACTTGTGAAGGAGACCAATGTTAATGTCAAAGCACAGGACTTGAGAAAACTCGCTTATGTGAATGCTGCATAAAAAAAAATGAACTGTCTACCGGTTGTTGTTGTTGTTGTTTTATACTAACTTATTTGTTGACGTTAAATCCGGCCTTTCTGTGCTTTGCGTGGACAACAAATAACAAAGCCCCCACCACAAGAATCAATGCCGCGGCAGCGGCGACTAAGATCCAGAAAAGCAAAGAAACTCTTGAAGAGGGTGAGGTGTCTCCTGAAGTAAATAGAAATGACAATGAAAGTTAAATGAAATGGAAATACGTGGACATCATGCATCCTTACTGTTGACATCTTACCTATAGTCCTCTCCCATTAATTTCTTCCAGCGGCTTCAGTGAAAATCATAGGGAGAGAAGCGAGCTGAGGGAGACATGATATACACAAGCCCTGCTACACGTGTTATTCTCCCACGGTGACTGCATTCATGTACTTATAATAGAACCCTAGTTCTCTATAAGATTAAAGTGCTCGAGCAATACGTCTTCTTACAGTCACCTAATACAAGTAACTTCAAAGGGTCAATACAATACTGGCAGTGATACAAAATGGAGTTAATTAGTATTTCCATTCTCCCCTTGCATGAGTCTTCGTAGTCACTTAGATTCAGGCAAAACTGGCGCTGTACCAGAACAAGCCATCTTGTATTCTTCCATATGCCCTCTTGACGATTAGTTTACACAAAATCAAGAAACCTTACAATAAAGAAACTTTATATAACTTGCTTTTCGCGGAGTCAGGTTTTCCTGTTAAGGAAAGCAATGCATTTTTTGAGACGCCACTCCCCATAGCGTTTGCTGCCTTGCAGGTGTAGTTACCAGCATGATGTTCTTGAACGTTAAGAATGTGCAGCTCTGAGATTGTGCTTTCTCTTCCCTGATAGGTCTGGGCCTTATTATCAACGACTTTCAAACCATTCCTCAGCCAAATAATCGAGGGTGCTGAAGATCCTTCGACAGCACATGCAAATATCACGTGTTCACCATGCAGGGGAGGCAGCGAGACTTGCCGGATGGCGATAGAAAGAGATGACAGTGCTTTCTAAGGAAAAATTGTTTCAATTTTATTAGTCGCATCCCTGGGGGGAGCGGGGGGGAGGTGGATACTCTCAACAATTTTTAAATGGGGAGGCTCTGCCCAGGGGTCCAACCCCTTAACCTTTTTGACATTTTTCATGAAATAAGTGCCCCTTTCGTATACCTACTATTGACAAATGGTACTCCTTTCACATACATACCTTGTTTAGAACTTGGCAGCCCTTTTAACTGCTGTAAAAGCACTGTTACTTAAATAGGAATCAATCACAAAAATAGAACGTTTTCTCGACTTTATGAGGCCATAGAATTAATCTGTTAGCTCTTCGAGCCCTTTCACATACCCAAATTACAGATTTCCTTAACCTTTCGTATACTTCAACGAGTAAAATCCCTACCCTTTCATATATCTGAAGCCTGATAATGATGATGATGATGATACAATGACGATGATGATGATGAATCATGATAACGATAATTTACAATAATATTATAAGATAAGGCTGAGTATCATAAGAAGAATTATATAGAACGAGGAGGGTGTTATCAGCCGAGAACAATTACGAGAGCTCCGAGAGCTCATTCTCGTAAGCGACCAGCCCTAAGTTAACACCACTTTTTCGGTGGTCGCTTACGACAGTCTCGATTTTATTTTCCACAGGTGCCCTCTCAGCCACAACTTGTTATACTGTTGTTAATGTTTTGCTGAAAGAGCTATCCATGCCCTGATTTGAGTTTGTTGGATGTACTTAAAAATCAACTCAATAAACAGCAGAGCTTGAGTCGTTAGCTGTATTTTCCTAACAGCAGTACCCGTGGTGGCTGTTAGTAAAGCTAGCCTTACCTTTATCTGGAAATGATGTCTGTGTTTTGATCACGGTTGCTTCATTAGAGTAAGCTTTCCCTACTAAATTCCTTGCGAAGCAGTTGTATTTGTTCAAGCTGTTTTCGTCATTTTTTACCAGAAGAAGAATGAGCCAGGACATTCCATCAGTTTCAACGACTGTCGCATTGGCCTGCGTAAAGTTATTCTTTAACCAGGTTACCACCGGTGGTGGTGATCCAGTGGCCTTACACGCGAAGGAAACTAAAGTAATATTTTCTTTGAATGACACGAACACGTTTTTCGGATGAGTTGAAATGGTTGGCACTGGAGGAAAAATAACGGAAGAAAACTAAAAAAAAAGGAAAATCAACTTTACGAACGTGTTTTACCTATATGAGGCGAGCGGAAAGCGGACATGGATTTTTGGATTCAGCACTGGATGGAGCATGCGCTCTGGGGTGGGCTCCGCCTAGCGCTTCATTGAGTTATCTTGTAGTCTTACTGAGTGAGCAGGTCTGATTTCTCTGAACAATAACCGACGCTCAGAGCCCTCTACTAATTTTTCGTTCCATTTTTTGAGTTACTGAGATAAAACAAAAAAGAAAAAAACAGGAAAAGTCTTGTCCTCGAAAGGCTGTGTATAATAATAAAGACAACTTAATTGTGAGTACTTTAGCTCCTAGCTACAGGGCAAGTTTCTAAGGTAGGGACTATGAAACATAAGACCTTTAATACGTCTTCTGTCTTACGATAAACGTTTTATGACATTTTTGAATGGTCGATTACTAACCAAAGGCAACTCCTTACCAGGGCTATATGAGGCATTCTATCACCATCGTGGACTACCACCTAGACTTGAGACTTTGTAGAAATTACGTGTTATCATTATTAAAAAGCATGCAAACAAACAAACAAACAACTACCTATGGCAAATTAACGTGTTTGCAGCTCTTTGCCATAAAATTAGATTATAGTAACGCCAAAGAAAATTCTGGTTTTTCTACTGCGGATTCGCTTCCTTGACTTCCAGAGATGAAAAGAAGGACAACTTACCTTGGCTCAAACTCAGTTTTGTAATAAGTGATCTTTGCCAGCCATCCGAGTTGTTTGCTTCGCACCAGTATTTTCCTTGGTGAACTGGTTTGACAAATTCAAGAGTCAAGATCGAGAGTCCCTTGTCTCCAGTGGTGTTTGCCCTTGGTACAGGAATCCCATCCTTGAACCATGTTATTAGAGGGATTGGGAAACCTGATGCCTTACAAGTCATGCTGGCTTTACCACCGGAAGATATTAACATTTGTACTGGAGGGTTCACAGTGAAAACTGGAGGAATTTTTTCTGTAAAAATAAAATAAAAAATAGAAAATAACAAACAATGAAAAAAGAAACTGATTTTAAAACAAAAATTTGAATTTTATATCAGCCGAGAAAAGGGATAAAATAAAGGGTGAACTCCTGAATGGAACTGGTGGACGTTTGCGTTTGTGACGTTGGATCACCTTGACTGATTAGCCTTTAGTTAAATAATTTTTTTCTGCTTGTTTTTTCGTAGAAATCACGTACACTTATTGTAATATTAACTACAGTAACATTCAACACACTGTAAGTCAATATTACCTTTGAAATCTAACTGAATAGACCCCATTGTGCATCTCCAAGAATTTCTAGTCCAACAGGTGTAATTACCAGAATCGCTCCTTGATGCATTGTGAATGACATAGCTGCAAACCTTGCTTTGCTCCCTGTCGCTTCTGCGACCACCGCAACTTTTTATCATGATTAAACGGCTATCTTGGCCGAAATCGATTTGCATCCAATATGGCATGTCGTATATTGGGTCGGCAATACCATCTTTCGAAGTGTTACTGGTACAAGTTACTGTTACGTTGGACCCTATAGGTAACACCTCTTCTTCCGGGAGGGTGTTGATGGTAAGAGTAGGAGCGGAAGAAACTGTAAGGAGTTGAATTAAAGAGTGCATAGTGTTAACTATAGGTGTCTTAGAAAATTGTTAGTTATAAGGATACATAGAGGTAACAATACTTTAAAATCATTTACCGACGTGGACTTACTACAATAGGTTTACTAGATAGATTGTTTACGAACCAGCATGTGGGCCATTGTGAGCATCGGTATTAAAACGGTTTATTTAAAAATCAGTTAATGCCTGAAGAGTAGCAATAAATACGGTAACTTTTCAATCATTGTTCGATGTGTCGGGAAGCTCTCCAAAGGCAGCTACAGAAGGTAGTCCCACATGACCCCTGCCTGTGTTATAAGCCCTTTTGTCTCGAAATATATACTACTTAAAGGTAAATTAAAATGGTCATAAAAGGTCAAAAACTGTTCTCTTATATATTGCCAAAAATTGGGCGGGCCTCAAGGCCTTCGAATCCCAAACAATTTCTTTCTTTCAACGAAACTCTCTTAAATATCTTTTCTTAAAGAAAGAAAAAAAAGAACAAAAATAGTCCATACTGACCGGACATCGACGGCAAGCACAGAACGGTCTATACTAGCTAGCGTACTATCTATACATGTATGTTGATTTTCCATCAAGGCGCACTGGGATGTTTCCGCATTATGGAAGTAGAAAAACGCTAGGCAAATAAACAACAGCATGGCACGGCCAGCAGAAGTACCTGGAATGATTTGGAATACAAAATTCAAAATAACAAAATAAGTCTGTGTGATAAAAAAAAGAAGAGCAATGAATAAAGATGTTTTTTTTTTAATAGCCAACTTCGATCCCAAGAGTTTCAGTTCATGATCAGTTGGTCACTACAACGACGTTAAAACATTAGCCCTCCATTTTGTTATATTATCATCAATATTAGTGCCTTCATCTAAGGATCGCAGGCTTTAAGTACTTCTTTTTGCGCCCCTTCCTTTCCTTGGCTACTGTCGCTATAAAATGTCCCTGTACTGGCTTGATTTGTGCTACTGACTGTATGTAGTTATACTAATTAAAATAGAATGGTTTGAATAATTATTTGGTTGTTTAGTAAACAACAATTCAGCAGAAACTGTTTTACGAGTTTCGACTGACTTGCAAATCAGGGAACAGTGTATACAGTTGTATGGCTTGAATGGAAAAAACTCGCTCGGGATTCTGTCGGCATTTTTATCCTGTCAGGAATATTCTAGTTACCGTACTGATTTCCTCCTAGATGATTTTTCTAACACCTCAATTAACAAAAACAACGGCATAAACAATAATATTGGTAAATTGTATGATTCACTTTCATACTAAAAGAATAACTTGTATATTTAGCCATAACAAAGACTAATAAGGTTTATAGTCCAAAGTTTTCTTTTCTTTTCTTTTTTTTTTGCCCTTGAACATATGACAACAACATTTCACTATGCTCCACTGACGAAATAGTAGAAACAAGATTTGAAGGCAGATGCTGCTTAGAGAAAATCCTAGTAGATAAGAGCTTACAGTCATGTATAAGAGCTTGTAAGGAACAGTTAACTAGCCACTCAATCTACTCTCAAGCCCTGAATAATCTGTTTTGCGGCAAGCTTGTAATAGAATCGATCTGGTATTGCGAAATCATTTTTGTCGCAACTTTTAATAACCACGTTGTCCGTAAAGTAATTGCGAAATTTTAAAGATTTTTTGCTCGCTGCGCTTGCCGGGGTGACAAGGGAGTACCGAAGTAAGAAAACATATAGATTGAAGTTCTTACGTGATATATAGACGAAATCTTCAAACACGATCATAAAAATGAGCGTCGATTGTTTGCCTGACAATTAGCAATCTGATGCACTCGAGCCTTTCTGGATAGTTAAAAATGAACAGTTCTTATTCAAACACGTCATGTTCTACCGCATTTTTGTCCATTGCGTGGGTCCAAGGTAATATGTAGAGTCTTTTATTAAAAGCACAATTTTCAAAGAAGTGGAAAGCGTTCCGGTCTATCACGCCACCTGTCATTGCCGGATGCGATAACGAAAACATCCAATCAATTACTGAGAGCAAACAAAGCAAACGAGAAGCAAAAAGGTAGAAACGTTCTTTCTAAATCCATACGTACCTGAGGATTCCTTTATTTTCATGGGCTTAGCCGTAAATTGGCTAAAAATGAACGGTAATGGCTCTTTCAAAAATCCTGAAAAATCGGCAGCTTCTGCGAGAAAGTCTTTCCTTGTGATATTGAACCGTCATGATGATGTTAAGCATCGAAAAAAGCTTCAATGCGTTAATTTTTGCGGGTTTTAAAAAGTCTTCAAAAGCAAATATATATGCACGACAAAATAATTGAGCATTTCGAGGGTGAAAGGAATGAAGTACTCATTATCCCATTAGTCTATTTGAAAAGTCTTGTTATTCCATTATTCCACTTTAAAAAGTAAAAATAATAATAGAAAAAGAAAAAAAAAACCTTGAAGTTCTTTTTTTTTTTTTTGCACAGGGGCAACCGCCATTTCACAATTCCCCAGAAAGGGATGCATGGGGAGTGGAGAGTAGAGAATGGTTGCACTACTGATTCCAAAGACAAAATTTCGGTTACGTTGGTATTCTCATTCGTTTTTTTTCCTTAAAGTTCGATCGCAATTCATAAGTGTCATCATTTGTTTCTCTCTCATTTTTGTAGTAAAATCATCGGAAAAAAAAGAAAATTTGAAAAAGGATAAGATGATAATAATAATAATAATAATAATAATAATAATAATAATAATAATAATCGGTCATCTCAAACACTTTGAACATTGCCAGAACATTTAAGATAAATAGTTAGTTGGTGCGTTTTAATTTATTTTTCTCCAGAAATCCATAAACACACGTGTCGCAAAACCTGTATTTTACTGATATTTTTAAGTAGATTTTGTACAGTATAAGAGTCTGATATTACTCTAAATAGGCTTTTAGTAGAGATAACCACAGTGTGATGGTCTCGTGTAGGTTTATAAGAGAAAATGAGGGTATAAAAACTGAATAATTTTCCCATTTTCTAAATAGGCTTCTGGTAGAGATAATTATATCATCATGTTTTTGCGTACTTGCCGTCTTCTAAATTGGCTTTTTAAGTAGAGAGAATCATATCATTATGGAAATTAGGATTGTATTAGGTTTCGTACAGAACTTTTTCTACTTCTAAATATAGCTTCTCAAGTGTGTAGGTTACGTGCGCCCTAATGTGGACAGCATTCCAAAGTTTGACACTGCGAGATCAGTAATAGGCTAAGATCATAGACATCTCTATCCCTGGAGAGGCGCGCTCAGTGGAGAAAGTGACGATTGTAACACGATTGTGATTGTGGCATTGGCAGCTGTAACTATCCGATATGTTTGAGAAATTAAGTAAAGTGGGCTTTCTTACAACTTTAAAGTTTCAGTTTGTTTAGGCACTTAATCGGTCTTATTTCGTTTCATATTTTGTGTCAAACAGGCTTAATGCAGCCCAAACCCGACCTGTAACGTAATTTGAAGCCCATGAGACATTTGGGTAGTTAAGAGCACTCACATTCAACTGACGTGTACTTATTTTAAGCCTTGGTTTGATTTCCCTTTTTTGCTTGTTTGTTTCCCTTCCTATAATTTGTCAGGTATCTTTCGTGATCATCAACGTAGACAAAATTAAAATAATTTTTATGTTGTCTATGTTATGTTAAAACTAAAGTGTGTATCCTTTTTATTATTATTATTATTTTATTATTATTATTATTATTATTATTATTATTATTGTTGTCGATAATGTTATTGTGAAATTGTAGACATTAGAAATTCGGTCACCAATGTTCAGTTTGCTTAGTCGACTAAGTTGCTCAAGCTTTGTCGATATAATTTGTTTATTTTAAACTAACTTTTTCCCTTTTTTATCCTTCTTGACTGGCAATTAATTTGGTTCAGTGGATAAGCCTTTTACGGCTTATTTTCACTATCATTTGGTATTCAACGACGTTTTATTCAGAAAGGATCCGTAGTGACATCTTAACTCTTGCAGTTTTTTATGTAACAATTTGGACAGGAAAGGTATCCCTCAGGCACACCTTTCTTTGTAAGATGGTAGTACCCTTTACATGGCTACTTCTTGTCACGCCACTGTTAAAATGATACAGCCGTAAGATGAGTCTTATTGAAAAACTTACTTGAAGGCCTTTTTTGAAAACCTAAGTGACAGAGGTTCCTAAACCATCTATATGCCTCTGGAGAGAAGCAGGTTAGAAAAGGCTCCCTTTTCAGCCGAAGCCTTACCACTGAAATGACCGAAAGTAACGACCCCCCGTTGTGACAATTAACCGACGCGGGGCCGGCGTTTAACCGTCAATTTCTCACTATTTTCAAGAACTACAATCCTCGTCACATTAAGTTGGGACACCCGGTGCAGCAACCATATTTAGAAAGCCTGCGTAGCAAGCGTTTCTGTGTGGTTTAGGAGCAAAGAACAAGGGACAGAAGTCAAAGACCATGCTCGGTCTTTCTATGCTCCGAAACCAAACGGAAACGCTTGCTACGCAGGCTATGTTGCGGCAAAACGTTGTGCTCTTTCCCTCCCAGTGTTGGATCTTTTGCTTTAATTTTGTGATGCCAACCCGCAAAAACCAACATTGAGGGGACAGAAATATCGGAATGATTCGTACTGCCCCAACTAATGTGACGAGTATTGTAGGAAAGATTACTTTCATATCCTAGATTTCCATTTAGTTAGCTAGAAAAATACTCAAACACTCAAATACTCAAATACTCAACTCCGATCGTATTTAGGGCAAGATGTACTCACGTGTGCTTTTTCTTATGGCTTGAATATGGGGGAAAAAACTCAAGTTAAGAGCTTTCAGCCGCTCTCTATTATTTTCCTCCCTTACGCGGTGTCATATCTTAAGCTTTGCGTCATGTACATGCATCATTTGTGTGGCTAATATTTACTTCCTTTCCGGGAAGCTAAGTAGTTTCATAATTCAATTACGTTCGTTTTCAAATTTAACTTCCTCGTTTTTAAAGCGGCTTACAGCAAGTAAAACTGCAAAATAAATATTTATTTGTCTGCGAGACATGAATTACTACCAAGAGAATTCTCTCTTCTAACTACTAAAAAAGGAGAAATTTAAAGTGGTTTACGTTAAAGACACGGACACAATATTATGACAGAACGTGCTTAGTAATGGTAATAGGACCGAGTGGAGTACAATTCAGGGAGTTATTTCGGGCGATTATGTCCCATTTGACCAGTCCGATTACAGCCTCCTGGTAATCGGACAGGTCAAATCGGACAGTGCTAGTAAGAGTTACAACAGCAAAATTAAGTCGTAAAGATATACATGGGCTGTTAAGAACCAATCAGATTTGAGCATTTTGTTATTGACACAATTGACTCGGTAATCTCGATACTGTACTGGTAGGGTAGTTGGACTCCCTTGTGTTCGTTTCATTTTATTTAATATTTTTGTAAATGGCCACTTGACAACAGGTGTATTTGAAATCATAAATAGAACAATCATGTTTTTTGGGGAAGTTAAATTGTCGAATTCCAACTACATACAACAAGTTTGGAATTGAATCGGCATTGTGCCATATTTTGTTTACTTTCTTTACCTTCACTTTCAGATTATTTAAAGATGATTATAAAATAAATGAAAGCAAGAAAGCCTGTAATTTTAAAAAGATTGCGAGATATTATGACATACAGTCGAACCTCTAAAGAGTGCTACCACTCTCGTAAGCGGACCTGACCTCCCATGAGCAGCCATCTATATGCAAAAAAAAAAAAAACAAATTGCAATAAATGATTATACTGTTGGAACCTCTCCCATAAAAGCACCTCTCAGGGGCGGCTGCAACCACTTTTTGGAGAATTAGTTATTTGCACGTGGTAATATATCCTTCAAAACGTTTAAGGGTCAGGGCAGCTCTACTCGGAAAAAAAAATTGTGCTTCGATTACTGCTAGCCTGCGTAAGAGGCGTCCAGAAGGGTAAGGGGACTGGGGGAAGGAAACAAGAGAGGGGCATTAAGGACGATTCTTCATAAGCGCCAAGGTCGCTTAAGGGAGGTTCGAGTTAAGTGTAATATAGATGACAGCCAAGCTCCGGCTTTTCTAACAGGAGTGCCACATAAACATTCTTCTCTAGACGGTCATCGGCTGTTTACGTGAGTCGAGAATTTTCGTTGTTTTTCGGCTTTGACCGTCAGCCGAGGTGTCGGCTTTAGCAACCGGCCATCTCGGCAGGTGGGCAAGCCTGCCTTCCGAATAACGCTAAACGGCGACGCTATAGTTTGGCAAACCTAGGAACTAATCTGGCTTTGCTTCAATTTAGCTTCTAGCGCTTCTGTCGGTCAAGTACTGTACAGTTTTGCAAACTAAACAGTAAAAGGCTTAGACATTTACATACACTAGCCGTATTTTCTAGTCATTACGTTCCATTTAATTTATTGAGAACTGGGCAGTTGCTGATTGATAGCATCTAAAGGTTTGAACATCTTTGTTCTTTGATGATCTGTGTAAAAAAGAATACAAACTTTGTCGTTAGCATAAAATATCATAGGGGAAGTGCAAGGTGAACTGAGTAGGAACATGTAAAATGGGTGAGGGCCGGGGGACAGGAAAGTTGGACTGTAAGATGTTCTTCGGCTAGCAGAGTACGACTGACAACGTTTTCTAATATAACCAAATCTGCTTTCGCTCTTGGCCTACTGGCTACTGATAAATAACATAGGGCTCTTACGAAGTTGCAAATAACGAGCGGTGTAGCTGCAGTGTAGAATCGGCCACAAAATTAGCTGAGACACTTTTCATTAAAAACAGTTTCTAAGCTTTTAAAGGGAGAAGAAAGCTTTCCACCCCAACTCCTTCAGGTAACATCATGTCGATGTTAGAGCTACCTGAAGGAAACAACAAAATCAAAACCCCAACTTTGAATGGATGGAAGCGGTGTTGAATGTTTTGTTCTCCGAACACTATTTGAGGACAGGTCTCAGCAATTTTTTCGCCGATTGAAGGTCAGGAATACCTTTAGTCATAAATAGTATTGACAAAATAAAAAGCAATTAAGTATCTCATACTAAGCAATTTATACTGTGTCGTTATTGCATGTCAATATCAATGCGTAATCATTTCTTCATTTTACCTATTTTTCGACGCTAAACGCAGCATTTCTGTTCTTCTTATAGATCACCAATATCAGTAACACCATCACAAACAATAAAACTCCTGTTGCAGCAACTAAGATCCGCAGGAGAGGAAAATGATCGTCGCTTGTTGAAGCTGAAGTATCATCTATAAATAGCAAGCGCGAGGTATAAGCATTTCAATGAGAAGTGAACGTGTGGTTGTTGAAATCCATACAATATTTATTTCTTACTTTCTTTACCGGCCTATGGTACTAGTTATAAATGCTCAGTCTTTTCCTGATTGGAGAAATTGATTTGCTTGTTTCTGTTCATGTTTGATATTAGCAGTACGTCCAGTTTTCGTTAGAGCATTGAGTCAACCTATTCGTGCGGATCACCCGGGAGGCTCCCTATATAAAGGCCAAAACGAGGAGGCTTCCTCCGAACGGGGAACCTTTTTTAGGCTTCAGGTATATGAGAGAGTAGGAATTTCACTTATGCTAGTTCGGTCTGTATTTTATGGCTGTGAAAACGTCACGAAAACGTTCAGCGGGTTTTGCTGGACGTGTTCATGTATATAAAACAATGCTTTTACAGCAATTGAAACGGATGCAAAGTTCTTAAACATATATGTGAAAGGGTTACCATTTTTGGAATGCAGAAAAGGGGTACGTTTTCTGTCAAAAATGGTAGATATAAAAGTAAGGGGTTGGACCTTGGGGCTTGACTACCCCCTGACCCCAGGGCGCATCACCAAGCAGTCCGATCCTCTAAGAGATTTACGTCTGTAATTTTGTAAGCTTAAATATATATTAGCTTATTATATTATTTTGGTAATTTATGCATTCAGCGCCCTAACCAGTGTTTACTTGAGTGCTTAGTTGAGTGCTTCTCAACGACTTTGGATAGCGTAGATCCAGATTAGAATGGCCAAATAATGATTCAGCTCCATCAGGAACCTGGTCAAGAGGCACATGGCTGTTAGTCTCTAGTTTTAGAAACGATTAAACATAACAGACTTTAGCTAACTTGACTTGGTGCCTAGCACATCTTTGATCAGTTGTCATGGATTTCACTTGATAAACTATAAAACAGTACGGAAATCTGTCATTTGGGTCAGATGAATGTCATGGCTTAAGAAAAGTCGAGAAAATGAGATATTTTTGTGATTGATTTCTTTTTTAAAAGACAGTGCATTAATAGCAGTTAAAAGGGATGCAACGTTCTTAATGGGAAGAAGGTCATTTCTTTATTACCTTTGCTTGGTTCGGACCGATACGGCACAGACAACATGAATATTTTTGTGCGCTGCTGAAATCTTCTATGTCAAGGATTAAATTGAGAGCTCGAGAAGACCACCTTATATACGAGGAACAAGAGTGGTCCAAGTATTGATCATTGCAGCACGCCTGATAATACAGGGAGAGGTTCAGAGTTGACGCCGAGAACGGCGACCCTTTAGACACGGTCAGTGAGATGGTCTTCGAACCAAGACACTTGCTGTCGCAGATGTCGAATCGGTGGATTTTCTAGTGTAGCATTTATATTCAACGAACACTCGGTTTCTCGAACCATTCCCATGTGTCCGGTCGTGCTGTTTCCCACTGTAAACCATTTTAAGTCCACTCTTTCACTTACAGCATTAAAATTAAATTCTTAATCTGTTTATTACCGTGAAAGGTTTGAACCCAGGGGTCATTTCATAAGTAGGTTGGGTATGATCGTCCGGGTGAACGGCTGAGACGAAAGCAGTCGGTTTATCATCAAAACTGTGTGAAATATAACAGACTTTAAAGCCTCTTGAAAGCTTGGAACATGTTTTATTTTGTTACCTTTTAGGGTTGATAGAGACTTTGTAGTGGGTATCTCTGCGAACGTCAACGCTGCTTCGCTGGAATAAGATCTTCCCATTGCATTTGTTGCCACACACATGTACGTAGGATTCTCTTCCTTTATAGTACGTAAAACAAGGTTGAGAGTAGAAACACTTCCGTTGCTGGTCACGGAGTCGTTGACGACTGTCGAGTTATTTCTTAACCAGTTTATAACCGGAGGCGGAAAGCCTTCTGCAGCACATTTTAGGGCTACAACTGCAGTCCCAGATTGTAACTTCACAGTATTGTCTTGGGGATGCATTGTGAAGAAGGGCTTCCACAATACTAAAGCATAAAGCAAGCGAACGAATTTAATATTAATGATATTAAATCTCCCCATGTAGCAATGCAATGGCAAACAATAAACACTTAATGACTGGTCCCGAGAGGAAACAGCTAATTTTGATTCCCGAGAATCTCAATATTTCCCGAGGCGAGGGTAATGCGACCATGTTAGGCCCACCAGACGTCCCGAAGATATAAAATTTACATATCTGCATGTTTACCCAAATTCATCCACCTTTTACCCCGTTTAGCCATGTTTACCCCTGTTTATCCACGTTCCAAGCCGTTTACTCGTGTTTACCCAAGTTTAGCCATGTTTTACCCCTTTTACTCGTGTTTACCCAGGGTTACCCAAGTCGTACCCCGTTTACTCGTATTCACCCAAGTTTATTCATGTTTTACCCCGTTTTCTCGTATTTACCCAAGTTTATCCATGTTTTACCCCGTTTACTCGTGTTTACCCAAGTTTATCCATGTTTTACCCCGTTTACTCGTGTTTACCCAAGTTTATCCATGTTTTACCCCGTTTACTCGTGTTTACCCAAGTTTATCCATGTTTTACCCCGTTTACTCGTGTTTACCCAGGTTTAGCCATGTTTTACCCCGTTTACTCGTATTCACCCAAGTTTATCCATGTTTTACCCCGTTTACTCGTATTCACCCAAGTTTATCCATGTTTTACCCCGTTTACTCCTGTTTACCCAAGTTTATCCATGTTTTAGCCCGTTTACTCGTGTTTACCCCAGTTTATCCATGTTTTACCCCGTTTACTCGTGTTTACCTCAGTTTACCTACGGCTTACCCCGTTTACCCATGTTTACCCCAGTTTGTGCATGTTTTACCCTGTTTACTCGTGTTTACCCAAGTTTATCCATGTTTTGCCCCGTTTACTGGTGTTTACCCAAGTTTATCCATGTTTTACCCCGTTTACTCGTGTTTACCCAAGTTTATCCACGTTTGACCTCGTTTTCCCATGTTTACTCTGGCTTATCCATGTTTTACTCTGTTTAACCTCCTTTACCCCTGTTTATCCATGTTTTACTCCGTTTACTCGTGTTTACTCCTGTTTATCCATGTTTTACTCCGTTTACGCATGTTTACCCCAGTTTATCCATGTTTTACCCCGTTTACCCATGTCTACCCAATTACCCCGTTTACCCATGTTTACCCAAGTTTATCCATGCTTTACCCCGTTTACCCATGTTTACCCAGTTATCCATGTTTTATCCCGTTTACCCCTGTTTACCCGAGTTTATCCATATCTTACCCCGTTTACCCATGTTTACCCAAGTTTATCCATGTTTTACCCCGTTTACTCCTGTTTACCCAAGTTTATCCATGTTTTACCCCGTTTACTCCTGTTTACCCAAGTTTATCCATGTCTTACCCCGTTTACCCATGTTTACCCAGTTATCCATGTTTTACCCCGTTTACCCATGTTTACCCAAGTTTATCCATGTCTTACCCCGTTTACCCATGTTTACCCAAGTTTATCCATGTTGTACCCCGTTTACTCGCGTTTACCCAAGTTTACCCATGTCTTACCCCGTTTACCCATGTTTACCCAAGTTTATCCATGTTTTACCCCGTTTACCCATGTTTACCCCTGTTTATCCACGTTTCAACCCGTTTACTCGTGTTTACATCACAAAGAGTTTAAGAGCTTGTCGCACAATTGCATCAAAATAACTTTATTGATGACATGACAAAGAACTGGTTTTCTCGAACGCAAGATCCGCCAAGAATACTAATATTTTACACCCTTACTAAGATCCAGAAACCAAATCCGGTCGGAAGACCGATAATTTCGGGCTGTGAAGGCCCTACAGAAAGATTATCATTTTTTGTGGACAAACTACTTCAGCCCATCGCACAAAAACAGAAATCGTATCTAAAAGATACAACGGATTTCGTAAACTTTATAGAAAAGACAAAGGTCTTTCAAGATACTATCTTAGTATCAATGGATGTAACAAGCTTGTACACAAATATGCCACAGGAAGAGGGGATCACAACAGTATACGAGGCATTCCACAACAATAACCCTCCTATACTGTCACACTACCTCAAAGAAATGCTTAAACTTATCCTTCATGAAAATTCATTCCAATTTATTGGAAACAATTATCTTCAGACCCATGGCACTGCAATGGGTACAAAAATGGCCGTTGCATTTGCAAACATTTTTATGGCTGATATTGAGACAAAAATGATAAGTCAAAGCAAAACAAAACCAATAGAATGGAAACGTTTTATTGATGACATTTTCTCACTATGGGACAGTGACAAAAAGGAAATTAACCTGTTCATTGAACAAGCTAACAACTTCCATCCTACAATTAAATTTACGGCTGAAATTTCAGATAACGAGACAACCTTTCTCGACACAATTATTTTTAAAGGAGAACGTTTCAGAAATGAATCGATCCTTGACATCCGTACGCATTACAAGCCTACTGAAACCTTTCAGTATACACATTTTACCTCGAGCCATCCAGTGGGTGTGAAAAGAGGTTTTATTAAAGGCGAAGCACTCAGACTACTGAGAACAAACTCTTCTGAAACAACGTTCGATGAAAGTATCTCGAATTTTAAATCGCGCCTCATAACGCGCGAATACCCCCACGAGATGATACAGACAACGTTATCAGAAGTCAACTTCGCAAAAAGACAGTCGGCTCTACAACAAAAGAAAAAAACTCGCAAACAAATCTTGCCTTGTTTACCCCTACTAAACCTCGTTTTACCCCATTCACCAATGTTTACCCCCAATTAACCTCGTTTTACCCCATTCACCCATGTTTACCCCTAGTTAACTTCGTTTTACCCCATTTACCCATGTTTACCCCTAGTTAGCCTCGTTTTACCCCATTCACCCATGTTTACCCCTAGTTAACCTCGTTTTACCCCATTCACCCATGTTTGCCCCTAGTTAACCTCGTTTTACCCCATTTACCCATGTTTACCCCTAGTTAACCTCGTTTTACCCCATTCACCCATGTTTACCCCTAGTTAACCTCGTTTTACCCCATTTACCCATGTTTACCCCTAGTTAACCTCGTTTTACCCCATTCACCCATGTTTACCCCTAGTTAACCTCGTTTTACCCCATTCACCCATGTTCACACCTAGTTAACCTCATTTTGCCACATTTACCCATGTTTAATAATAATAATAATAATAATAATAATAATAATATTTATAGAGGGAGCCCAACTCGCCAAGGCGGTTTTCAGTGGGGCCCTCATGCATTAATCTAACTAATTAATTAATAATTACGAAAAAAGTAAAATATGTTTACAAGTAAAACAAATTTAAAAATTAAAAATCTTAAAATCGATTATACAAAAAAACATCAAGGTTTAAAATTAGCTGAGATCTTTTAAAAAAGTTTTTAACTTGGATTTAAAAATAGATAAAATATTACACTCTTTTAAATCATTTGAAAGGCTGTTCCAGTCTTTCGCGGCGTGAAAAATAAAAGTTTGTTTACCCCAGTTTGTTCTGGGTAGGGGTAAGCGAATATCATTAGAGCGTCTTGTATTATATGAATGAACAGCTTGACTTTTAGTAAAATTAAAGTTGAAATCGGTTTCTCCAATAAGACACTTGTGGATTGCAATGCAGCGATGAAAAAACCTTCTTGTGGACAGTGTCTTCAAATCTAGACTTTTCAGTGCTTCAGTTGACGAGCTTCGGGGTGGTTGCCCCAGCATAACTTTAGCAGCTTTATTCTGTAGAATCTGTAATTCTGACATGATGGTGTCATTGTTCTTGTCCCCCCATATAACGTCTCCGTAATCAAAAAGAGGGAGGATTAGGGCATTGTACAAGGCAACTCTAGCTTGTAGCGGCAATAGATTCCTGATTCTCCTAATTAGGCCTATTCTCTGATTAATCTTCATGCTGATAGCATCGACGTGATCTGCCCAGGACATAGACTGTTGAAGCGTTACGCCTAGGTATTTGAATGATTGTGTTCTTTCAATGCTAGTGCCCTCTACTTTAACCGAAATGCCTTGAATACGATTCAGTTTCTGAGGACTTCCAAAGATAACAAAATTACATTTGGATATATTTAGTGTCAGGAGATTTCTAGAGAACCACTCAGACACTGTCCCCAAGTCAGCATTGATGTGATGTTCAAGATCACTGACGCTTTTGGATGAGTAATAGAGTACAGTATCGTCTGCATAAAGAATAATATCGCTTGCCAGGTGACAGTCCGGAACATCATTCACCTAAACTAAAAATAATAAAGGTCCCAATATACTGCCTTGGGGTACTGCAATAGGCATTTCGGTAGATGCAGAGTGAGCATCTCCAGCTGATGTAATTTGAGATCTGTTTGTGAGGTACGATCTAAACCACTGGGTGGTAGAGGTGGTAAGACCGATGTGCGTCAATTTTTGCAGCAGCAGGGGATGATCCACTGTATCGAAGGCCTTAGACAGGTCCAGAAAAACAGCACCTGTAAAGGAACCAGCGTCCATATTCTGGAGGATATTGTCTGTGAAATGAGATAGGGCTGTTCCAGTTGATAACTTCGGCCAGAACCCAAATTGCTTAGATGTAAGGATACCATTGTTCTTAAGATAAGCGTACAGTTGGGTGTGCACGGCTTTTTCTAGAATTTTACTGATCGTTGGCAGCACAGTAATGGGTCTGTTTACCCCTAGTTAACCTTGTTTTACCCATGTTTACCCCTAGTTGACCTCGTTTTATCCCATTCACCCATGCTTACCCGTAGTTAATCTCGTTTTACCACATCCACCCATGTTTACCCCTAGTTAACCTCATTTTACCACATTCACCCATGTTTACCCCTAGTTAACCTTGTTTTACCCCATTCACCCATGTTTACCCCTAGTTAACCTTGGTTTACCCCATTCACCCATGTTTACCCCTAGTTAACCCTTTTTTACCACATTCACCCATGTTTACCCCTAGTTAACTTCATTTTACCCCATTCACCCATGGTTGCCCCTAGTTAACCTCGTTTTACCCCATTCACCCATGTCTACCCCTAGTTAACCTCGTTTTACCCCATTCACCCATGTTTACCCCTAGTTAACCTCGTTTTATCCCATTCACCCATACTTACCGCTAGTTAACCTCGTTTTACCACATCCACCCATGTTTACCCCTAGTTAACCTCGTTTTACCCCATTCACCCATGTTTACCCCTAGTTAACCTTGTTTTACCCCATTCACCCATGTTTACCCCTAGTTAACCTTGTTTTACCCCATTCACCCATGTTTACCCCTAGTGATAATAATCAATGACAGGCCTGCACGACTCACTGCGTTATGTTGTGGTCATTGTTATGAACGCTGCCTTATATTTTTGCCCTAACAAGCATGTCTTTAAGAGATTGCCCTCTCTTGTAGGATATAATTGGCGGATCTTTAAATTTATTTTTCAGCAAAGGCTGATTTTGTATTAAGTTTCAGTTTTGCATCAATATATTTTTAAGGTTACGCACCGATGGGTGGTATGTTGTAACAAATGGGTAAATGTGGTAAAACGAGGTTAACTAGGTGTGAACATGGGTGAATGGGGTAAAACGAGGTTAACTAGGGGTAAACATGGGTGAATGGGGTAAAACGAGGTTAACTAGGGGTAAACATGGGTGGATGTGGTAAAACGAGGTTAACTAGGCGTGAACATGGGTGAATGGGGTAAAACGAGGTTAACTAGGGGTAAACATGGGTGAATGGGGTAAAACGAGGTTAACTAGGGGCAAACATGGGTGAATGGGGTAAAACGAGGTTAACTAGGGGTAAACATGGATGAATGGGGTAAGACGAGGTTAACTAGGGGTAAACATGGGTAAATGTGGTAAAACGAGGTTAACTAGGTGTGAACATGGGTGAATGGGGTAAAACGAGGTTAACTAGGGAAAAACATGGGTGAATGGGGTAAAACGAGGTTAACTAGGGGTAATCATGGGTAAATGTGTCGAAACGAAGTTAACTAGGGGTAAGCATGCTTAAATGGGGTGGAACGACGTTAACTAGGGGTAAACATGGGTAAATGTTTCAAGAGCCCCCTACAAGGGCATTGGTTGTACATGGTAATTACATGTTTCGGGACGTCTGGTGGGCCTAACATGGACGCTTTACCGAGGCGAGGCCGACGGAAACATTGAGAACTTTTTGATTTATTATATAGCTGGAAATTTTGAAACAGGAAATTCATTTAACTTCGTTGTAATCGCGGTTGTCGGTCAACATTCCGTGTTACCCTGTAACGTCATAGATTTTTTTGCAATGTTGCCCGCTCGGAGATTTTGGCGGGAAACAGTTTTATTGTTAGATGTCATGTTGTGACCCCGAAGTAAATAATGAAAGAGCGCTGTTGGGAAGTTTCCAGCTATATAATATCCAGTACTTGTTTTTTTATGGAGGGCCCCTACCTTATCTTCCCTCTGAAGCCCTGGACATATCCGTGATACAAAAATGATAATATTTACCAGTGAGAGTTGCAGTCGATGACCTTTTCCAACCTGCAAAATTGCTCGCCTCACACCAGTAATCCCCTTTGTCTTCTCTTTTGATCGACTCATAACGTAACAGGGAATGACCCTTGACAGTACTAATTGGAGAATGCAGGAGGGGACTTCCATTCTTAAACCAAGTGATGGTTGGCAGCGGAATTCCGGATGCTTGGCAAGTTAGGTTGAATTTGCTTGTAGAGGGAACAGTAACTTGTCGAGGCAGGTCGAGAGAAAAAGTTGGCGATACTGGGTCTGAATCATAAAGGAAATTTTGATAGTTTAGATTATCGTAGTTTACAAAAAGTTTTACAAATTACTAGGCCGGCTTACCCTTTTATTTTGTTTTTGTTTTGTGCGGCTAAAGCAATTAACTTTGTACTAGCTTATTTTGCTAAAAATAATTGCGGAAAAGTATCCCAGAGAGGAAAATGGATAACAAGCAAGCGTAATTGTGGGTGCATGAATGGTAAGGCTTAGCATAGATTCACCATACTTTGTTTGTACAGTCCATAATATTACTAGTGCATGAACAACAAAAGCAAACCCACATTTTTGAAACCTAAACCGCGGACGTTCTTGATTTTACATTAGCGAGCCCGGCTTTATAACTTGTAACCGGTATCAGTCATATATAGTTACTAAGAACCGCAATTGCTACCAGCCCTAAGGCGTTCAAATTGTTGAATGATTGCACCCTTTTTTACGTCATGGTTTACTTAGGAGCTAGCCTTTTTCGTGTCTCTTTTTTCTTCCCATTTTACTAACTGAGGAAACAGTAATGTCATACTCTTAACCAAGTTAATAGCGAAGGAAGGATAGACTGTCAGGACTTCAATTACTACCAGCCCTTTCAAACTGAATAAATGCAACTGGTATTACGTCCTATTTTTCTTTGGAGCTAGTCAAAATCAAGTCTCTTCTTTCTTCTCGTTTGCCCAGAAAAAGCCCTTCGAAAGAGGAATTAATAATAATTACAATAATAGAGATCATGATGACGACAACAATCATCACGATAACAAGGCGCTTAAAAACGCATTTTACAACGCATGTCCCAATTAAGTTAGGACATTTTCAGAATTATGAACGAACAGATTAAAATGAAGCTGCTATATACCTTTGAAATCTAGCTGAATAGATCCAACTGTGCAGAACCAGGAGTTTCGAACCCAGCAGATGTATTCGCCAGAATCGCTTTTTGATGCATTGCGGATGACATAGGAGCAAACTTTTCTTTCTTCTCTATCGCTGCGTTGACCGCCGCATTGATTCTTTTTTCTGCCATTCAAATAGAATTCGATCGAATACGGCAGGGAGGTATCTGGATCTCCGAGATATTGCCTTGCACGGTCGGCGGTGCAAACTATTGTTACGTTGTAGCCCACTGGCACCACGTACTCATCTGGGAATTCAAGGACGTTGATAGTAAGAAAAGGAGCTAGAGGAGCTGAAAAAGTTATCAAGAGAGCAAGCATCATAATTCAGGTTACTTAGAAGAAACAAAAGAGAAAAGTCGATTTGGTTCCATTTACCGGCATGGCATTAACAGCGATGTTAAAGGTGAAGACGGAAAAAGTAACTACTTCCCTTCATCAAGAAGTTAACTAATCGTTCTCGTGTTCAATATATGTAAAAAAAGTGTAGCTCAACTGCCTATAAACAGAGCAGGAATAGAACAACACAACTCGGCGAAGGCGGCTGCTATTTGATTGGAGGAATATCGTCTCCTAGGCCATTAAAACTAAATCCTCTGAATTTCTCGAGGAAAAGGCTCTTTCCTAATTCTGCAATCCAGCAACGCTCCATAAGAACATATACGAGATTATTTGGTAGCTTGCATCTTTATATGCCCCGGGCATTATTAATGGTGATGTTAAGTAATGACAATGAATGAATTGCAGTGAATCGCAAATATTGTTCCCTTTGATGGCATAATCCTCGTCCTTAGTAATTAGTTTTAGAAGGTCGCTTTTCACTAGCGTCGGAGTTTGCGTTAACGTTTTTTTTTTCTTCCGACTGAGAGAGCCTGGATCTGACTAGAGTTATAAACTAAAGACATTTAGACCTCTTTTGACTGACATAAATACGCCGTCTGAAATCAAGTCGTACTACAGCCAAGCCACGACTTTTGTAAACGGTCCTATTAAAAGGATAACAGTAGAAAAATGACTGGTCTTTGTACTCTTCGATTTAACAGGTTCACGTTTAGCAATATAATGTCACACTCTAATATAAAGGAACGTCTTCACTCTTTTTGTTCATGAGCGCTATGGGACAATATATTTACTGTATCTCTATTAGGGTGTAAAATCTACTTCAACTTGTCGAGTTGCCGGTTTCTATACAGCATACCTTCATCCAGTTTTTCCACTGGCACTTGAGGGCACGTATCGCCGAGGTAGAAATACGCTAGGCAAATGAAGATGAATAACTGCATATTAACACAGCGTGTTCCCTTACTAGTTTGACCTGAAAACATCTGGGAAGACAATAAATTAAGGATTAAGTAATAACAATGAAAGCATCTTTATTTAATCGATTTTATAACCAACCGTTCAATCATTCAACAAGTAATCCCCAAGCTAATTCTGATAGCTGAGAGTCATAAATTACACTGGTTCTAAGATTTAAACTTCACGATCAAGCGCTGTACACAATTCTGGTTGCACAATGTATGATCAGAGTGTAGATGGCTTTAAAGGCATGCACTTCATGTCAATGAGGTCTAGTTTGTGAGCCTGCGTGTGTGAAACACTCATTTCACTTCTGTCTTTATTCTTATTTATTCTTGGCGGGAATCAATGAAAGTTTAAAAAAATTGTGAATCGGCCAACCCTTTTGTTGTTGTTACATAACGTATTTTCCTCGAATACAGAGCGATGATGTAACATTTTTCTTTAACAACAAGTTTTGCTCATGAAAAAGGGAAAATTGTCTACAGTAGGTAGCTATAAGCGATTTGCAAGGCTAATACGACTAACGCCACAGCAAGATTGAACAAATTCAATTCTTTGAAACAGGTGTTTCTCAATCGATTTCATCGGACAGCATATTCATGAAAAGGGAAAGCATTTACCTAAGTGGTTTGCAAGTGGTTTGAATAACGCCATAACAGAAATTGAACGGAATTAAATTACAGCATTTGTGAAAGAAGAATACAAGTTTAAGCCTACTTTCTTTTAAATATGTTTCAGAAAGGACAGTAAAAAATGCCTGAGAAATACGACAAAATTAAAAAATAATAATAAGGGAACGGTCATTATTTATGTGTGGGTGGGGGGAAATCATGGGGTGGGTCAGGCCTATTTTTTTTTTGAAAAAAGGGGTGGGCCAAAAGAGAATTTCACGATGATTGGGGGTGGGTCATTGTGTGTTTTGTAAAGAATCACACTCACTAAAATTCATGTGGAAGATCTAAATTAATTCTAATGCAATGTAGCAACATGTAGCAATCCAACCTAAGTATGGAGAATCAAAGATGTGGGCACTAAATATCAATAAGAAGGGAAGGGGGAGAAGGGGAGCTTGACACTGTGAAAGTCCCCGAGTTGGACAAATATATTGAGCATAATAAACTTAGCAAGAACGGAAAGAAAATCGACAAAATCAAGCGAATCACAGTACACTATTATGAAACTTCAAAGGAATCTACATTTCCTTCAAGCATCACTGTTGGTGAGGATAGTGATGAGAGTGACAGTGACAATGACCTTGTTTTGTGTGATGAAAGTGAAAGCGAAAGTAAATCAGATGATGACAGTCATACTGTAACAATACAAGAGGGCACATCAACAAGAAGCGGCCGCAGAATAGGACACTACTGGTCCACAAGATATGCTGATTTCGTTCAGTGAACAGGAACTCCTTATAGAGGTATAGATTGAAGGGGGTTGGGGGTGGGTCACCTCTTATATAAAGTTATATGGGGGTGGATCAAGAATTAACTAATGGGCTTAAAGGGGTGGGTCACGTTTTTTCTTTCATGCTAAAACAAAAAATATCCCCCCCCCCCCCCCCACATAAACAATGACCAGTCCCTAAGAAAAGGAAAACACAATTTAATAAGTTTTGCAAAAAAAAAAAAATTAAAACAACAAAACAAAACGAAAAAAAAATACATCCTGATAGAAAACACCCAAAACAGGTAGCTGTATTCAAAACTATTTTTACAAGAGTTTGCGACACAAGGAATTAAGGAAATACTGTTGCTTCAGTGTTAATGGTATTAGAGGCTGATTAAGTTAGCACCAAAAACACACAGGTAGACAGCTTACTTTGGTATCCCGCTCAAAGCCGATGTGTAACTCTTCCAACTCGAACATAGATGAGCTTCAAACAGTCTTTTAGGGTAAGTTCACGCTTTTTTAACGGTCTGTTCTCGATCGTCTATATTAGGTACGAACGAAGTATAATCCCTATTTTTACCAATAATGGCTAAAAATAACAGTAGTTTCAAGAACGTGCACAGCTAGTAATGCGGCTCTCAGGCCACCTGTCAATACGGGTTGCATGTGACATTACTAAGACGACAAGGTCTTATCGGATTAAAGGTTTCCTTGAAACATTGAGAAAGGCAGAAAAGTGCCAAAAATAGTATGTTATAACGACCCTTGTTGACCCTATTCTCCTGAATTTGAAAAGAAAAAAAGGGTCGACTTGCTAAAGGAATTAGTGGAGGGTAACTAAGGCTACGTTCACTAGATACCAGATAACGTTTTGTGCCAATACGAAAAGCTATTCTGTATAGTATCACGGAACACTTACCCGATGTATGAGTCTCCACTTTGGAGATCAGCACGGCGCAGCTTCGTTCCGACACCGGCAGAAATCGCGCCCAATCACCGTTCTTATATGTGAACAGAAACCCCGTTCAGGAAAGTTTTCCAGGTGCCGGCGCAAAAGATATCCGGTATAGTGTAAACATAGCTTAAAGCTTTTTCTCACTCTCCTGATTGAATTAAGGAACTCAATGGCACCGAACGAGAATATAATTGAAAACCACTTAAACATAGCATTGTTTAACGTATTTTAGTACTTAAACGGTAGATATAGGCATGTTTTTATCCCCTAACAATTTTTCATGTGTTCTGATTTTTTAGCTGAAAATCTAGTGATCCGAAAATTATAGGGAAATCTCAGACAGAGAAAAGGCTACCGAAAATTCTAGGTGACCTTTTTACCAGTAGAAATCCGTTAAAAATGGTCAATGATAGCATTTTTCAGATGTTCGAAAAATCCTAGGAGAGGCAGGCAAGCAAGAAATTTTACAACAAATGTTTTGAAAATTCTAGATCTCAAATCGTCTTCCGAACAGATGTTTTCCAAAAATTGACGTTGGGTGCCCCTGGCAACTTTGTGTAGTAAAGCGAACATTCCGAAGAGAATCATTTACGTTGTGTTACGTAATCTAAGGGGAACATACTAGATGTTAGACAGCACTGCTTATTAATTGAGAAGATGAATTAAGAATTATTGTGAATTTAGGTAAAAAAAAAACTCTTAAAAGAGATTGACTGGCCATTTCATTATGAACTGCTACTTATTACACTTTCACGAGAAATAGACTGTGGGTTACGACGGTTTCCATGTCTCCAGCTCTGTTAGGGGTATTATCATGTCTGCATTTGAACTATGACAAAAATTATCTCAAGTCGAGTGCTCACCATGATTATCTCTTGCTCGTTCACCAAATTCATCAGTTGTCAGAGATTAATGTGGTGCTGTCATAAGGCGCGGACCACTGGTTAGGTTAGACGTAACGTTGCTGAGTAAAATGAGCCCAATCATTAAGAACATGACGTACGAGTGAGCTACTACCTGCAGAGGGACTCCTACTGTATTTAAGGTTAAATAGAATGAAAGGGTGAACCCGGAAACGAAAAAGTAACATCTTAGTCAACAGAAAATCGAAGATGCAGAATTGTATGGACTGGTCGTTTTTATTTTGTTGCATTCGAATTCTTAAATAAGTACGTGGAACAGTTTTATTATGGTTTAGAGGGTAGTTCAGTTTTGCATACTTTTAGGCTAATATGGATATACGTTGCCAAAAAAGAAAATATGAAATTAAAAATGGTGAGGTAAATTTTAAAAGGAATAACCCTATCGAAGGATAATTAGTAAGATCAAAATTTAAACATCTGAATAGAAAAAATAATAAAAAAGGGGAACAAAAAATACACTGAAAATATGTAAAAAAACTTTATCATTTGACGTGGTACTTACTTATACCCATCCCTCCCCTTCCCGCTTCCCCCCCCCCCTCCCCCCGCTTAGAAAGAATGAGATGATTTGCAGTGACCAGTTGACGGTCTTGTGTCCTAGTAATTCGAGGAACACAATAACTGCAAGAGGCCTAACTCTCAAACTCTCAGGCAGTTTTTCCAGCCTTTTAGACTCAAAAGCGATTTTATCTCGTGCTATAAAAATTGGGCAGTTCATACCAGCTCATGTCAAAATACGCGTGGACAATTCCATCTGTTTAATACCAGCTTAATCAAGCTCGGTCAAGAAAGTTCCGTGTGCGCGAATATTAACAAACAAATTTTAACACAGCAATAAAAAGGTACTTCAGCGTGAATAGCATGCATGCGTCGTTGTTTTCGGCCACGATACTCCCAGAATCGATGGCTACCGTATATACTGAGACAGCTATTAGACGTAAAACAATAGGGAGGATTTTTGATAAAATGTCAGATCCATTACAAATATTGTAGCTTCCGATAATGGTTGTCATTTGATTTTGCACTTTTTATACAGTACACAGTTTCGTTATTATCTGTGATATTTGAAGAATCAAATAACTTAAAAGCTTTTCCCCAGAAAAAGATTATAGTAAGGCGTCGTATGGAATAAAAAGCCGACCATAAATGTTTCGACGCTCAGTTCCTTTGACTGCGTTGGCAAGTTTTACGAATCATCAATAAAAGTACGATAATAATTGTGAAGGAAAATTTCCTACTAATAGCGCAATGGATTTGATTCGGTGAAGAGCAAAATTCTAACGCGAGATTCTGTTTGTGGCGAGAACAAGAACACTGACATTCAGACACCAACCTACCTTCAAAATTTCTCTTCCTTTAGCCTTTTAAGACGAATTATATCCGGTCGTTTTGCTGTTTGAATATACGGGATATCACTTTCGTATATTTATGCCGTGTCATGCTCTTCCTTCTGGGTAACACCGTCACACGACTGCGTGCGTAACAAACCTCTAATTTCAAGCATGTTCATTCGCACTCGACCACTTTAATTTACTGGCACAAATTTTGAGATGAGCTATTTTATTAATTATATATGCTTTGCTTTAAAGTCCTTGAAATGCCTTTCGTTCCTTTTTGATGATGTAAGTGACATGAAATAAGGAACAATGGTTTATCCACCGAATTCTTTAGGACTAGTAAAAATTAATCGGTGTCTAACGGATGTAAATTAGTGTCACGGCCTGACCATTATAACCATTACATATATTTGTATTTACCGATTCTCCTCAACTTTTGTGTCACCCAGGAATTAAGTTTTAACATTTATAAGCTTATGAACTCCTCAGTTATTTTTAAAACAATCTCGGAGAGTAGTAATGAGGCAAACTAAAAGTAGCAACGGTTTTTGGATGACCTCTTAGTCTCAGTTGAGCCGTCTTTTCTGATGGAAAATGGGCACCTGTTCTTCGTACTTAGGCGCAGAAATTAAGAATTAATTGATACGCCACCGGAGGAAATTTATTGGTTGCCTTCATTTGGTCATATTCGCCATACAGAAGAAAGTCGCTTAAAAAAAACAAACAAACAAACAAACAAATGGGGGAAAAGGAAAAGCAGTGAAGCCTTGAGTTACTCGGAAAGCTTTTTGAACCTCGCACCGTGCGTCATGCAACTTGCCAGGTTTCCGGTTTGAACTCCTTGAAAACATCCTGTATCCCTGATCCATATATAGTCTATATATGGTAAGTCAGAATCCGGTTCCAATGATTTTCGACAGAATACGTAGCCATATCAAGCAGAATACGTAGCCGTATCTTCGCTTCGGAGACCTATTTTAATAGGTCTCCGAAGGCGATCACTCCCCCAACTCAAGAGTCTGTTGTGCACTATACACACCGGAAAATATCCGTTCTTAGCAACTAAACAAAACCGTGCATGACAAAAAATTGTGATTTTTCGTTATTTGATTTATTTACTTTTTTATTGGTGTCCTCTTTATTAAAGGCAAGGGTAAAAGCATGTGGAACAAAAAAAGTTGAACTTAGGGAGATTGTATATTTACTCAGGCTAAGGTTTTTACTGATTTGACGACGTATTCAAAAAGTTAAGGCCTCCAGGTCCAGTTTTTCAGCATGCTTTGAAGCAGTGCTGTCTGGACTCTCAAAAGGCGCTGCTTCTCTTTCAAGCTTCTCACTGCAGGACTCGGGCTCAATTTATGATATTTGTATGTGCAATATCATGCTTTTCATGATGTTCCACATTAAATTTCGTTTTTTAAGGTTAATTCTCCTTTTAGTGGCTGACTTTATATATATTTGTAGAAGATTACATTAGTGAGCTTCGAGGCTCTGCTCATAAACGAGTATTCTCCATTCGTCTGCTGCTTTTCCTCAGCTGTTAGCTATTGAATGATGTAAACCGGGTTTGAATATCGCTGTTCTTCCTTGAACTGTGAAAAAATGGAAAAATTTCCGGCGTTAGTGGAAACACTCTTCATGCACACATGTAACTGAATTATCCGGCTAGGGTTATACGTGAGAGGCAGACAAGACTATTAAAGCAAAGAAGTGGTCTAAGAACCTGTTACTTAAAATTGTTGTACCTAATTGTCAATTCACTATTATTTTGTCTTCTCGCTGGATTACACGTAGCAACAGTTATTTCTGATAAGCAGCATATAGATTATCTATTAGTCAGTTATGAGAACAAAAGTTGAAGCTATATAGCTAGTCCTTAAAAGTGCAGGCTTAATGGATGATTTTCCAAAGTAATCAGTCATTTGTGTTCCATGCAATAAAAGAATTATGAGGTTTGATTTTGTGCGAAATATCTAAAATCTTCTTAGCCCCTATTAATATTCAGGATATCCAAAATCGAATCTGAAAATTGTTCAACAGACGAAGTCTAATACACAGAGTGGGCCTCCAGATCTGTTTGTAAGTTGTTTATTTTAAGAATAATAGTCTTGGCTAAGGCGTAAACCTCCTTGACACTATAAACAACAATGGTTTAGATGTGAGGACTGGACAAATTTAAAATGGTTTTCTGAAACACCCTCTAATTCTGTTGTAGGCCGTAAGTGCTTGATTGACACATGATAATTAAGGTAGTCGGGCCAACAAGAAAATGAAATTTAGCTTAGAATTCATAGTTGCCTCAGGAAAAAAAAAGTGAACAAGTTAAGTGACAAACACTACACAAAGTCGGGGAAAGGGAAGGGAAAAAAAAAAAGAAAAGGCAGCGAGGATTGACTAATTTTCTTACATTTTAGACCACACTAACTAATACTATTTAGTAAAATCCAGCTGGTGGTCTATTATTAATGCTGCGTTCTGATTGGTTGAGCTACTACTAGGCTATATCTTTTAGCCCTCTATTAGCGAAAAGCCCCGGCTTTGAAAACCAAAATAATGGCAGCTGAATCTCGTTTTGCTAGCTTAAGTTGCTTTGTCTCGACATTTTTGACCAACTACGTTGGATTTTACTAAAACAATTATTCCTCCTGCCCCCATGGCCTCTGAGTCAATAGCCCATTCGGCCTTCGGCGGCCTCATGGGCTATTGAAGCAGAGCCCCATTCGGGCTCGGGGAATAATTGTTAAACATTCATCAACTTTATAACTTGTGAAGGAGACCAATGTTAATGTCAAAGCACAGGACTTGAATTGAGAACACTCGCTTATGTGAATGCTGCATAAAAAAAAAATGAACTGTCTACCGGTTGTTGTTGTTGTTGTTGTTTTATACTAACTAATCTTTGTTGACGTTAAATCCGGCCTTTCTGTGCTTTGCGTGGACAACAAATAACAAAGCCCCCACCACAAGAATTAATGCCGCGGCAGCGGCGACTAAGATCCAGAAAAGCAAAGAAACTCTTGAAGAGGGTGAGGTGTCTCCTGAAGTAAATAGAAATGACAATGAAAGTTAAATGAAATGGAAATACGTGGACATCATCCATCCTTACTGTTGACATCTTACCTATAGTCCTCTCCCATTAATTTCTTCCAGCGGCTTCAGTGAAAATCATAGGGAGAGAAGCGAGCTGAGGGAGACATGATATACACAAGCCCTGCTACACGTGTTATTCTCCCTCGGTGACTGCATTCATGTACTTATAATAGAACCCTATAGTTCTCTATAAGATTAAAGTGCTCAAGCAATAAGTCTTCTCACAGTCACCTAATACAAGTAACTTCAAAGGGTCAATACAATACTGGCAGTGATACAAAATGGAGTTAATTAGTATTTCCATTCTCCCCCTGCATGAGTCTTCGTAATCACTTAGGTTAAGGCAAAACTGGCGCTGTACCAGAACAAGCCATCTTGTATTCTTCCATATGCCCTCTTGACGATTAGTTTACACAAAATCAAGAAACCTTACAATAAAGAAACTTAATATAACTTGCATTTCGCGGAGTCAGGTTTTCCTGTTAAGGAAAGCAATGCATTTTTTGAGACGCCACTCCCCCTAGCGTTTGCTGCCTTGCAGGTGTAGTTACCAGCATGATGTTCTTGAACGTTAAGAATGTGCAGCTCTGAGATTGTGCTTTCTCTTCCCTGATAGGTCTGGGCCTTATTATCAACGACTTTCAAACCATTCCTCAGCCAAATAATCGAGGGTGCTGAAGATCCTTCGACAGCGCATGCAAATATCACGTGTTCACCAGGGGAGGCAGCAAGACTTGCCGGATGGCGATAGAAAGAGATGACAGTGCTTTCTAAGGAAAAATTGTTTCCATTTTATTAGTCGCATCCCTGGGGGGAGCGGGGGGGAGGTGGATACTCTCAACAATTTTTAAATGGGGAGGCTCTGCCCAGGGGTCCAACCCCTTAACCTTTTTGACATTTTTCATGAAATAAGTGCCCCTTTCGTATACCTACTATTGACAAATGGTACTCCTTTCACATACATACCTTGTTTAGAACTTTGCAGCCCATTTAACTGCTGTAAAAGCACTGTTACTTAAATAGGAATCAATCACAAAAATAGAACGTTTTCTCGACTTTATGAGGCCATAGAATTAATCTTTTAGCTCTTCGAGCCCTTTCACATACCCAAATTACAGATTTCCTTAACCTTTCGTATACTTCAACGAGTAAAATCCCTACCCTTTCATATATATATCTGAAGCCTGATAATGATGATGATACAATGACGATGATGATGATGAATCATGATAACGATAATTTACAATAATATTAGAAGATAAGGCTGAGTATCATAGGAAGAATTATATAGAACGAGGAGGGTGTTATCAGCCGAGACCAATTACGAGAGCTCCGAGAGCTCATTCTCGTAAGCGACCAGCCCTAAGTTAACACCACTTTTTCGGTGGTCGCTTACGACAGTCTCAATTTTATTTTCCACAAGTGCCTTCTCAGCCACAACTTGTTTTCCTGTTGTTAATGTTTTGCTGAAAGAGCTATCCATGCCCTGATTTGAGTTTGTTGGATGTACTTAAAAATCAACTCAATAAACAGCAGAGCTTGAGTCGTTAGCTGTATTTTCCTAACAGCAGTACCCGTGGTGGCTGTTAGTAAAGCTAGCCTTACCTTTATCTGGAAATGATGTCTGTGTTTTGATCACGGTTGTTTCGTTAGAGTAAGCTTTCCCTACTAAATTCTTTGCGAAGCAGTTGTATTTGTTCAAGCTGTTTTCGTCATTTTTTACCAGAAGAAGAATGAGCCAGGACATTCCATCAGTTTCAACGACTGTCGCATTGGCCTGCGTAGAGTTATTCTTTAACCAGGTTACCACAGGTGGTGGTGATCCAGTGGCCTTACACGCGAAGGAAACTAAAGTAATATTTTCTTTGAATGACACGAACACGTTTTTCGGATGAATTGAAATGGTTGGCACTGCAGGAAAAATAACGGAAAAAAAAAAAAGAAGGAAAATCAACTTTATGAACGTATTTTACCTATAAGAGGCGAGCGGAAAGCGGACATGGATTTTTGGATTCAGCACTGGATGGAGCATGCGCTCTGGGGTGGGCTCCGCCTAGCGCTTCATTGAGTTATCTTGAAGTCTTACTGAGTGAACAGGTCTGATTTCTCTGAACAATAACCAACGCTCAGAGCCCTCTACTAGTTCTTTTCGTTCCATTTTTGAGTCACTGAGATAAAACAAAAAAGAAAAAAACAGAAAAAGTCTTGTCTTCAAAAGGCTGTGCAATAATAAAGATGACCTAATTGTAAGTACTTTAGATCCTAGCTGCAGGGCACGTTTCTAAGGTAGAGACTATAAAACGTAAGACCTTTAATACGTCTTCTGTCTTACGATAAACGTTTTATGACGTTTTATGAGGCACTCTATCACCATCGTGGACTACCACCTAGACTTGAGACTTTGTAGAAATTACGTGTTATCATTATTAAAAAACATGCAAGCAAACAAACAAACAACTACCTATGGCAAATTAACGTGTTTGCAGCTCTTTGCCATAAAATTGGGTTATGGTAACGCCAAAGCAAATTCGGGTTTTTCTACTGCGGATTCACTTCCTTGACTTCCAGCGATGAAAAGAAGGACAGCTTACCTTGCCTCAAACTCAGTTTTGTAATAAGTGATCTTTGCCAGCCATCCGAGTTGTTTGCTTCGCACCAGTATTTTCCTTGGTGAACTGGTTTGACAAATTCAAGAGTCAAGATCGAGAGTCCCTTGTCTCCAGTGGTGTTTGCCCTTGGTACAGGAATCCCATCCTTGAACCATGTTATTACAGGGATTGGGAAACCTGATGCCTTACAATTCATGCTGGCTTTACCACCGGAAGATATTAACATTTGTACTGGAGGGTTCACAGTGAAAACTGGAGGAATTTTTTCTGTAAAAACAAAAATACAAAAAAAAAAAAAATAGAAAATAACAAACAATAAAAAAAGAAACTGATTTTGAAACAAAAAATTGAATTTCATATCACCCGAGAAAAGGGATAAAATAAAGGGTGAACTCCTGAATGGAATTGGTGGATATTTGCTTTTGTGACGTTGGATCACCTCGACTGATTAGCCTTTATTTAAATAATTTTTTCTGTTTATTTTTTCGTAGAAATCACGTACACTTATTGTAATATTAAATACAGTAACATTCAACACACTGTAAGTCAATATTACCTTTGAAATCTAACTGAATATACCCCATTGTGCATTTCCAAGAATTTCTAGTCCAACAGGTGTAATTAACAGAATCGCTCCTTGATGCATTGTGAATGACATAGCTGCAAACCTTGCTTTGCTCCCTGTCGCTTCTGCGACCACCGCAACTTTTTATCGTGATTAAACGGCTATCTTGGCCGAAATCGATTTGCATCCAATATGGCATGTCGTATATTGGGTCGGCAATACCATCTTTCGAAGTGTTACTGGTACAAGTTACTGTTACGTTGGACCCTATAGGTAACACCTCTTCTTCCGGGAGGGTGTTGATGGTAAGAGTAGGAGCGGAAGAAACTGTAAGGAGTTGAATTAAAAAGTGCAAAGTGTTAACTATAGGTGTCTTAGAAAATTGTTAGTTATAAGGATACATAGAGGTAACAATACTTTAAAATCATTTACCGACGTGGACTTACTACAATAGGTTTACTAGATAGATTGTTTACGAACCAGCATGTGGGCCATTGTGAGCATCGATTTTAAAACGGTTTATTTAAAAATCAGTTAATGCCTGAAGAGTAACAATAAATACGGTAACTTTTCAATCATTGTTCGATAACATAACATAACATAATAACATAAAACTTTATTTAAACTCGAATTTTAGGGTAGCTAACAAGCTAATATCTTCGAGCTGACACTACATAAAAACTATATAGAAAATATATATATACATTAAATGCAAAGAAAGAAAATATCATTTACAATTCACAATTTTAAGTTTAAGTATGTCAGGCAAAAAGAATCTACATGAAGGTAACATCCTGTATTTTAGTCTTAAAGTCTGCAAAAAAACTGGTACGAAAAAAGTCCGGCAGTGCATTCCACTGCTTAGCTGAAAAGTAAGAAAAGGAGTTAAGACCATAGGTAGTTGTTTTAGGTTTACGATGTGTCGGGAAGCTCTCCAAAGGCAGCTACAGAAGGTAGTCCCACATGACCCCTTCCTGTGTTAAGCCCTTTCGTTTCGAGATATATACTACTCGTTCGCCCCGCTTGGCTCATAAAGCGCCTGTCATGCAGGCTAACTTAGAGGTAAAATGGTCATAAAAGGTCAAAAACTGTTCTCTTATATATTGCCAAAAATTGGGCGGGCAAACTCCCAAACAGTTTCTTTCTTTCAACCAAAAATAGTCCATACTGACCGGACATCGACGGCAAAGCACAGAACGGTCTATACTAGCTAGCGTACTATCTATACCTGTATGTTGATTTTCCATCGAGGCGCACTGGGATGTTTCCGCATTATGGAAGTAGAAAAACGCTAAGCAAATAAACAACAGCATGCCACGGCCAGCAGAAGTACCTGGAATGATTTGGGATACAAAATTCAAAATAACAAAATAAGTCGGTGTGATAAAAAAAAAAAAAGAAGAGCAATGAATAAAGATGTTTTTTTTTTTAATAGCCAACTTCGATCCCAAGAGTTTCAGTTCATGATCAGTCGGCACAACGACGTTAAACCTTTAGCCCGCCATATTGTTATATTATCATCAGTTTTAGTGCCTTCATCTAAGGATCGCAGGCTTTAAGTACTTCTTTTTGGGCCCCTTCCTTTCCTTAGCTACTGTCACTATAAAATGTCCCTGTACTGGCTGATTTGTGCTACTGACTGTATGAAGTTATACTAAGTAATATAGAATGGGTTGAATAATTATTTGGTTGTTTAGTAAATAACAATTTAGCAGAAACTGTTTTACGAGTTTCGACTGACTTGCAAATCAGGGAACAGTGTATACAGTTGTATGGCTTGAATGGAAAAAACTCGCTCGGGATTCTGTCGGCATTTTTATCTTGTCAGGAATATTCTAGTTACCCCACTGATTTCCTCCTAGATGATTTTTCTAACACCTCAGTTAACAAAAACAACGGCATAAACAATAATATTGGTAAATTGCATGATTCACTTTCATACTAAAAAAAAAGCTTGTATATTTAGCCATGACGAAGACTGATAAGGTTTATAGTCCAAAGTTTTCTTTTCTTTTCTTTTTTTTGCCCTTGAACATATGACAACAACATTTCACTATATATGCTCCACTGACGAAATAGTAGAAACAAGATTTTAAGGCAGATACTGCTTAGAGAAAAACCTAGTAAATAAGAGCTTACAGTCACCTATAAGAGTTTATAAGGAACAGTTAACTAGGAACTCAATCTACTCTCAAGCCCTGAATAATCTGTTTTGCAGCTAGCTTATAATAGAATGGATCGAAATTTTAAAGATTTTTTGCTCGCTGCGCTTGAAGGGGTGACAAGAGAGTAACGAAGTAAGAAAACATACAGATTGAAGTTCTTACGTGATATATAGACGAACTCTTCAAACACGATCATAAAAATGAGCGTCGATTGTTTGCCTGACCATTAGCAATCTGATGCCCTCGCACCTTTCTGGATAGTTAAAAATGAACAGTTCTTATTCAAACACGTCATGTTTTACCGCATTTTTGTCCATTGCGTGGGTCCAAGGCAATATGTACTTTATGTAGACTCATTTATTAAAACCACAATTTTCAAAGAAGTGGAAAGCCTTTCGGTCTATCACGCCACCTGTCATTGCCGGATGCGATGACGAAAACACCCAATCCATTACTGAGAGCAAACGAAGCAAACGAGAAGCAAAAAGGTAGAAACGTTCACTCTAAATCCATACTTACCTGAAGACTCCTTTATTTTCATTGGCTTAGCCGTAAATTGGCTAAAAATGAACGGCCATGGCTCTTTCAAAAATCCTGAAAAATCGGCAGCTTCTGCGAGAAAGTCTTTCCTTGTGATATTGAACCGTCATGATGTTAAGCATTGAAAAATTTTTGCGGGTTTTAAAAAGACTTCAAAAAAAAGCAAATATTGATGCACGGCAAAATAATTGAACATTTCGAGGGTGAAGGGGAATGCATGACGCACTCATTCATTATCCCATTAGTCCATTTGAAAAGTCTCGTTATTCCACTATTCCACTTAAAAAAATATATATTAATAATAATAGAAAATGACTAAAAAACCCTTCTTCTTTTTTTTTGCACAGGGGCAACCGCCATTTCACAATTCCCCAGAAAGGGATGGGGGAGTGGAGAGTAGAGAATGGTCGCACTACTGATTCCAAAGACAAAATTTCGGTTACGTTGGTATTCTCATTCGGTTTTTTCCTTAAAGTTCGATCGCAATTCATAAGTATCATCATTTGTTTCTCTCTCATTTTTGTAGTAAAATCATTGGAAAAAAAAAGAAAATTTGAAAAAGGATTAGATGATAATAAAAATAATAATAATAATAATAATAATAATCGGTCATCTCAAACACTTTGAACATTGCCAGAACATTTAAGATAAATAGTTAGCTAGGGCGTTAAAAACACCACATTTTAAGGTTTTTTTGTCCAGAAATCCATAAACACACGTGTCGCAAAACCTGTATTTTACTGATGTTTTTACGTAGATTTTGTAGAGTATAAGAGTTTGATATTACTCTAAATAGGCTTTTAGTAGAGATAACCACAGTGTGATGGTCTTGTGTGGGTTTATAAGAGAAAATGAGGGTATAAAAACTGAATAATTTTACCATTTTCTAAATAGGCTTCTAGTAGAGATAATTATATCATCATGTCTTTGCGTACTTGTCGTCTTCTAAATTGGCTTATTAAGTAGGAGAGAATCATATCATTATGGAAATTAGGATTGTATTAGGTTTCGTACCGAACTTTTTCTACTTCTAAATATAGCTTCTCAAGTGGTGTAGGTGACGTGCGCCCTAATGTGGACAGCATTCCAAAGTTTGACACTGCGAGATCAGTAATAGGCTAAGATCATAGACATCTCTATCCCTGGAGAGGCGCGCTCAGTGGAGAAAGTGACGATTGTAACACGATTGTGATTGTGGCATTGGCAGCTGTAACTATCCGATATGTTTGAGAAATTAAGTAAAGTGGGCTTTCTTACAACTTTAAAGTTTCAGTTTGTTTAGTCACTTAATCGGTCTCATTTCGTTTCATATTTTGCGTCAAACAGGCTTAATGCAGCCCAAACCCGACCTGTAACGTAATTTGAAGCCCACTGCATGAGACATTTGGGCAGTTAAGAGCACTCACATTCAACTGACGTGTACTTATTTTAAGCCCTGATTTGATTTCCTTTTTTTGCTTGTTTGTTTCCCTTCCTATAATTTGTCAGGTATCTTTCGTGATCATCAACGTAGACAAAATTAAAATAATTTTTATGTTGTCTATGTTATGTTAAAACTAAAGTGTGTATCCTTATTATTATTATTATTATTATCATTGTTGTTGTCGAAAATGTTATTGTGAAATTGTAGACTTTAGAAATTCGGTCACCAATATTCAGTTTGCTTAGTCTAAGTTGCTCAAGCTTTGTCGATACAATTTGTTTATTTTAAACTAACTTTTTCCCTTTTTTTATCCTTCTTGGCTGACAATTAATTTGGTTCAGTGGATAAGCCTTTTGACCGCTTAAAATCATTATCATTGGTATTCAACGACCTTTTATTCAGAAAGGATCCGTAGTGACATCTTAACTCTTACTGTTTTTCATAAAACAATATTAACAGGAAAGGTATCCCTTAGGCTCACGTTTTTTTGTAAGATGGTAGTACCCCTTTACATGGCGACTTCTTATCATTAATACTATTAAAATGATACGGCCGTAAGATCAGTGCTATTGTAAAAGTTAATTGAAGACCTTTTTTGAATACCTAAGTGATAGAGGTTCCTAAACCATTTATATGCCTCTGAAGAGAAGCCTGTTAGAAAAGGCTCCCTTTTCAGCCGAAGCCTTTCCACCGAAATGACCGAAAGTAACTACCCCCCGTTCCCCATTCCTTCCCGCAACCCCTCCGCTGCCTGTGACAATAACTTAACCCACGCGGGACAGGCGTTTAAGCTACCATTATTAATTATTTTCAAGAACTACAATCCTCGTCACATTAAGTTGGGACATCCGGTGCAGCTACCATATTGCGGCAAAACGTTGTGCTCTTTCCCTCCCAGTGCTGAAATTTTTTGCTTTTGTGATGCCAACTCGCAAAAACCAGCATTGAGGAGGCACAAATATCGGACCCTCCCAACTAATGTGACGAGTATTGTAGGAAAGATTACTTTCATATCCTACATATCCATTTTCGATATGATTGTAAATTTTCTTCGTTCGTTTATTCCTATTTTCTAGGTAATTGCTCATCAGACTGAGTTCTTAAGCTTAAATGTCTCGATCACCTTGCTAGCTCTAGAGAAAAAGTTTCCTTTCATGCGTCTGGAATGTCAAAACTGATTTAACCGGGTAGCGAACAGCGTCACTCCGCCTCATATTCATTCATATGATTGAATAATTAGGTTGTTAACTTCGATCGTAGTTAGGCCAAGATGTACTCACGTGTGGTTGTCTTATGGCTTGAATATGGGAAAAAACTCAAGTTAAGAGCCTTCCGCCGTTTTCTTCCTCCCTAGCGCGGTATCAAACAATCCAAGCTTTGCGTCACGTACATGCGTCAGTTGTGTCGCTAATATCCACTTCCTTTCCGGGAATTGAAGCTAAGTATTTCATAATTCAATTACGTTCGTTTCTCAAATTTAACTTCCTCGTTTTTTTTAAGCTTACAGCAAATTTACGCAAGGTTACAGAAGCAAATTTAAGTGAATATTTATTTGTTTGCGGGACATGAATTACTACCAAGAGAATTCTCTGTTGTAGCTACCAAAAAAGGAAAACTTTCAAGGGTCTTAAAGCAGTCAAAGACACGGACAATATTACAACAGAAAATTTTTAGCTCCTTAATCTCCATACTGTGCTGGTAGGGGAGTTGGGGAGTTGGACCCTCTTGATTTAATTATAAGGCCATTCCAATAAAATGTTTCGTTTCTCATCGCCCCGTCTTTTGTGATGGTGGGTCGGTCGCTCGGTCGGCATCAAAAAAAAAAAAAAAGAAAAAAATGTAAACACTTAAAGGGGTCGGGGTTCCAGAGAAGGCCGGGCTGCTAAGTAGAAAAGCCTGGTTACAAAGGCAACTCGACAACGTGGTCTCTTCGACTATCGAATGTCTAAACAACCTTTAAAAAACGTAGTGTTGATGTTAATGAAAGACAAGGACATCACATCACACCAATTGTTGTTAATTAAACAAGATCGTATGCTTGTTAATTAAAGTACTTGGCTTTGACTAGTGAGCCTGGAATTTGTCTGTTTTTTTTTTTACTTTTCGAAAAAAATGGGTCGTTCGGGCGATGGGAAACGTAACATTTATAGGGGTGGCCTGAATGATCGCTTAACAACAAATGTATTTACTAATCGTGAAATCAGAAATAGAACATGCTTTTTGGGGAAGTTATTGTGGAATTCCAACTATGTACATACAACAAGTTTTGGAATTGACTCGGCATTGTGCCATATAGTTACTTAATTTACCTTCGCTTCCAGGTTACTTAAGATGATAGCTGAATAAAAGAAAGCCCATAGATATTCAGGATATTATGTTGAATACAGTCGAACCTCCATCGAGGACTACCACTCTCGTGAGCGGACATGACCTAACATAAGCAGCCATCTATATCCAAAGAAAACAAACTTTTCCCAGCCAAATTGCAATTATACTTGGAAACTCTCGCAAAAAGCAGCTCTCATGAGCGGCCGCAACCACTTTTGGAGGCCCTCCAAAAGCGGTTGCGGGGAAAGTTTATAATAAGTAACTTGCACGCGGTAATATATTCTTCAGAAATTATGTGTGAGGACTCTTATACTCGGAAAAAAATCCTTGTGCTTCGATTATTGGTAGCCTGCGTAACAGGCGTCTATAAGGGAAGAAGATTGGGAGAAAGGGAAAAGGGGAGGGGGGTTGGGATCGATTCTTGATAAGCTTCATGATCCGGCTTAAAGGAAGTTTGACTTTAGTATATAGATGGTAGCCAAGCTCAAGCTTTTCTAACACGAGTGCTACATAGAGGCTCTTCTCTGGACAGTCATCGGCCTGTTTATATGAGCCGAGATTTTCGTTAATTTTATTTGCGAATCCGGGTTTGGCCGCTGGCTTGAGCAACCGGCTATCTCAGCAGGTGGGCCAGCCTGCCTTCGGAATATCGCTAAACGGCGATGCTATAGTTTGGTACATCTCTGAACTAAGCTGGCTCTGTCCAATTTAGCTTCTAAAACAAGCCTGCCGCACACAAAGTTGTGGACTATTATTAAAGAACGTTAAACGTTCAGTTTAAGGCTTAAACATTTACACACACTAGCCGTATTTCCTAGTTATTTTGTTCCATTTAATGAGGAACTGGGCAGTTGCTGAGTGATAGCATCTCTGTTGATGTAAAGATTTGAATATCTTTGTTCTTTGATGATCTGTGTAAAAAAGAATACAAACTTTGACGTTAGCATAAAATATCATAGGGGAAGCACAGGTGAGTAGGAACATGTAAAATGGGTGAGGGCCGGGCGGAGGGGAGTTGGACTGTAAGATACGCTTCGTCTAGCAAAGTACGTCTGATACCGCTTTCTAAGGGGGTGTTTACATGAGAAAACTCGCACCGGCGCGAGTTTCATATCGGCATGACTTATTGTATCGCGTTCACATGATCATGGGTCATTTCATATCTGGGTTATTTGAAGGTATACTTCATGTTGATAAAATACACGTGCGATTCAAAATCGCAAACATTACGCATGCGCTACCCGTTCCAGGCCACTGGCAGACCGAATTCACACCGAAGCGGGTGATCGTTTCGCTTTCACATGATACCTTTGCGAGATTTCGTACCGGAGTGAAATTCTCGCCCCGATACAACAACCGGGGACTCACGCCAGGGTGACTCGCGCCGGCATGACATTTTGTGGTGGTATCATGTAAACAAATGTAGAGCAATGACAGGTAACCGGAGTGAACTCGCGCTGGCGCGAAAGTCGCCCCGGTGTCATGTAAACACCCCCTAATATAATCAAATCTGCTTTCGCTCTTGGGCTACTGGCTCCTGATTAATACCATAGGGCTATTACAAAGTTCAGGGGCGGATCCAGGAACTTTTGATTGGGGGTCCAAACTTTGGTTCAGAAAGGACTGTTGAACTGTTTTTGTGGCTAATTACTTCTGACAGACACAATCAGGTGTTTCTCAATCTGTGAACGCGAGCGCATTTTGGGGCGGGATATACTGCTTTGTTAGAAGAGGCAAGTAGATCACAGGAAGGTACCCAAAAACAATTACATTTTTTAATATCCCTGGAATTTACTTTAGTAGCAAAATGTAACGCTCGTTTCATTAAAAAAAAATCAGCCAGTTAAAAAGTGATATACGATCCTGTCGATATAAGAATATCCGCCTCAAACAAACGTCGTCAGGTCTGAAGAAAGTGGTGGTGTTGTTTTTTGGGGGGGGGGGGGGTCCGGCCACACCGACCCTCACCCTGAATCCGCCACTGAAGGTGAAAGTAACGAGCGGTTTAGCCGCAGTGTAGAATCGGCCACAAATTTAGTTGAGACACTTTTCACAAAGAAAAAGTGTCTAGAAGCTTAAGAAGGGGGAATAAAGCTTTCCACCCCCAACTCCTCCAGGTAATATCGTGTCGATGTTAGAGCTACCTGAAGGAAAGAACAAAGTTTAAAACCCCAACTTTGAATGGAGGGAAGGGGTGTTGAATGTTTTGTTCTCCGAAACCTATTTGAGAACAGGTCTCAGCAATTTTTTCGCCGATTGAAGGTCAGGAATACCTTTATTGATAAATCGTATTGACAAAATAAATAGCAATAACGGAATTCATACTAGTAAGCAATATAATATACTGTGTCTTATTATGCATGTCAATGTCAATGTGTAATTCTTTTCTTCATTTTACCTCTTTTTCGACCCTAAACGCAGCATTTCTGTTCTTCCTATAGATCACCAGTATTAGTAACACCATCACAAACAATAAAACTCCTGCTACAGCAACTGAGATCCACAGGAGAGGAGATTGATCGTCGCTTGTTGAAGCTGAAGTATCACCTATAAAGAGCGAGAGAGATAAGCATTTCAATGAGAAGTGAACATGTAGTTGTTGTTATCCATACAATATATTTTCTCGCACTTTCTTTACCGGGCTTGTACCAGTTATAAATTCTCAGATCGGTGGAATTGACTGTTTGTTTCTGTTCATGTTTGATACTAGCACTACAACTGGAGCATTGAGTTGGAGCATTGAGACAACCTATTCGTGCAAATCACCAGGGGGGCTCCTTATTAAGGCCAAAACGAGGAGGCTCCGTCCGAACGGGGTACCTTTTTCAGACTTCAGGTATATGAAATGGTGGGAATTTCACTTAAGCTGAAGTATATGAAAGGGTAGGGAAATTTGCTTAAGTTCGGTCTGTATTTTATGGCTGTGAAAGAGACACGAAAACGTTCCGGTTTTGCCCGACGTATTCATATTTAAAAGACAGTGCTTTTACAGCAGTCGAAACGAATGCAAAGTTCTTAAACAAATACGTGAGAGGGGTGCAATTTTTGGAAGGCAGAGAAGGGGTACCTTTTCTGTTAAAAATGGTATATGCAACAAAGTAAGGGGTTGGAACTTGGGGCTTGATTACACCCTGACTCCGGGGCGCATTACCAATCAGTCCGATCCTCTAAAAGATTTTCGTCTGGAATTTTGTAAGGTCAAATAAATGTATTTTAATTTTGTAATTTATGCATTCAGCGCCGTAGCCACTGTTTAGTTGAGTGCTGCTCGACGACTTTGAATAGCGTAGATCCAGATCGGATTAGAATGGCCAAATAATGATTAAGCTCCATTAGGAACCTGGTCAATAGGCCCAGGGCTGTTAGTCTCTAGTTTTAGAAACGATGGAACATGACAGACCTTAGCTAACTTAGTGCCTAGCATATCCTTGATCATTTTTATGTTATTCACTAGTTGAACTAGATAAAAGGGTACGGAAAACTATCATCTGGGTCTGTAAAAGGGCCCAAAAGAGCTAACAGATGAATTTTATGGCTATGAAAAGTCAAGAAAACGTTATAGTTTTGTGACTGATTCCTTTTTTAAAAGACAATGCATTTACAGCAGTTAAAGGGGATACAACGTTCTTAGCAAGGTACATGAAACGGGTACTGTTTGCCAATAGAGGGTATACGAAAGGAGTACCTTTTTCGTGAAAAGTTGCGGGCTAAGGTGTTGGACCTCGGGACGGAGCCTCCTCGTATAAACATTTGATGGGTACCACACACTCCTCCCTCAGTGCAGAATACTTGCCTTTCAATGGACGCCTTCCTGCTAAAGAAAGCAATGCATCCTTTGAGACAACAATTCCTATTGTGTTCCCTGCCTGACATGTATATTTACCAAAATGGTGTTTTTCAACGGAGGCAATATGCAGTTCTGAAATGATACTGTCTCTTCCCTGGTATGTCTTGGCCTTTCTGTCAGTCACTTCCAATCCATCTCTCAGCCAAATAATCGAAGGGGCCGGCAGTCCTTCGACAGCGCATGTAAATACCACATGATCACCAGGAGAGGCTGTGCGATTTTCTGGGTGCCGATATATTGAAGGGCCTATATCTGAAGTTTTTTAAGAGAAAAGTTCTAATTTATATTTTAAATAGCTGCTATTTTGAACTAACGAGGGAACGTGACATTCTCTAGGGACTAAATAGAGATTATTTTTAGCCTAGCTTGTCAAGCTCTCCATGTGATCTCCGTTTGCCACCCGAAATGAAGAAGAGCTTTCCTACAGCCGTTTGGCAACTCCTACTATACTCAAACACTTTCCCAACCTCCTCTTGACAAACGTCTGCAACGCTTATAGTGTGTGAATATTACAAGTTTAAACAATAAGCTATTAGACACAGCGAGAGTCAGAACTTAAAACGTCTTTGATGCTACAAAAGTATATGCATATCATCGTCGAATCTTATCAATTGAGAAATTGGTCTCTATTTTTAATTAATTAATTATTTATTTTATTTACAAACTTCGCTAAGATATCTCACAGAGCGAGCTCCGTTACGTGGTCAATAAAAAAAAAACACTACTTATACAAACAATAGTAACTTAGTAACAATGCTTAAAAAACAACAGAAACCGCAATAACAAACATAATAGGGCTTGTAAACATTGATAAAAGAATCAACAACACATTTCATCGAGCAAGCGGGTCAATGGCCGACTAGTGTGGCACTTGATAGACATACTTTTGTAGGTCTTGGGTTTGGTAAGGGGGGCGGGGGAGGGGGGAGTTGGAGAAATCATAACCACTCAGACTTAGTAAGAGGCAAACAATAATTAAAAAGTTCTTTCTTAAAGTGCGCTACTGAACAGTTTAAGTTCTGGAGGCGGGCTGATAAGGTGTTCCAGGTTCTTGGAAGTCTTCCAGTAAAAACTGTTCTCAAAGGCTCTAATCGTATTCCGCGGAGTACCTTGAGAGGAGTCAGAGCGCCTGGGTCTAGTGCATGTGGGTAAATTACCGAAATAAAAGAATCCGATAGACTAACTATTCATCTGAATACATACACCGAGTCTAAAAATTCATGCCAATAACAAAAAGGTAGAGGTTCATTTTTCCATAGTCTTTGCTTGGTTCGGACCGATACGGCAGAGACAAAATGATTTTTTTTTGCCCGCTGCTGATGTCAAGGATAAAATTGAGAGCTCAAGGGGTCCACCTTATATTTTGAGGAACAAGAGTGGTCCAAGTATTGATCCTTGCGGGACGCCTGATAACAAAGGGAGAGGTTCAGGGTTGACGCCGAGAACGGCAACCCTTTGGACACGGTCAGTCAAATAGTCTTCGAACCAGGGCAACACTGGGTACCGCAGATGTCGAATCGGTAGAGTTTCTAAACAGCACTGTGGTTTACCCTGTCAAAGGTTTTAGCGAATTCAAGATAGATAGCATCAACTTACACTCGCTTGTCCAGCTTTTCGCCTATGTTATGAAAGATTGAAGTAACTGGGCCGTGGTGGATTTGTCTTTTAAAAACCCGAACTGCTTAAACTTAGTCCTTTGTTGTTGCTGATTTGATTGTTTTTTTTATAATTTTTTTTTATTTATTTATTTTTTTATTGGAAGCTCAGCCATAAGATTTAACGTTCAGCTCCTGGTGTATATCACCACAGCGTGCAATCTCGAGCAATACAAGGGGGTTGAAAGATGCGGAGCAATTCGAGAGTTGTAAAAACCGACGACGAACTGGCCGAGTCTCAGAAAATACAGTGTAGGAGGGAAATGTAGCAATTGTTTTCTTTCAAGTGTTCGTCCTTAGATTCGCAATGTTGTTAGCACTTGATCGGTGGTAAAAGAAGTGGTTAAGAAGGAAGTTCAAGGTGGCTAAGATGTAGAGAGCCGAGAGCAGGCGAATGCGCGTTCTTGTCTCCACCATTGATGCTTCATTATTATGTCTTATAAGTGTAATAGGTATTAAGTGCATTCAGTTAACCCTTTCGAAATGCCGCGCCCTTGCTTACGGTCAGATTCCCTTAGCTTTTACTAGGAAGGTACACTCGATAACCAACTGCACTCACCCCGGACTCGGAGGAGCGGTGGAAATGGAGCTTACCTTTTAGGGTAAACATATCTTTGCAACAGCCATAAATTATTGTCCGCACCTGGTATTGTATTGATCACCATTGCTTCTGAGGAATAAGCTTCCCCTTCTGAATTCCTAGCAACGCAGACGTAGCTATCTTCGCCTTTCTGTATTTCCACTAAAACAAGAATGAGCCATGAAATTCCATCAATTTCAAGCACTGTTCCATTGGGCTGTGTAGAGTTGTTCTTTAACCAAGTAACTACAGGTGGAGGTGATCCGGCGGCTTTACAAGCGAAGGAAACCATGGTGATATTTTGCTTTAAGGATACTGCCACGTTTTGAGGATAAAGTGAAATTGTTGGCCCTGGTAGAAAAATGAAACAAATCTTATTACTCGAGTGTATCTCAGTAGCTATGCACTCAATTATTTCTTAGCGAACTGAAACTCAAAATGAATTTACATCAGTGAATTCTTTACTTTTGTTTGCCATTTTTGGTAGAGGGAATCCGCCACTTGAATGCTTTAACCCACCCTAGTCACCAAGAGCCCCGGGCTCGGTTAAACGTGGCCGACTACCGTGAGCTATGAGGCACGCCGGATTAGGAAGCAAGATAGAACACCTAGATACCAGGCTGGATTCAGGTGATTTTTAACTGGCCCATTAATTCATTTTATGACGCCCATGAGCTAAAAGGACGACATGCAACTCGTTCACAGATTCTTAAAAGAGCACTCGCCTACGAATAAAAAATACAATGATTGGAACCTATGGCTGGTTACGAAGTACCCGCGGGAGTCACGCAACACTGAATTGCACCAAAGACTCTTTAAGTACTTATCGAAGGTGGTGACAGTTATCCATCGTATTCTCCAAGGTATAAAATTTAATTTTTAATACGCGATACGATGAAGACAGTTCTTTGCACTCAAATCAGAACTTTCGTGTCTTTTATTTTACTGGTGTTCGAGCGAAAAAAGAAAGAAAAACAGAACTTTAAAACTGAAAATATCCAATTATAACAACTTACTTTGCTTCATACTCAGTATTGTACTAGAGGATCTGCTCCATCCTTGCGAGTTTCTTGCCTCGCACCAGTATTCCCCTTGGTGAAGTGCTGTGACCAGTTCCAAAGTTAAGGTCGAGAGACCTCTTGCTTCGGTGATGTTTGACTCGGGCACTGGAATCCCATCCTTGTACCATGTAATCACGGGGTTTGGAATACCTACTGCCTTGCAGGTCAAGTTCGCTCTTCCTCCACGCGAAATAAACTTTTTAGCCGGAGGGTTGACAGTAAAAATTGGGGAGGAGCTCTCTAGATCATAACAACAAAACGTAACAATAAACTTAGATGTTGTACAAAAGGAAAACAAAATATTTATCTGTGTATCATTATTTGGCTCAGAACAGAGTCATTTACGTCTAAAAATTGAAAGTATGGAGTTTTTGCGCATTTTATTAAAGAGTTCGTATCTAACTGTAATGAATTGTTTACTAACTGATTTCAGTTGACTATGATTAAACGACTGGTGTTTCTTGATCAGACACCTCTATGTAGTAAGTTTAAAGAAAATCTAGAGGAAATCAGAAAACCTCAAGGTGGATAATTTCACTGCTTACCTTTAAACACTAGCCTGCGTAGCTGGCGGTATTGTGTACTAGTCGAGTGAGATTTGGCGGCGGGGCCGCCACTAGCGGCCAAGGCGCGAGAAATAAACACCTCATCCCCACTCCATTTTTTGGATCGCGGCTCCGCCGCCAAATCTTTAATCACACAATACCGCCAGCTTCGCAGGCTATTAAACACTAGCTCTCAATACATAGAGTCCGCGTACAATGCAGCTAGGGACCTTAAGCCGGCAACGACGACGGCGACGGCCAAGAGAACGGGAAAAAATGTAGTATGTTTAGATTAGCAGAACAAGAACTTTGCACTTTCAGCACGCTTTTTTGTACATTTGTCTGCCGTCGTTGCACGGCTACAACGTGAAACTACCTCATTTCACGTTTTGTAGAGGACGGGAACACAAGACAAGAATTTTATTTTTTTTCCTGAACTTTTTCCTGACGAATTGAACGAGATGGAATAAGCGCGATTAAGGTTAATGCAGCTCAAATTCACTTTTTTAGTGACGTTTTCGTAGCTTAAACGTCCTAATCAGACATGCGTATATGATGGCGGACGCAGCATCCAGCGCTCTCAGTTTTGCTGCTTTTATATTTCCTTTTACATTTTGCTAAGGTGAATCTTGCCACTACAAATACTTTGCTTCTACTGGGGTTCCTTTCTAACGAGAGTTTTTCAAGTCTTGGAGTATATTTTACAGATTTAAAACCTTCATGGCTTCGTGTTACTGTGCGACCTTATTCTGTTGGATTTTGCAGCACCAAAGTCTTTCCACCTTACAAAATTGAAAAAACGTGGATCGACCTCTCTCCTGACTGCAGTACATCACCCTCCATTAGATACAACAGTGTGGATGGATATTTCACGGAATCCAGGGCCTATTTCTGAAATTATTTCTAATGGCTGGGAGCTCAGGCTAAAAGAAAAACTATCTTGAACAATGGACAAGGGATGTTGCTTAATATTCCTTCATTAGTAGTTGGGGTGGGAGACAGTCTCCTGCTCCCGTTGTTTTCCTATTGTGACAACGGGAGCAAGAGACTGTTTCCCACCCCGAGTGTGAGTATTTTGAGTCTCAGGCAGTGTTGCTATCTGTCAACGGTAACGCGGAGTTCAGGCCGAGCCTCAGTCGATGGCTTCAGACGGGAAAGGTTGCAGAGATTTGCGACCTTTGATTCGCTCTCGTTGCAAAGGAGTCTTGAAGCAAGATAACGAATGGAAAGAAGAACTATCACGTTTTACCCAGGCGGAATTTGGAGGCGATTGGAGCAGTTGGAGCGAATTTCCGGCCGTTTTCCTTCGGTGGATCAGTCGAGCCTCTTCGCTGGAGTGCCCAACCTCGGTAAACCTTTATATAGAGAGAAAACCGTTTACGTAAAAACCCATAGAACGGCCATAAATCGGCCCGTGGACCACACAGGAGAGACGTAACACACATTTTAAGTAAGGTAAGCTGTTTTTTATTGAAATCCTTTCATTTTCGTAAGTTACGGAAACGATAGGTTTTGTTCCCATACAAATCCTTATATTTTGAATGTTACGCAACAATGCCGATGCTCGCCGATGCTCATATTTCGAGCTTGGGCTACCTGTGCTGGTTCAGCTAATATCACTCGAATCGGAGTCAGCCATCGATGGATCGCTTTCTAGACAGTTCTCACCTGACTGTGGCGTATCTCAGGGTTCATGTCTGGGACCCTTGCTGTTCGTGATTTAAACATCCTCGCTGTTTAAGGCTATTGAGCGTCATCTCCCGCAAGTTCATTGTTTCCCGGACGACACGCAGCTGTAACTCAGTTTCAGAGAAGGTGACGATAACGCACAAGATGAGGCACTGCGTGCTATGGAGGAGTGCATACGTGTCTTACGGAAATCGCTGACTGATGGAAGGTTGCTTCTAAATAACGATGAAACTGAATTTCTCGTCATCGAGACTAGACAGCAGCTCCCGACAATAAACTTGGCGCCTTCAGTCTGCAAGTTGGTGATCATGATATTGATGCTTCGTTGAATGCTAGAAACTTGGGGGCAGTTATTGACAATAAACTAAGTCTAGTATGAACAATCATATTAAGCAAATAATGGGTAAAGCCTGTGTCTATGATATTCATAACATCCGTTCAGAACATTGGGGCAAGACTTAACGACCGTATCTCGCCATTTCGCCAGCTCTTTCTAGTCTTTATTGGCTAGCGCTGCCAGCGATTTACCGTATCTATTTTAAAGCTTTAACTATCACTTTTAAGGCCATTCATGGCATGTCACCTGGATACATAAGCGATATAGTTAGCATAAGGACCTCTTCTTCATATTAATCAAGATGGTATCACTCCACTGTTTTAGATCATCCTAAGACGCGTATGCTGGCAACATTAGGCGCTAGATAGTTTTCCGCTGCCGCTCTTAAATTGAAGAACAGCCGTCTCGCGCATATCCGTGATATCGGGTAACTTAAGAGACATGTCAAAACATATCTTTTTATATAAGCTTTTATGTAGTTTTAACTTGATTTTATTTTCACTTTTATTTTATTTATCTGTATGTATTTTTATCAGCATATTACTTTTAATCGGTTTTATCTATCATAGATTCCTTCTATGATTTTAATCATCAGTAATGTAAAGCGTTTTTGATCATTTTTATGTTAAAAGGCGCTATAGTAAATTATTTATTTATTTATTTTATTATTATTGATTATTTGCCCAAGAAATATAATTACCAGAATCATGACCACTTCTTGATAGAGGTATAATAAAAAGTACAAATATGCACTTTACTGCTTACCTTTAAACACTAGCTCTATAGAGCCCGCCGTGCATTGCAATTGATTATTTGCCCAACAAGTGTAATTACCAGAATCACTTCTTGATGCATTGTTAATAACATGGGTACAAACTTTGCTTTCTTCAATATCATTTGTTCTACCACCGCATTCTTTTATTTTAAAAGGATTATCATTGAAGTAGAAGTGGATCCAATACGGTTGGCCGAAACTTGGAATGCCATAGTTTTCTTTGGAAGCGTTGCTAGTGCAAACTATTGTTACGCTGTATCCTACGAGCAACACGTGATCATCTGGGAACTCAAGAGTGTTGATAGTCAGTGAAGGAGCTGTAGGAACTGTAAATGGTTAAATATTAGGTTAGCAAGAACCACCAGTACACTTTGCGCATACCTAAGGAAGGGAAAACAAATATCTTCGACTCTTTATTTTCTACTTAAGTACACTTCATTTGCCCCTAACTATGATATATCGACTGCCATAATATCATCATCATACATTTATATTTTGATTATGAGGACAAATTGTACAGTCTTATAATTTTTACTACTAAATATTTTTGGCGTGACAAAGCATAATTGATAAAACAAATTGCAGCACTACAACACTACCATGATGGTCATTTCCGCATGGATCTCGCCTATCCCTACCAGTGACGGAAGTGGCCAGTCCTCCATTACATCTACTATATCATTCTATTGCAAACCACATACATTGAAAGGTTCTGCTCTTCTCTTGGAAGTAACAAAAGCTTGCAAGCATTGCAAGCTCTTCATTTGGGAATACCAGAGAGCGGATGGAGTTAGTGGAAGTTGTCCACCGAAATCCATTGTTATATATACGAAAGCTAACTAGCCTGATTTTCATGAGGTGTCTCCTTTTGGAAGCTTGGTTGTCTTTAGCGGATCCAAAGTCCGAGAACAGCCACAACAGCTATCGAGCGAGGTTTGGAGAGAATAGTAATGTTGATGTTGATAATGATGATGATGATTATTATGATTATGATGATGATGACGATGACGATGATGATAGTGATAATGATAATAAATCTTGGGTAACAACTAATACATTTATTCAAACGGATGAAGGCCTTGCTAAGCCGATGTTAGAGCTGAAACGTCGACCAATTTAAGCAAACAGACGACAATCACAATCTCGTGTTCGGTAATAATTAATAATTAAAATCATTTGGCTGACTACTATGGGATAAGACAGCTTCATGATGAGGAATAGAAGCAGCATCGATTACTCCAATTTAGAGCTGCTGAAAAATGGGGTCCACGACATCCTACTCAACTAATATGGAAATATTATGTCAGCACAGACACCCATTACGCCGGCCCCTCCTTAATTATAAGCCGTCTTATCTAGTTTTGTTAGAAATTAATTTCCGTGGAGCACATTATTTTTATTCCTCTAACTTTCGCGTTTTAAATCGTGGTATATTTTTGCTTACCTTTTTGTTGTTCTTCCATTGGAACACAAGCTGTTTCTGCATTACGGAAATAGAAAATAGCCAACGAAATAAGCAACAGCATAATTACTCAGCTTATCTCTGGAATGCTGCCTGAAATGAATTGAAATATTATTGTAAAAATTAATGAAATGTTTGAACTAAGCATGCACTGATCAACCATAAAATATGGACGGTTGACTTTATTTGTTGCATCATAATAACAATCAGCATGAGTTCTTAAATAAATGAACTTTCGTTGTTTTCTTTTCCGTCGTTTAATGCAGTTGAAATTGATTTTGAGGGTCACCCACGAAGTGAATAGCTCAGTTAATGAAGTTTCTAACGTAGAACAACTGCACTCTTATTATTATAGCATTTTTCAGCTTAATTTAAAAAATTGAAGATAAAAAGGTAAGTATTCATATTCATGTTTACAAGAGGCTGAATCGGGCTGAGCCACTTTAATCTAAGCCACCTTTCATAAGGCCCGCCATATAAAAGATGAAAAATCATATTCCTTTTTAAATCGACTCATGTAATAGGTCTTGTTATTTTATTGCTGTATTCTATTGCACAGCACACAATCAGGCCGGTTCTATTGACTGTATTCCGGAATAAGAATAAAATAATACTAAAACTCTAGAAATCACTTGTTTTGGCTTTTATTGTATAAGCTATATTTACAAAACTGCTTGAAATAAAATATTTTAAAGTATTCAAGTTTATAAATGGTCCAAAAATCACCGCAGAAGAAATTTGTGACAAAAGTTTTGGCTTTTCTTATTCCGGTATACGATTAATCGAACGCACCGAGTACTGTAAAACAACAACCAGAGACTAAACGCATGAAATCCATCAATCACGTTGTTCATTTGACAACAACTTACTAAAGAAACCTTAAGAAATCACTGACAGCAGGTAACTATACTAGCTATAAACTCATGAATCCAAACAATATGAGAAAAAATTGAATTAAATGTAATAGGAAACCAATTTGGCACAATTAAAAACAGTGAAAAGGCTGTCGCTAACTAATGTACCCATTTACTCTACAAAATGAAGTCAGAAAAACTTTTAAGCTTATATTCATCATTTGCTTTCGAAACAGGCATAATTTGAGCTCTGCTGCGTTTTTTTTTTAAATTCAGATGGCAGCTATTTGTCTTCGGGGAATCGTCAGTGTTCAGTCACTGATTGCTAGATGGTGCAACTCATGATTTTCAGAATATAAATTAAAAGTAACCTCTAATTCATCATCATGATTCACCATCTTTCTAAAAAGTGCCTTATTGTAATTAAAAATAGCAAGGTGATGTTGATGGTTTACCGGACTTGAAGAGATTATTGACGTTTAGTTTGTATCCCAAGTGGTAAAAGAACAGTGAAAATGAACTGTCAATGGTGTAGTGTTCTATTTTGATTTTTTCATTTCAAGGGGTTTTGCCGGGCAGTACAAACCTTTAAATTCCCTTAAGCAGTGAACCAAATCTTGCGCTAAGGCTATGTCCACTAGCACACTGATCTCAAAGTAAATAATAATGACGCTGTCTTTATGATTCAGTTAGACATGGTCAAGCCGATAAGGGAATTAAGTCAACAATAAGCTAAGGTGATGTAATATACTGAGGATGTTATTTTATCAACGTGTGGTACTAACGACGCTGCATTTCGTAGAAGTCGGAAAAGCTGATTATAGCCAAGCTCCTGATTCAGATGGACGAACCAAGAAGTTATACTCTTTGCCACAAGAAGGCGGCCAAAGAAAATAGTGACAACATAACGTTCTTTTTAGATAAACAAGTTTATTTATACATATTCCAACAGGTGACACGATTTAGGGATGACAAATAACCTGACAATAAATTTCTGGTTAAAGGAGGCTAGCTATTGATAGATTACCTTTCTTTTTGTGACAATGAAATTTATACTTTTATAAAGAAGGAAAAAAACACAATGACAAACTCTTGTTTATAGCAGGTATTTTAGAAACTCAAAGAAAACGCTCTGGCCCCAGTCATTCCAATGGAAAAATCGTGGATAACGCAATTGGTTTCCAAAGTACTTATCCGCTGGATAGTGATCTATGCGGTGGATAGCACTATCTAACGTTTGAACGACTGGGACCTTGTGAATATAAAAAGCGATATTGGTTGCAATCAGTTTGGAAGCAATATCAGTACCACATCCATTATATGTCAGTATCAACTATTAAGGGGCTCGTTTGCTCAGTAAATATGCACTAACTAGATCATTATTGTAAATTTCTGAAGCAACTGCTTACTGATAATTAATATTTTATGCTGAATCATCCAAGACTTACTCTTAGCCTGTAAAATAGCCAGGGGTTTGCGCGTATGTACGGTAGAGCCGGAAAATTTTACAATAATTCAGGCAGCACCGGCAGTAAATACCTTCTTTAACTGAACTTTAATTAAGGGATAATAATAAACACGCCACAAGCCACAGCCGGATACGTAAATCCGAAAAAAAAAAAACAGCTATTGGAAAACTAGGGACCGTGTAACCCCAGCCTATGCTATGGCGTCGCCTTTGGAGCTACAAGGCAAAACTAATAAAATGAAGCCTAATAACATGAATACTAGCAGAAACGGCGAGATGCTACATAAAATAACTAAGAAACATAGGGACCAGTGCCGAAGGCAACAAAATTAAGGCTTATAACAGAAAAAGTGAAAACTAAACGAAACACAGCAAGTTGACGTGGCGAGGCCGACCGCAGAATGACACCAATAACTAAACGGCCCCTGTATCAAACCCCGTAACCGCGATTCCTCGCGCGCTGCAGTGGAACCCAGTTCTCCGTTCCGTGCCGGCAAAATGATAATTTATGTCAACCCTTATTTACACAATTTATATTATTCTTCTTACGTAACCGAATCTCATCGACGAAGTTTGAGCGATTCTATAATTATAATTCCATTTGCTTTAAACCTTTTTACCTCCTAGTTTTGGAGATGGTTTTTCTGTTAAAAAAAAGTAAGTATAGGGTTATATAAGCTGCCGTTAACCAAGATGGAACAAAAAAACCTTTGATTATTTCATGGTGCGTGCATCATTAGTTAGACGCCTGTTACTTTTAAACGGACCGATCGATACCTCCATATGGAGAGTAAGGCACAATAAAGATACTGTTACTGTTACTGTTACTGTCGGTCATCATCGCTGCCATATCACTCCATATGACTCAATATGGTTTTCATTTTTTCAGCATGGCGTAAGAGCTGCAGACATCTGTGCCGATCCATTTAAAAAAAGTGCAAGGTGCTTTTACTGCATAATTATTTGACCGTTACTGCTTTGATTTTACAATGTGGAAAAACTTGCACCTGCGTTTGACCGGCTCAGTGACCTATAACTCGGGCCCCTTACGCTCGCTTTTAACTGCATAATGCATAATTATTTGACGGTTACTACTTTGATTTTACAATGTGGAAAAACTTGCAGCTACGTTTGACCGGCTCAGTGACCTATAACTCAGGCCCCTTTCGCTCAGCCAATTTAGTGTACATGTGGTACATCAATGTGGATTATTTCCGACCCGGGAATCAGGAAGTTCACCGAAATAATGACTACACAACCCGTTATACGATGGACTTACCAACTGGAAAGATTTCCTGCTAGCGACTCAATTTCGACACCAATGAGTTACACATGACAGTCTCCAAGTTTTAACAATTAACTCTTGGCGAACGATTTTAATAGGAATTCTTAATTATTTGAATTTTGGTTAAACAAACGAAGCATCAAGCCTGAACTTTGATCGAGTACATCGGAAATGACGTGCTGGAAGGAAGACCATTCCAATCAGCAAAGCGTAGCAAGCACAACACAGACCACTTTTGTAACGAACACAAATATTGCACCGCTGACAGCAAACATGCAACACCCATTCAAGTGACCCATTAAAGATATTGGTATGAATTCTTCTGTTTGTGGTAAAACAATCAACAAATTTGATCAACATATGTTATCGAATATGGACATATGGACAAGAAATGAATTCATAAAGGAACACCAAATAAATCTAAGTAGTCCTAGACGGGGAAAGGCTGCCGGTTGTCACGGTATGGACGCAAATACGGCTAAAAGAAAGGTCTTATCGCTCAGTCACTTGAGACGGCATGAAAATTTATCGTAATTAGCTGTTTATAGTCAATAATGCATGTTCTAATAATACAAATGACAAATGGGCTTTTAGGCGCGTTTTGGCATGGTGCAGTTCAACCTAGCTCTTAGCCTTTTTAGTCCTCCAATATCCAAGTGACAAATTCCCTACACTGATCGATCTCCGTCCACATTTATTTAAACAATTTGTTGGTTTCCCTCAGGAGATCATTTTCTTAATTCTTATATTACAACCTTCTCTTTTTAATATCTATTGATATTGATCGCAGAAACTTGTTTTTGGTCACTCTTTGGACTTAAGGGCTAAGCGGAAACCAGTTGAGACTAGAGAAGGAGCTATGTCACCGCTTGATGGAGGGGGGCCCGCTTTTACAACCATGACACAGCTGTAATTAAAAGTAGTCTGTAAATGAAGTTTCCATCTGAATTAATAACTGAATGTAATAAGCCCCATTTTTTTCTCATCCCCCCAATGGTAAGGTTTTTTAGCACATTGTCACGGGGTCTGGGGAGGTTTCTATTTACAGTATAGTATAGTATAGTATTTATATTCTAACTTTGCGAAGTTTTGCCTTTCTTACCAAATGAGAGACTTTACTTTGAAAAGAAAAAAAAAAAGGAATTGTTTCCTGCAATGCGCTGACAATTATGCAATTTGATATCAAACTACTATATCTCATAATAGCCCGGAACAGCAAACGTTCTGAAAAAAAAAAAAAAAAAAGATTTCAGTTCATCATGTTTCATTAAACCAGGCATTACGTTTTCATTTTCAACTGAGAGACCTACCTTTGAAAAACAAAATACTAAAATAGAGAATTGCCTCGTACAATTCGCGGGTAATAATGCAATTTAGGTCTCATACTATTGCCTGATGATAACCTGGAACAGCATAGCTCTTAGTGAAAAACAGGATATATTTTCAATACGATGTTTGCATTCGTATTGATTTTGCGGTTTAAAGCTTTCTTAGAAAGAGGAACTAATTATGTCTAAGTGATTCACTGTTCAACCCTCATGAACACCTTAAATGTTTTGTGTCAGACACGTCACGACGACAGTTACGATTAATTATCATGGTGTTCCGGGACTAATTGTGTACAAAAAGACCTTTCACTCGCAGTTGTGTTGAGTGTGTTTTAATTCCTCAACCTGATCGAGTTGCTCAATAGTCGACTAAGGGTTACATACCGCTGATGCAGTCCATTGTTTCTCTACGTAAGTAGCTGTGTAGTTATTGATTAGCTTTGCCACGAAATTTATCAAATTTCAAACAGTGTGAGCTGTCACCAAATTGAGTGTCATTATAATAACTGCTCAAAAATATAGAAAAGGTATAAATGACAGAGCGAAATATAACTGTAGAAACGGAAGCAGGGATCGTATAAAATTGAAGAAGATTAAAATCGATTGTAATTGTGGATTTTGAAAACTTGTTCACCTATCAGTTTTTCAAAGTTCATTTCTGTTGCTTGTAGCGATTGATTGATGTAATTTCTAAAGTTTCATTGCGAATAATGACTTATAACTGTAGACTAACTGGTAAGCCGAAACTGTATTAGACAACCGTGAAACGAGCCCTTTAATAAAAAGGGTTCATGCATGCGTAGACAGGGTGATCATTGAAATTGAAAAACGTTAGAGACGGGGCCTTTTACAATCCAATCGAATTTCACTGGGGCATATTCGGCTGTTGTTGTTATATCATTCTAGCATTCATTACCTTTCTGATTCGGGATCGAATAAACATAATCATTCCTTTCGTTGTCCAATTCAGTATTAATCAAAGCTTTACATTGAACGTCCGAGATTGAGAAACGTCGAGCTTAACTCAGATAACTCGATTTGGGCAAATTCGTCCAATTAAGCTTTAAATGACCTGATTTAGAAGACTGGGAATTAGCTCGAATTCAAGAGCCTGTCATAGGTTCTACTTTTGTGTATAAATTTGGGCGAATCATATTCAAAACTAATCTATGTACCATTAACTTTTAAATGCAGTCAGTTTTTTACCATAGCCTGCTTTAGCCGGAACGAATGGCAAATGTATAATTCCAGAAAATATCCATACCCCCTCCCCCCTTGGAGGGTAACAGAAATTCAGAGGGGAACGGGGTCCAAAATGAGGCAATTTCCGGGGAGGGTGGCGGGTAGCCTTTCGAGGTTTTTTTCCGGCGGAGACTCCGAGTAAGATTGGTAGTTATTAAAAGCTAACAGCTGTTCTGTTGAACAAGCTATCAGTTATTTTTCTATCAATCGGTGTTTCGATGATCTTTTATTTGCGGTTGGCTGAGTGCTTTTTTCACGGCTTGCACGATAGTTACTGGGAAGTTTCTCAGCAGACGTATGTCCAGATATTACTGGCCAGTTTGGGTGTGGTCATATGGCAAAATTCAGACCTTCAGTGGGGGTAGGACAGGAGGGGTTCGGTAGGAAAATGGGTGTGGCCTGAAGACAAAATTCACCCGTTCAGTGGTGGGGAGGGGGCTGGACGGGAAAGAGGTTTCTGCCAAATACCACATAGCAATTATTCTAGACATTGGATAACCTCAGACACCCTAAATTATCTTTTCCCAGAAACAGTTTTCTCCCACGGACATATCATTTCTTCCACATCTCCCACCCAGCAAAAATTTTGAGGAAAATATTCTTTCCAGCTGGGGGGCGAGGGGGACCCAACCAAGTTGGAAAATTACCGAAATTCTAGGGGTTGTCAATACACGACAAGTTGACAAATAATTTGTGCCGAAATCTAGACGCCTTGTCGGTCAAAAATTTAAACGCTAAAATCAAGGTCATATTTTTAGTTCGTTTGGTTAAAAATTTGAACGGTGCGATGTGAACACATAACCGTTTTTTGTACGGCAAAGGTGAGGTTACAAGGATGCGTGGTAGCTCCGCTGGGAGACGCCATCTTGCATGGTTTGCTAAAGTAGCGCTCTGCGTATGGGCAGATGGCAAAACCTCTGAAAATTATAAACGGTGTCGTGTGAATATTCGTCTGGTGCCGTTTGAACGTGGCCCACTGTTTTAGTTGTTACTTTAAAATATTGCCGTAGCCGGAGTTAACACTAAATTTAATAACATACGTAATGTAATGTAGCGTCATTTAATTTTCGTTACAGCTCTTCGGGCTATCAATACGATGCAAAGGCGATTCGTGACTACGGTGGCGAAAAATCTGCATGTCACTTTCGGTAGCTCAAAGCGCGTTGTGCAGTTCCAGGATGGCGAGGAAGTAAAACACTTGCGTCATCATTTTCTACGTGTGTTCTCTGACGTCCTGTCCGATCAAGTTGCACCAACAAATGTGACGTTCCAAAGTTATGACAAAAGGTTTGATGATTATCTAGACCTTGCGAATAACACAGAACTGCAAGAGAATTCTCGAATAAAGGCTTTGATTGTCTCTAAGCAAGAAGATGCTAAGGTACTGTGAAAAAAACCATATTTAGTCTCATACCCCAGCTTATCAAAGCCTCCCAATTAAAACCTAATAAGCAAATTTAAGGTATTTGAGCACATGGTACAGCTTTTCAACAACAACCACAGCAACAACAACAGCTTTATTTATTTCACAATCTTGGTTACAAAAAATAATAATGATAACGAAAATACAACCCGCAAGCAGCAAACCCTATTCGGGGCGGGATGTGTAAAAAATAAAAAAAAAAACTGAAATAAGTATACTAATTGAATAAATGAAATAGTTCAGTAGATTCGTAAAGTTAAATGTAAACAAAAAAAAGTGTTACAAGAAAAAGGAAGATTAATTAGCTAAGACAATAGAGCACAATCAATTACGAAAAAGGGTAAAATAAGGTACAAATGCTTTACAAGCAAAATAAAAATACTTAAAGAAATTCAGCTGTTGTAATGTTTCAAATGATCTAACCAAAGCCAGCTACATAAGATTAGTACTTTCTAAAAAAGTTGCTGTTATGTTGTTTTTTTTTTTTTCCGGCGGCCACATAGCCATCCAGTTTTTGTAAAGATCACCTTAAAGAGAACTGGTTTCCCTCTTTCTGGCATCATTATACCATTCCTTGGTACTTCATACAAACTTCACAGCCTTCAGACCTCAAACCACATCCTATAATTGAAAACAGCCCATACCGCCTGTGGAATATCGTAAGCAACGGCTTGATTCAGAGGTCTCCCGCTGACCCAGCAGTTGTAACTTGCATGGGTGGTTTCAATAGTGACAACAGTAAGTTTGATTTGCATTTCAAATGAGCATACAACTTGGAGGGAGTGACTGTGGCGGAGAAGACAGTCTGATTATATAAAAGCCTCCTCGGGTTACTCCCTTATATAGGCTTTTCAGGTATGTGCGTTACCAAAGGGTATCAATGGTTTTTTAGACGTTATGGTCTGAAATAGGGTATCAATTTTGACCATTTTGGTCTGAAATAGAGTTACAAGGGTTTCAGGAAGGGTGCCGCTTTATGGAAGTACCCCCCTCCCCCCACCCCCGGGTTAAAAGCGTTGTTTTTCGGGAATTTCCGCACATAGTTCTTAAACACTGCTAACCGAGATTTCATTTGATCAAAAACAAAAAAAGACTCCGTTAATCATAGTAGAGTCCTTGGTAGACAGATTGAGAATTCTGCAACGCTGATCGCACAAGATGAAAATTAACTTTGCAAGAGTCAAAACGACACCGATAGAACCCAACACGGAGCTGGATTGTAGCCGTCGACAGCTGCCGTTCGCCGTAATTGTGGCTCTTCAGGACGGTGTAACAATTTTCTTAACTCAGTAATTAAAAAAAAAAAATTTGGATGTATTTTCGAAAGTTTTAAATGTACAACATTTTTCTTTTGCGGAGGGGAGGGGGGGAAAGAGTGGAGGTCGGTGATTATAATTTTTAAAACTGAACTGGAAAATATTGGATTGAGGGGCTGTTAAAAATTGATATTATATGAAGCGAATAATAAGTAGACAAATACATGACAGATAGTCCACTACCAGAACAAGGTGCCTCTGAGCTCATTACCAGACTACCTGGTTCATGTGTATTCCTTTTCCCTCTACCCTAATGTATTATATTTCTTCAAATAGAATCAACATAAAGAAGCAACAAACATGCCCCTTTAAAATGGTGTACATTTTTTTTTCTTTTCAGCTGTGATAAAGGCAAGACACATAGCGATGAATTATTGGTATTTGGTTTTTGAGGAACCTGGCGGTACATTGTTATATATTACTGCTGCTGGAGGCGGTCAGCAAGTCACTGTCCAGGTGAGTCATTCCTCAACGAAGCCTTTTCCCTCGTAGTATTAGAACCGTGCCCTGGCCTATTATTAGAAGCGATGAGGACGACTAGAAGGATAAGATTTCCTCAACAGTATAAGGTAGTGCGCAAGTGATCCAGCGGTAGTTTTGGAGGGAAAAAACGTCAAATAGCGGCCATTCTAGTTACGGCCTTTTCCGAGAGCATTGTTGTGGCAAAAACAAGTTATTTTTATAGGGCTTAACCTCGATTAATAGAAATAACCGCGCTAGCTTTTCTGAAGACGAAGAAGAAGAAGAACAACAACAACAGCAACAAAAAGAAGAAGAAGAAGAAGAATGAAGCTTTCAGGTGTCTCGATTTTTTTAGAATACTGCAAAAAAAAATTAACTCATATCTCGTCTTCATAGTCGTCCTCTTCACACATCAAATCTGAAGGTTGCAAGTCTCAATCGTTTTTCAAGAAACATATATACCTTTATCGGCTTTATAATCACGGTTTAACCAGCTTGGACGACACGACACCATATGCCAACAAACAACTTGACAAAACCAAAAGCAGCGGTTAACTAGGTAAACCAACGTATGTTGATAATTTATTACAATAATTTTCTTATGCTAAGCAACATACTTCTCTCAAAAGGAACCAATGCAGTGATTGTAAAATTTTTAGTTTAAAATAGGGGTCCGAAACCATTAGCAAACCATCTTACATGTCAGCCGTCTCTTCGTCCATCGCGCACATTATAGGGCAGGACTGCAACTGATCTGATAAAAGATCTGCTAATAAAGCTTTACTTCTGAAGTTAACGTTTATTGACGACTGTAGCTTTGGAATCATCAGACTCTTCCGGATTTAGGCAAGTCTATTCCAAAGATCCCAATTCAAAACTGTGGCCAGTGGGTTTGAAATGAACATCAATGAAGATGTTCAGTCTCTTTTACCGAGTGCAGAGTAAAAATGTCTTTGTTCCTTCTGTCACTGCACGGTTAAGATGTTAAAATGTCTAATTTTCCGTTTTATGAAGTACACGACAACAAATTTTTTTGTCTCTTTTTGAACTTAGATATTGGTTCTTAGGAATTCACCTCCAGGGAATTCTGATAAATTTGACAAACTAAGTGACTTGTAAGGGAGTTGGCCTAATCGCAATGAAGATTGAAAAAATACGCGAATTCAGATATTAAGCGAGTCGGACGTGATTTACGGTATTGAGGCTTTTCTTTTAAGCGGTAATGTGAGGATGATTTTGGTATCATCTAGCCCTGCAGTATGCGGTTTTTCATCCCTTTGGCTGACGGTATATTCAGTAAACGTAGATCCTACACGGTATTGCTGCAATACCTTTCATTTGCGCTCTCCTAAAATACAGGTCAATTCAATAATGCCCAACACAAAATAAAGTAAGCAATCGCTTGTCTTCTCACGTTTTCTGGCAATGGCTGAGGTTGATTTCTGGTGCAAACATGTTTGAGATAATCAAACACGCCTAATGGATGCAATTTAAGTATTTTATAAAGCGTGACCGATCATAAATGCGGTATAGATTTTTCTGTCGATTTCGAGATGACATTTCGGTCATTACCAACTTTTCTTACCGTATTACGGTTATATTGAGTACGCCCAATGTCCCTCTCAAGTCAAACTCCATTCATTTCACTACCCTTTCAAAAAGCCCTTTCCTATCCTAATCTACTTTTTTTATTGTTCCAGACAAGTCCATCTGAAGAGGCAAAATTTGAGCCCGACTTTTACTGGGGTCATACAGTTTTCAAGAGCAGTCGTTACAACACCTTGTACCTTGGATGTGACGAGAACAAAATAGCAACACTTGTACCCATGAAAGAAACGAGTTACCCAAATCCACAAGCTATGTTCATTGTTAATGAATTTAATGTTGTGTTGCCCCCCGATTGTAACTGAAAGAGCAAATACATTGCATGAAATTCTCGCCGTATGATCACGATGACCAGAACTCTTCTGTCATTGAGTTTGGATTAGGTCTCAATATAATGTAGAAGGTTAAACAACTAATTTAAATTTAAACCTTAACACATTGGACATCATAGCCAAATTTATAAAAAGGTGGGATTCCATATGATATTGTCAATAAAAGGAACTGTTACAGTTGATTCCCGAGAGGACAACAAACATGGCCTAATTTGTATTTCACTTCTGTTCAAACGAATGCTAGAGGTGCAAACAAAATTAAAAACAGTTGCAATTTTGTACACAGAGGTACACAAAATTAACAGTAATCTCATTAAACAACTCCCTGGTATGTCCTTGTATTTGTCTGAAGACGAGATTTTTTTCCCGCCTTGTTTGCCCACCGTCCGCGCGTATCCGGTGAGTTCGAGAACGCTTACCACTGATCGCTTCACAAATGCTCTTCAGGGTGCAGATTTTTGAAAACGCGGCCGTTTTGCTTTACTCGTGTGGATGGATGTAAAAGGAGGTTTTTGAAAACGGTTACGCCCTGGTGTTGGATCCAATGTTATCGCAAGCGAACATATCGCAGATTTGGATTCGACTAAATGCGCGTGCTCCCATCAAAGGTGGTAAAATTTTCTGTCACTTATGCGTTTTCTTCCTAGATGAAATGCAAAAATTATCCACGAGTGGACGCGATTGATTATTTTTTTTCTTCATTTTGAAAACGAAGAAAAAGTTTCGGTTTTCAAATAAAAAAGGATAAGGATACGTGTGACGGCGCCTAAAAAGTCACGACCGTTTTCTGAGATCGAGTACCCTTCTTGCAACACAAACATGAAACAAAAAGAGGAACAACAACACCGACAACAAAAAACAATGATGAGCTTCCTGATACTGGTTAAGTTATAATATTGCCTTTTTTATAAAAACCTTACGCCTTGGGCCGATTACTTAAAGGTAGCCGAGGTCATCCTTGGTTTATTACTATAAATCATGGCTTTACGAGATTTTCATAAACTGTAACGCTTGCGTGGTTCAATTTTCATTAGTAAGACGCAAACAATTGTTTGCGTCTTAAGGCCTGTTAACACGAAGGTGGGGGACCCCAGGAAGGTGAGGTAGCCAGCTTAGGTGGGGTAACCTGCCTGTCTATGTAATCTCTCATACTAAATTGATCACATTTGCAGATAGGTGGGGTCACCTTCCACATGTTACCTCACCTGTCTGGGGTCCCGCACCTCCATGTAAACAGGGCCTTACAAGCCGAAATCACGCAGACGCAGAGCCGGGGAGAGTCAAAAAAAGCTGCATGAGCAAAACATCTACAAGCGTTGTGCCGTAATTTATTTTCTTTAGAATTTGTTTTGAAAACTGTGTCCTCGTCATTCATGATAGCGGCTGTGAATATCTTATTATTGTGTTATCACCGATCCTTTAGATGCACTGCAAAATCTCAATAACAAATAAAAATGAGAAGACACTTGCCCTGTTCCCATACGGCGTTTCCCCAGTATCTCTCCGTCAATTCACTTCGGTGACGTATCCGAGGCGAACGGGCGGGAAAAGTCTAGACAAAAACAGAATGCGCATGCGTGCGTTGCTGTTTGAAATTCAAGATGTTGTCCATGTTGTAAACAGCTGGATTTTTTTTAACCCTTGTGGATATTTGCGGGATCTGCTTTTGCCGACCGGCTTTAAAAAGTCATCAGAATGTTGTTCACGCATAGTCCTGTAAAGATTGATCCTTCTCGTTCAATGTTATTCGTCAGAGTTTGCAGCTATTGACCCATTTAAACGACCGCGAATTTTCAATACTTTAGAGACCTCTGTGTAGTAAACTCAGAGCGCAAATTTTGAGTAACCAGAAAAGCATACTTTCAATAAAATTCATAATCTGCGTATCGAAAAATGCTCAAAAACTGAACCTAAAAGTAAATCCTATTAAATTCGCCGACATTCACAGAAGTTATCGGTGTATTAATGTGAGAAGCATTAAAGTCAAATTGGATGCTGTTGTCTCAGGATCGTGGTTTGAGCTAATGTTATCAATCAATTAACCCACAACACACAGAGAAATTATTTCTCGATTTTTTTTTATCTATTTAAAACCCATAAAATTAATCCTTAATAGCAATTCGCGTAGCTCACATTTGGCTCGTGTATCTGTTCACGCAAGTAAAATAGGATGAGCACATAGCAAAAATTATTCAACACAAATTTGAAGCCGATCTCAAAATGTATAAAACGTCATCAAGAGCAATTTCTTACCTTTATTGTGTGGGAATCTGCAACCTCAAGTATAACTGTAAGCTAAGAATATAAAGCACCAGTAATTTTAAGAAACCACTTAAACAGACATATCATGGGACGCGTTATGCACGCCTGTAACATATCAATGCACGCTATCTGTTCCCCTAAAATCTTGCATTTAAACATTGTCTTCATTTCCCCTAGGGAGGACTTAATATCGCCCAGAAAAAATTGTGAGACAATGGTTATGCAATCTTTGTGGGGAAAACAAGGTGTATTATGGGCAGTACGTTATTGAGGAATAGTATCTCTTCAGTAGTTCAATGCCCGGACTTTTGTTTTTACAGCGCCGTATAGTGTCCCATAAAATGATTCTTATATTGTAAATGGATATATTGCGTTTTATAAAGTAACTAATTAAGATAGTACGCGCGCTCTGATTGGCCGAGAGGAGTGTTTGCATGAGAGTATGTAAACATGGTTGTGACATCAAGATGTTTTGCTTTTCGCGCGCTAATCACGGAAAGCACAAATTTGAAAAAGTTTTGGAGTTCAAAACTCGACAAGTTTACTTTATTTACCCATTCCTTCGTCGGCTGAAACTTGGAACATCTTTGCAAGCAAGCTGTGTCAATTTTGTTTTCGCTTAAGCTGACATTTTAAGCGAGAAAAAAACCGTATTTTGGAAAGCATCTTTTTCCAAAACAAGAACTGATTACGCGTGCAAGCCTTCGTGTGCACGATTTTGCGACTGGTAAGAATTTCTCTTTTAATCAGTGCCATAACAAAGAGTTTTGCGTTTTTCTCGGGAAAGTTATTTTATAAAAGCAATAGAAATCGTTTTCCGTGTTTGCATAGCCTGATATAAACACTCAAGGGGTTGGGAGAATTCTCGACAGTTATGCAAACCCGAGACGAAGTCGAGGGTTTGCATACCTGTCTCGATTCTCCCAACTCCTCTTGTTTCTATATCAGGCTATGCAAACACGGAAAACGTTTTCTACTGCTTAAATTGCGGAGCTCTCGCGCTCGCGAGGCGCGCGCCTGTGAAGCACCATGGGTAAGAAAATTTGGTAAACTATCCATCCGAGAAAATTTGGTTATGACGTACCGTACGCTCACCCGTACACACGCTTCATGTAAGCTGAAGTCAAATGTTACATTAGATCTTGGAGAAATTATCACTTTGTAAGCCATCCGTATGAGGATGAATTGACAGCTGTCAAGGTCAGACATTTGCTGACAGTAATCACATGACCATCTCGCGGGCTCAGATGAAAGACCAGTCGTTTTCCCCTACATATAAGCTGCTATAATAGGCCCCTGGTCGCACTTCTCAACATAAAATTGAAAATGAAATGAAACCTCTGTTTCACCGGCCAGGGTTGTCAGACGGGTGCCAGAAGTCTAAAGTTATATGCGCAAGCCAATTAAGGTCAATTGACAGCTGTCAAAATGGAACATGTGAAGACCACTATCAGATCACTAACAACGTGGGCTCAAATACACGATCTGGCATTTCGCCCCCATCAAAGGGACAGTGTCCCTATTATGCGCACGCGCGTGCGTCATCTGTTTTTCTTCAAAAGACAATAGAGCCGTCATATTGACTGGACAAGATTTCCTTCCGGACCACATCGCCGACGGTGATTTGTTGTTTACATTCTCAAGTAATATTTTGGACTTTTGAAGAAGTCTTTCGTTTTATTTAAGAATTTGGCTCGCGAAGGGAAGACTCATCGCGATTTTATCACTAGCAGGGCCCCCTCGCGACCCAAAAATCTCGTTCCGCTTGCTTTAAGAACAGTTTTTCTGATGTTAAACTCGTGTCAGAGGTCAATTGTTCCAAGCCCAGTAATATTTCAGCCTATATGTGCCTGATTTGCTCGCGTTCTAGACTCAAACGTTTGAAAGACATAAATAAAAATGCAATCTCGATCAACGCTATAAATCATCGCAAAGGTTAGTCAAAAAGTGTGTAAATTATGATTTCATAGCACTAGTTTTTCTAAACTGTTTGTTTGATTTTGTCGGCCGTAAGGAGGTTCATTTAAAAGTTTACTAACGCTTCGTTGCAAAACATTCTGCTTCATGAAGCTTAATTCCACAAGATATCCTCAGTCACATCAATGTCTCAATGGTTTCTTTCTGACAATCTTTATTGTTGCTGTTTCATTTCTGCGTATTTCTTTCACAATTATCTGAGCTTGTATGGAAGCTAGCAGAAGAAATAAGCCTTCAATCGGCATCAAAGCGCTTCCCATCTTTTGGTCCTCCGGCCAACGGCAATAATAGTAACGTCAAAAAATCCCGCTTTCGCCCAAATCGAAACTTAACGGGAACAATATATCATTGATCTCTAATCCTGAGAGGTTTTTGTGTAGCATTGAACTCGGCCAAGCGCGATGCAAACGGATTTTTCAGGGTTCTCTTACTCGCCTCGCATCTTTTGATTTCGCGACATCCTGTCCAAAAATCAAAGTTTGGCGCATGCTCAGTAACGGGATACTGTTCCTTTAATCTTCCATTACAACCCAGACTGAAAGTCTTACTCACACTCGCAGTCAACAGTCCGTTTATTCGAAAAGTCGCCATTCTAATGAAGTTCAATTGACAGCTGTTAAAAGGTAGGTACTTAAAGTAGGGTTATCGGCCCACTGAGTTCGAGTTTTTCTTTGAAGTTATCCGCTGACAAGTTACTAATTTTCAAATGATTACAGGCTCAAGTTCAATTTTTT